CGCCCCCCCCCCCCCCCCCCCAAGGGAGGAAAAAACTGTCCTGCTCCCTCTCTCTACGATGCCTCCCCCCCCGTCCGTCTGTCTCCCCTCTCCTCCTCCTCAGTTCATGGGGGAACCAGAGCCAGCTCGCCGCAACCGGGCTTTTCCCGCCGCAGTCTTATGGGGAGCATAAAAAGGCCATTTCGGACCCTTCGTTATGAGCTCAAACACACACTGTAACTGCCGCTCAGAGTTTTGTCAGAGAGCCTAAAGCGTACTGAGACTCCCCCGTCCGAGCTGTCAGAGGGGTTCGTTGAGGGAAAGCGATGAGGCCTGGATGGACAATCAGCCTCTTGTGGGTACCTGTTTGGGCCGTAAGAACACTTGAGTCTCGTGCTTTATCACTTTCTAAGCAATCCATTCATCCTCGCTGTCCAAACGCCCGCTCATTAGCCGCAGACCTCATCCCGGCAGATTGAGAGAGGTGTCAGGTCCGGATGATAAGGGGAACCTTTTGACAAAATGTGATTCATCTTGTCAGAACAGTGTTTGTGTGTTTTAACAACTAAGAACCTGGAAGAGAAAGTGATCCAATGTGAGAAAATCTGAAGAAATGAAAGGAAAAATCTCCAAACTTTCATGCACATATAAGATTTAAATACATGTTGTTTGTATGTAGTGTGTGCTTGTGTGACGGTGAATGTTCCCTCTCGTCTGTGCAGAGAGAAACAGTTCACACAGTCGTTCTCAATCTGCCAGAGTTCAGCAGGAGAGGCAGAAAAATGACGGCCGGCTGGCGTCTCCTCTGCTGGTCTCTCCGGCTGAATATTGATCAACTAAAGATCGAGTTAAAGCACCAACTGCTGCGATCACATCGTCATCTGGTCGCTCATGTGCAACAAGCAGCTCAAATGCTTTTAAACAAACTAAATATTTGAGTATTTGAAAAGGACTGACGTTTTAGATCCACATAGTAAATATTAATCATCTACATTTTTTATGTGTTGAAAGTCAAATATTGGCACATTGAATCAAGAATGGATTCAGTTTTTTATACATTTGATCAAAATATGATCAGGACTATTTCAATTTAATAAAATAATCTTTCATATCCGTTAAATTTCACACTTTAAAGCTTTTTAAGGAGTTTGCACATCCAACTATCTCATGAAGTAGGACAACAAAGCGTCACCTGTGAAGAAATAATCCTGCACACCAATTTATTTATTTTTAAATCACAACGTTTCTGGTCCTCTTTTGTCAAGTGTCCTCTCAAACTATTCCCCCACCTCGATCTTAAGAAGACAACGCTCCGCCCTTGAAACTCTGAGCCCCATGACGAGATCTTTGGGCCCCAGCAGCAGCGACGCCGAGTCTGAACGTTACTTAAAGAAATACAAAGAGAGTTATTGTTATGAGCACACTGTGAAGAACGTCTTCTCTTAGTGCAGTCAGTTTATTATTAATGTGAATAAATAATAACAAATGGACCCCTCTCAGTTTAGAATCGTCCTTACTGTTCTCCCCCATCACGGCGCCCCTGGCTCCACCTGCTGTGTGTGCTCAGGTGAGGGACGTTTAGTCTCATTAGAAGACGCTCATCATCAGCATGTGCAGAGTCACTCACCCCAAATATCTACATTTATGAAGTCAAAAACACAAATAAATAAAAAATAAATAAATAAATACAACCGACATCAGAGACAATAAGACAAATTAAATCAATAAAGGAGACTCTACCACATAATTTGACTTTTTACAGAAACATCGGCCTTCCAGCTTTCATAAATCATTTATCAAGTCAAATCTTTCAGAAGGTAAACACACATTTAAATTTAACAAAACAACTTAAAGTAACAGTCACTGATTGGCCAACACATTTGAACCTCATGTGGAGCTTTTGTTTAAAAGATTTTTATCTTTAAAGTCAAATTTGAGGCTAAAATAAGCTGCAGCTAAATTATTTTTATGTAAAATATTTTCCTCTATTGAAGCCCACAAATCCTTTTTTTCTTCTTGTCCGTAAACAACAAGTTCAAAATGTTCATTTTTATTTCATATTGCTTTAAAAAAAAAAAATTTAAAACATAATAAGAATACACTTTAATTTGAATTAAGTGATTTTATGAATTTCTCTGAAGATTAAAGATTTACTTTTATTGATCCCTGCAAGGGGAGATTATAGTTTTTACACTCTGTAAGTCATGAACACACACATGCAGAAACAGAATCTATGGACATGCAATGGAGCTTTGCTCAAGGGCACCTCAGCAGTGCTCAGGAGGTGATTTGGCATCTCTCCAGCTACCACACCAACTTCCATATTTGTTCTGCACCGGGACTTGAACCGGCGACCCTCTGGTTCCCAACCCAAGTCCCTACAGACTGAGCTACTACACTCACATGTGAATTTATTTTTTAAAGCAAAGAAGCATCTTGATTTATTTTTCTTTATTAACATTATTGAGTAATGAAAAAAGACAAGCACACCCCTCAGCGGGTTCTGGATCCAGAAACACAAAGAGGTGAAGACAAGAGAACAAGATTCAAACACCAAGGATCTCCCGTTTGAAAGATTTATTGACAAGTGACGCTTTGCGCCAACGTGCTCCTCTTCCTCCTCAGACATTATTCAAATCATTTTAAATGGATCGTTTAGTTTTAAAAATGTCCAAAATGACAGCAGATATCCTCCAGGATTAAAAAAAACCTCATTGACCAAATTTGCTGATTTAGTTTCACCAGCTTCTTTTCAAAAAACACATCATATAATCTGTATGAGTTTATTTTCTCTCTCCAGATGACCACTGAAGTTATGATTATTATGATTTTCTTTATTCTAATGCTTCTCTTCCTGTTTCCTTCTCTGCATAACGAGTGTGAGGACAAACAGCTGTTGTTTTGTGGTTATTATTGTGGTGTCTCAATAGTCTTGTTTACCGTTTTTTTTAATCCTGGAGGCTGCAGCTCCCCGACCCCCACACTCATAATCTTCATGGCTGCTTCTGTGGGTGGGATGGAGACTCTTTTAGATTTCCCTCGCCTAACGGTACATGTTTATTCTTTCACCACATTATTACAGCAGGCGTTGAAAGGGGTGTCGGGGCCGCGTGTAATTGCAGCTCAAATCATCAGAATGGTTGTTTTAACAGACACTCACATCAAATAAAAATGTCAGATTGGTGCTGAATTCTGCTTTTGTTGTGCTCGTCCTGTGAACGTCCACGGTTGTTTTATTCCTTCATTTTGGGTTTTTCCAGGAGTACAACATTCACGGCTGGTGGGTCGGCGAGCTCAACGGCACCATGGGCATCGTCCCCAAAGACTTCCTGCACCCGGCCTACATCCTGTGAGCTCCAACAGGTACAGAGGCACTCTCTTATCATCAGCATTATGGACCATTACTGTGGCCCTAATACACAGAAACGGTCCCCCTGGTGCTCATCCAGAGCGCCATTGAGGTAGGATTCAGTCGTTGACCTGCCGTTTATGGCATCTGCTGGCTGGAAGAAGTACTGCGTTAAGCAATCTGAACGCCGCAATGGGCAATGGGTGAGGATGAATGTGTGCAACAAAAGCATGATTACGGCGTCAGTTGTCCTATTTAAGAAAATGATTCGCTGATACAGTTAGATAGGCGAAGCTGAGTTCTGAATAATTAATGCTCCTCTCTCTCTGACGTGTGTTATTTATTTTTTTTACAGGGCTGCTGCCGACACAACCAGCGATGACTTTCACACAAAGGCCCGTCAGATCCTTTTTTTTTTTTTTTTTTTTTACAAAGTGGAATTACTCTTTAAAGGATGCCATGTAGGTTTACCACAGGAGGAATTATTATTCTTCATTAGTAATAATTAAAGGAGAATCAAATTAATTGATTTTCTTCTGACAGAAAATTAAGCTGCAACCGTTTTTTTTTGTTTTTTTTAATTCTTCTAATGTCGTTTCTGAAATAAGAAAAAAAAACACTTGCAGCTTGTTTCTGTTTTCTGTAAATATGTATTGATATTTTTTTTTACTTCAAATAGGACAACATTGAGTGTTTGATTTGAAGATAGCATCTTTAACAAACTGTTCAGTCGATGAGTTTCTCATGTTTTAAATATTTTAAAAATGGGGCACCGGATAGCCTCGCGGTTATGCTGCATGCCTCGTGTTCAGAGGCTTCGGTCCTCATCACAGCGCCCGTTGGTTCCAATCTGACCTCGGCCCTTTGCTGCTCGTCATCTCCCCCCTCTCTCTCTCCACCCGACACTTCCTGTCTCTCTTCAGCTGTCATATCAAATAATGGCACCAAAATATCTTTAAATATTTAAAGACAAATATTTCCTGGAAAATGAACCCAACGGGATAATCACTGGCTGCAGCATTTTGACTAAATGATCATTTTGAACATAAACTTTGACACTTTTTTTTTTTTCAAATGAGCAAAATGTAAAGATGTTTTTTTTATAACTGACAAACATCCTAAAATAAAATAAAACATTTTCTGTACAATATGTATATTTTTGATAAACTGTAATTGAATGAGAGCATAAAATCCTCTACACTGAAGTGGCCTTCATTGCTTCTGTAATTAGGGGCGACAGTAGTCCAGTCTGAAGGGACTCGGCTTGGGTACTGGAGGGTTGCCGGTTTAAGTCCCGGTGCGGACCAAGTCTGGAAATTGGACTAGTAGCTGGAGAGGTGCAAGACTACAGCCTGAGCACTGCTGAGGTGCCATTGAGCAAAGCACCAAACCTGCACCAACTCAGGAGAGCTCACTGTGGGCAGCCCCCCCCTCACTCTGACATCTCTCCATTAGTGCATGTCCATCATGCATTTGTGCATGTGTGTGTATGTGTGTAGCCTGTTCAACAACAGAGTGTAAAATAGAATTTCCCCTCACAGGATTATTTAAGTAAAGTAAATCTTCTTCATTTAGTGTTTGGGCATTAAAGTCGTGATTCCTTTTTCAGCCACTAGGTGGCAGCATTGCTCTAGTATCTAACACGTCAGAATAAAAGGTCAACTGATGCATGTTAAAAGAGAAAACTCTTTATTTGACATAAAACAGCATCATAGTTTGTGTTTACATGGACACTCAGGTTGTTATCTCTGCCCTTGTAGATCCATGTTAAAAAATAAAAGTCTCCACAGAAGGTAGGGCTCACATCTGAATACAATTAAAACAATAAACGACTCATGTACAGTATAGAAAGAAAGCAAACCCAGCGCTCTGCAATGCACCTGCTAGATCCCCACATACCCGACGTCACACAGGGCGACGCTCGTCAAACTCTGGGTCCCTTTAAAACCACAACAGAATGATCGACAAGCGGTCAGTTTGAGGTGTGAAAACAACGCTGTGGTTCAACGTCAGGAAGCTTCAAAATAGTGTCACACTGAACTGAGTGAAGGCTGTCGATGTAAGCAGTAAAACTACAGACAAAATGAGATGCAACAGAAACACCAGACATGAAATAAATAACCTGTAAAAGACGCTTCATCACCGCAGTGATCAGGCCGAGTGTAAACCATATGGATGAGATTTTTGAGTGGCAGATCAGAAGATTAAAGAAGTGTCTTTATCGACTTCACAGAGGACATAAAGTGGCCGAGTTAGTATTTAAATTGATGCTCAATTCTTTTGCTGCCACATTATAAATTATATTTCGATTTGTTTTTATTCATCTTTGTTGGGCTTTATTCTTTCTGCTCTCTGATCCCCATCTTACACCTTCAAACAATGACCTCTGCCGTATATTAGTTTCAACATAAACACGTTATTTCTGATAAGGAACATCGTTTTGAAGTTGTGACTTTTATCAGTGTTCAAATGTCACCATCAGGACTCAGCTGGACTCATCAGTCGACTTGAGTCAAACCATGATTAATGCAGGTTTCACAATAAGTAACCCAGTGTGTGAAAAGCCACATGTAACTTTCCTTTCTTAAAGAATGTCTCACATGTTGGTGTGTAACCTGAAGGCGTTTCGGCTGCTGTAAAGTCTCTCCTGTCCTGCTGGCTGTGAAGACATTACTCAGATTAATCTGCAGACTTTAGAGTTTCAGTGAATCAGTTTTTGACTTTCTATTTAAAAATGTAGCTTATTTAAAATATGAAATTCCCTCTTTTCTCTGTGTCCTTGAACTCTTAATTTAGAAGATATCAAACTGATTTGTCTTAAGGTTTATAAATTAAACTCCAGCAGCTAACCCGGAGAAACTCGGACAAAATGTTCTGCCGCCTCTGGACTCAGGTCGTAGTTTACTCCACGACTTTTTATCTGTTGACTGCGACTTTGGATTCAATTGTTCATCTTGTCTTAAATGTTTTAGCGCCTATTAAGAGTGTTTTTTCAAAATTGTGTACGTTAAAACTGTTTTATTTCATATCAGATTCAGCTTTATTTGATTAACATCCTGTCAGCAGTCCAAACTCTCTTTCACAAAATAACTACGAACATGTGAGTGTAAACAGAGAAGCTTTTTTTTTTTGACTACCTATTCAGGTGTCCTTCTGTCTTAAAACATCTCTCAGGTGTTTTGCTCTTTAAGTACTGAAGAAAAACAACCCATAAATCCAGAGCAGTCACATGACGTTTGCAATAAAAAAAACAAAAGTTAAAAACTTTAGCTCTTTATACTCAGGTTAGAAAACAAATGCTTGTTTCCTTTTGTGAACTCGAGCGCCCTCTGCTGTTCAACAAAAAAAACAATCCCACCCTCCAGAAGAGAAGCCCGGAAGAGGAAGAAACAGTGTCAGTATTTAGTGTACCTGAGGTTAAATGAGGATATGGGTTTTCAAATTAAATATAAACTCTGAAAAACAGTTCATGCATGACAGCACAGTGTAGGTATTATGTGACGCTCTCTTAAAGTGTAGTATGTCTGACAGACAGGATTCACATTGTGAAGACGGTTTACAATGATGCATGTTCACAGATATTAGAATGCAGTTTGTTCGTGTGCTAGTGATCGTGTGTGGAGTGTAAATGCCACTCAGCTGTTTATCTGATGCACCTCCACCTCATGAGCCTCCTCTGACGCATCCAGGTCTTCCTGCTCTGCACATTTACTATCCGCTAAGACAGGCGAGCAGCTCGTCTCTATGACGCTGAAGTCACTGTGTTCAGTCAAATCTCCTCCGGTCACAGCTGAGTTAAGATCTAGAGATTTACTTAAGTCACTAATGTCAGTTGTGTATTGAAGTTCTCGGGTGGAAATGTCCCCTTTTTCCACACAGCTTCCGCTCAGGTGCAGGTCCAAAATGTGTCCACTAGAGGGCTCGTCTTCTGACCAGTTTGTGTTGTCCTCGTGTAATGCTTTCATGAAGCCGTTCGCTTCCTGCGCCGAGTCCTCGGTTTCATCACAGACGCTTTCCTCGTCGCTGACCTTGATGATGCTCCCGTTGGAAGACGGCAGAGAGCAGCTTTCCTCGTCGCTCTCCTCTTTGGTCCCGACCAAATCCACCTCTTGTCCGGCTTTCTCTTGGTCCGTTGGTTCAGCATTGTCGTCCACATTTTGTACACTGTGCTCATTGGGAGTATCTTGGAGGACTTCTGGCTCGAGTGGTGTCTCCTCTTGCTGCTCTTGTTCATCACTTTTGTCGTCGTCTTGGTCTTTCTGTCCTTCAGAGCTCTTTAACTCCTCCTGACAGATCTCATCAGCAACTTGAAGCTCAATGCCACCAACAGACTCAACACCATGATCCTCAGAGATTACATGATTTTCTAAAACCTGATCCTCCTGAATGCCCTCCTGAGATCCAACATCACAGACCTTAAAATCTAAAACTGCTTCTGAATTCACACATTTTTCTGGCTCGGAGGCACTACATTTTCCTCAACTGGACTTTCTGACTGTTCTGCCTTCTCGTCTGTGACTGGACTATGATCCGCCTCTTCATCCGTATGTAACGCCACAACGCCCTCATCTTCCATGGGCGAGTGCACCTCCACTGGTGTCTGAATCGGAAAGCTCCTCGGCTGGTCCTGATCCGAAACGCTGAGGCCCTCGTGCGGGCTGTCACCCACAAAAAAGCTCGCCTCTTCTGGGTTGCAGTCGTCAACGACAGCCTCTAAATGGTTGTTCTTCTGATGACCCTTAGAGAAGATTTGTCCTTGAGCGGCGGCTCGGCTGTGTCCTTACCGCAGGGCTCCAGTAAACCTTTAAGAGGGTCGGACTCGCTGCATGAGAGGAGCTGAGGGCTGAAGCTGTCTGTAGTTTGAGGGAGAGGTTGATGAGGAGCGGGGCTGAAAAAAAGGAAAGAGAAATCGTTTACTTTGACTTCATAACTTTCTGGAGAGCTTCAGGAAAGAAAAGTTCAACTTCCACTTTCTCACTGAGAGTTGGATGAGAAATATAACATGTAAAGCTAAAGACAGTTAATAGTTAGCTTAGCCTTACCATACAATAAAGAACAGCTTTCCTGACTTTGTTCAGCCTTAAGAAAACCCACATACCAGCACACACAGAGCTCAAGAATTAACCCTTTATATCGTGTTTGTTTAGTCTCTTTAAACAAGGAAGTTTAAAAGATTAAAATCAGCATGCTGTTGTTGTTGTTTTTGTTGTGGGTTCACAGGGTCCGAGTTAGGCAATTTCTTGACAGGGCCATTCTTCATCATAGACTGTATAAAGAATGGACAGCGCAACACCTGGCCTGAAGTGAAGCCAAAAGATTAAGCGCTGGGATGCAGTATCAGTCATAAGCTCCGCCTCCTCCATGTATTTATATTTAATTTTTTGGGGGCTTTTGTGCCTTTAGTGGGGAGACAGGACAGTGTGGAGTTGGAAATCAAGGAGAGAGAGAGAGAGAGAGTGAGAGAGGGGTAAGACATGCAGGAAAGAAGCCACTGGTCGGATTTGAACCCGGGCCGCCCCCTGAACCTAACCAAACTTAAGTAATCTGTTTTCATATTAATGTTAAATAGAATAAATAAGTCATGTTAAAGGGTTTGGTCTTCCCTATCTACAGTCAGCCTGAATACAAACAGAGATACTGAAGGTGAAAGGTCACTTCCACATCACTGCGTCTGCGTCGATAGTTCACTTCCTACTTACCTCTCCATGGACTCGTATGAAACAGTCAGACTCGGCTCCTTGATGGAATCCTCCTCCTGAGCCTGAGCTAAACCCCGATTGGACGAGGCGTATGTGAGGATGGCGTCGGTCACGGAGTAGGGAGTGTGTCCCTGCACGCAGTCCTGGATGTGACCGACCGGCAGCTGGGTCTGCAGGAAGAGGTGGAGCTGGCTGTCTGACAGACACACCGTCATGTTCACCACTCTATACAAAACAAAAACATGGTGTCAGTGTGTGTTTTCAGGAAATTACAGTTTGCAGATATCTTGCATGTTGCATGTTTTTTTTAAAGACAAAGAACTGACTTGTCCAAGAAGACCTGAAGTCCTTTCCGCCTCCCCTCTAAGAAGTCCTCGTTACTGAAGGAGAAGAAAGACTTCCCTGGAAGGTCTGGGACCGGCCTGGAAGGATGAAGTCAAACAGAAAATATATTAAACTTAAACTAAACAGAAGTGCTGTGTGCATGAAATAAACAGGACAATTTGTGTTTATAATAACTTCACTTAAAACCACAAGAGGTGTTTTTGGACCAAACGGTTCTGGGGACTTTTTGAAGAGGGACTGTCCCTGAGAACTTCACACCATGGGGACTGTTTTCTGTCTGCATCCACACCACCATGGTACCTACTTTGAGGCAGGAGCTAAAAAGGTTCCTCTCAACGCGGTTCAAGGAACTAAAATAGTTCATAGTTCCTGCGGTGCGGAATCAAAAAGAAAAGGAGGACGGTTCCCAGTTCCTAGAACTATGAAAAAGTTCCTGCGGCCAAAAATACCTAATGTCCCAAAGGAGATGTAGAAGAAGTTCTCCTCAAAGACAGTTTTTAGAATATGTGGGATTTGTCGGGGTTGTTTTCACAAAAAGTATTATTAATTATTTTTTTGTCTACCAAAGGGAATAAATGACAAACAATTTTGAAATGGAAAAGCTAAGAGCAAACAGTTTTCTATTCATTCATCCAGCAGTTTCAGAGCCACATGATCATTCCTGTATGAGTTGTGTTGTCGACCACCTGTTGAACTCGTTTGAACTCTCCTTAGCTGCTAAACGCTCCACGATGTTTAAAAGTGCACAGTTGTTCCTTTGTGTGTTTTTTTTGTTTTGTTACTGAAAGCAGCAGCCTGAAGGACAGTGGGAACATCTGGATCTAATCAGAACTCAAACGATGATGTTAAAGATGCAAAAAATACCCCGTAGCGCTTCAGGAAACTTACAGATTCAGAGAGATAATGCTCAACAACAATGTGTCTGTGAGCGACCTCCTCCACATGGTATGCAGTCATCCGAGCCGCAGTGTAGCTTTAAAGCAACAAATGAATTCATGCTGGAACATTTTGGATCCAAATGTTTGCTTTTTCCGTCACTACACCACCAAATATAAAACAGGACTAGCTTTACACACTTACACCAAACCAGTGTTCTTCTGGAGCTTCTTCCTGAGCCACGCGAACTCGCTGTACCGCCGACGCACACAGGACGTCTTAGCTGTGAAGGCTTTACTGTTGGTCTGCAGATTAAAACAAACGTGTTAGAGTCAACATGTGAGGCAGTGTAGAAACTCAGGCAATATTTGTTTGACCTTTATGTCAACAGATATGCTGTCCCGTCCAACAACACAGCCAGCGGGACTCGAGCTTCTCACTCATTGTAGACAGTCATGACTCAGAGACACATTTACACAGGAGAGACTTGATTTCTGCTGTTTTTATGTGTAACATGTCGCACATTCTTCCTTCAACTTGTGGATATTGAGATCAACTAGTGTGTTATTTCGTCTTGTTTAATACTTAAAAATAAACTTGAAGTACCGGCCTTTGTTAAACATGAAACTAAATATTTGTGATCTGTTTTTAAAGATAAACATTTTAAGAAGGAACTAACGGATTAAGGGCCAAGCTCAGAGAATGAATACACTTTTGAACATTAAGAAATTAGGACTGGACGATAAAACGACAACGATAATTATCACAGTGTAACTTTTCTCTCTGCCTTTTCCAGCACCGTGAACTGTGTTTATGATTGTGAATTGCTTCTCTGTTCAAGTCTAGCTTGACATGTTCTGACAAGAAAGAATAATTAAACCACTATTAACTATCTGGTTTCTTCAACTTTTTCACTCAGGAGCAAAAATCAGCATCTAAATATGGAAGAAAGAATGATTTGACATTTATCGATATCCACTGATATGAACATTTTTTTATCAGGATAACATTTTTAAAGTCATATGACCCGCCCTATAAGAAACTAAAACTTACAAAAGATCCCTCACACCGATAGCCGCTGATGATAGAGCTTAAGAAATACCTAACAGGTTACAGGTAAGACCTGGCTCCAGCTGTGGAACTGCTAACGATGGTTCATGGTAGAACCAAACACGTTATCACATGTCTGATTTGTTACAGCGATGTGTCACACAGTACGCAGATGTCTGTAGAATAAGCTTCCCTCCTACAGCCCATAATCAATTACAGGCAGCGTTTGTTCCCGTAGCATTGAAGCAGAAAAACAAATTCCATCAGAGGATTAAATTCACAACATAACTTCCCTGTTTCAATCGACCAATGACCAACGAGCTGCAGAACAGATATTTAAATTTGAGTATTTGCTCCTTTTTTTGTCTTTTATGATAATTAACTGCAGGCTGGTCCAATAAGACATCGTCTCAAACTTTAGGAGATTATCATGTAAGTCAGATTTACCTTTTTTATCTACAGAATAAACAGAATGTGACTCTCGGTTGCAGCTCACAGAGTAGACAAAGAGATGTGTTCATGAGTCTTTTCAGGAGCTTTAAGAAACCATTAAAGTCTACCCACCCAGAGTTTAAGAAAAGGTTGAATGATGAAGACGAGCGTTGAAATAACTAAACATTCTGCATATTTGTGGTTTCTGTACTTCGTGTTTCACGAGGTGAGACGAGATTATTTGAACTCTTGATTTCTAACTTCCAACCTCGTGTGTGAGCGTATCGACGACAAACAAAAGGATGATGTGCGATCATGTGAGGTCACATGATGCAAGTCAATTTCATGAGTCAACATTGGCACAACACATCTGTCTCTGAGGCAGGGAGCGTTGTCGCTGATGCAGCATTCCTCGCCACATGCCGCTGCCTAGACAACCTCGCGTCCTGTCAAACACACAACGTAAGGAATCTGTCTGCTGCGGACTCAGCAGCTTCTAAAGTTCATTTCGGTGGATCTGAAATTGTCAAGACTTTAAAATAATTTGGTGTGGTAGAAGTTTGAGCCTATTTAGATTCAATGTGTTTACGGCGTTTTATTTATTTTCATTTGGAGTTGTGTTTTTAATTCTTGGCTCCTCTTGTCTGTCCCTTTGGTTGACGTTTGGTTTTGTTGCATTTTGAAACTTCTTGAATAAATAAAGTAAATCAAACTATTACCAAAATGTATTTCTGGAGTGTGACACATATACATGTTCAGTACATGTTGACATTCTGCATCTGACTGTCAATAAAATACATAAGGATACATATCGGGTATCGCCATTCAGCTCAACAATATTAAGATGTGACTTTTGGTCCATATCGCCCAGCCCTACCCGACTCTACCACTGAGCCACAGCCACGCCTAAAATATTGTAATATAAGTAGAGGTGTGAAATTTATGTAAAAAATCTAGATTCTTCTCTCGTAAGATTTAAAATCAATTCATAATAACCAAAAAATCGGTTGCCGCTAAATGCCAAGGCTAGCTCTTTCAGCCAGTCTCACAGATAACTGGAGTAGATCCTGAAGTATGTACTCATTCATAAATACACTTTGAATCATGAATCCATGAATCCAGAATAGTTTTGAATCGAAAATCAATTCTGAATCGAATCATGACCCCAAGAACTGAAATCGAAATCGAATCGTGAGACACCCAAAGATTCCCAGCCCTAGAGATAAGCATCAATACTCACATGTAGGAATATTTTATAATCCACGTATGAATTCCACGAGCCTTCATTTTGAATGCGGGGATCTTGGACCCGCACTGCCACAAACTCCTGAAAGACAGAAACTAAGTCAGAGTTTCTCCAGAGAAGAATACATTTAAAACCCTTCTGTGATGACTGTGAGTGTCTTTTTCTGCGTTTTCCAGAATCACTGTTTAACATATTTAGGTATGACTCATCAAGCCTTCTCTTTATAAAGAGTAAGTTCTGCTAATGTTTTTATACACATATCTAAAAGGTATTGTTCTTTGGTTATTGAGTGGAAGTTTAAAAAGAGGACGTTTGAGCAACAAAAGAGACAAAGTACATATTTCATATTAATCATTGAGTTTAATGACGGTCACTTACATCTTCTTCTTGATTCCTGATCATCCTATCGAGTAATGCACTGCCAGGAAGAGGAGACATGAGTGAGGAGGTTATTCAGTGAAAACAGGATCAAAGGCCCTGACTGTGCTCATCTTAACTGATGACTCATCAACCCAGAGAGAAGAAGCTGGTCAGCGGAAATAAACTGAGTCACTCCCGCCGTCATTTCTCTTTTTATCGTTCAGAGCTGGAGAATAGTATTTAGACTTCTAAGAGCTTCTTCAGGGAGCAACAAGTGGAGTCACCACTCCGGTGGGGCGGGGTCAGATACAGGGCTGTGCTAAAAAAATCATGTTGTGGGAAATACCCAGCCCTAGTAGAGGTTCCTCATATCAGGATACAGACGATTGAAGCGATAAAATACTCTTTGTTTTATCATAAACAATACATATTTTTGGCCTTTTGACAATTAAAATAATGATACAAACAATAATTGAGAAACCAATTTAGTGTAACCCAAACATCATACACCTGGTAAGAGACTTCTTTTTCAACATTTTCCCGATACTATGCTTTTTAAAACGATACAAGTTTTATTTTAAATTACTGAAAAGTACCAAACTTTTAAAAGACTACTTCTTTTTCACGGGACAGGTCGGGCTGCACTCCGTCTGAGTTGCACAGAAACGTTGTGGTACCGAAACATTGCCGGTGTTTGTTCTCGTGCAGTATAGAGCGTGTGCAGAAGTTTCCCTGCAGTTTCTAATGATCGCTTGATATTTAATGTGTTGCATTGACAATTGCATCAAAACTTGACCAAATTGATATTTAATTGACACGTGACATATCTGTGATATCCCAATTTATTTAATTTAATTACATTAAAGTCAAATCATTGTGTGTGTGTGTGTGTGTCAGAGAGTAAGTGTGAGTGTGTGTGTCAGAGAGTAAGTGTGTGTGTGTGTGTGTGTGTGTGTGTCAGAGAGTAAGTGTGAGTGTGTGTGTGCGAGTGTGTGTGAGAGTGAGTGTGAGAGAATGAGTGTGTGTGTGTGTGTGTGTGAGAGAGAGTAAGTGTGAGTGTGTGTGTGAGAGACTAAGTGTGTGTGTGAGTGTGTGTGTGTGTGTGTGTGTGTGTGTGTGTGTGTGTGTGTGTGTGTGTGTGTGTGTGTGTGTGTGTGTGTGTGTGTGTGCGTGTGTGTGTGTGTGTGTGTGTGGCACACCGGGCTAATAAAGCTGATTGTGAATTAATTAGTTGAATATAAATTGTCAGATTATAAACTAAATGTTCAAACTGTTGTTGTTAGTTTACTTTAAGAAACAATGACATAAAGACAAAGGACGATTTGACCTTTCGAACCTAGAACCGGAAGTTGTTGAGTATTTAACCTTGATAAATAACTCAGAATCAGATTATTTAATTGTTTAAAACAGCTTTTAATTAATTAAGTTAATTTGCTTATCTTTTCAGTATGTAGTCCAATTAAACTACATGAATATCTGACAAAAAGAGGACAATCTGAGTACCATTAAAATACCCAACCAATTCACAGGTGTCAGTCTTTATATTAATAACGAACAGCTGTTTAAAGTCTGAATCATAACAAACAATCAGGCTAAAGCTCAGCTAGCTAACAACAAGCTACTCGGTAACTTCTTACTTTCACGGAGTGTCTTTTATCTCCTGGTGAAGTATAAGAGCTTCTGGTGTCTGTGTTGTTCTGCTTGTCGAGGTTTCTCTTCTATGAAAGTACAAAATCCTCAAACACGGAGGTTTGTTTTCGCGGACACCTCCTTTCTCCCATTTCGCAAGTCACAACTGCCGCACGACATGACGTCATTGCTTCCGGGAGTGCGCGCGCCGGCATTGAGTAAACTACGGAGCGGAAAATAACAAATCACTAACATTTGTTATACATTTTAATTTTTAATTTTTAAGCTATTTAAAAAAAAAATATATATATATATATATATATATATGCAAAGAAGAAGAAGAAAAAATAAAAACAAGTATCTTTTTAAAAATAGACCACAACATGTTTTCTCCTGATTAAAAAACGATTAAATAAAAAATAAATAACATAGATAGATAGAATCTTTATTATCGTTGTATACAAGGACACAACAAAACTTTGTTAGCAGCAATCTTCAACAGCAGCGTTTACAAAAACAACAAAAATATATTTGTGGTGATTTGAGAGAGAAAGATGCAAAAAGTGGCCAGAGCAGTTGCTGTTCAGTGAATGAATGATAATAATAATAAATAAATAGACAGTTGTGGTGACTGAAAGAATATATACAGTTATTATTTTGCAGTGACTGTTTAATTAAACATTGTGATGGTAAAGGTTAATTTACAGTAAATTAACATGATTCAAGATTTATTTTTGGGCTTTTTGTGCCTTTAATGGAGAGATAGGACTGTGGATAGATTCAGAAATCAGGGAGAGAGAGAGAGTGGAGGAATGACGTGCAGGAAAGGAGCCACAGGTGGGATTCGAACCTGGGCCGCCCGCTTGGAGGAGCAAAGCCTCCATACATGGGGCGCACACTCTAACCACTGCGTGACCAGCACCCCGAACATGATTCTACAACTCTGAAAATAAAGAAAAAATTAAAAACCCTTTTAGATGCTTAAAAAGAAATTACAATACCTTAACATTCAAATATATAATCAATCTAAAAATATTTTCATGGTGCCCAGATATCTCAGCAACACCTCAGATTAAGATGTTTTATCTTCAAATATTGGAGCATACCTCCTGAATACTTTGTGTGCAGTGCTGTACAAAAATACTACTGACAAACCAACTTGTGCATACCAGAGTGAATGTGAAGTTTATGAACTTGTTTTTGTGTGTACTATAGCAACCAATCAAAATCACTTAATATATTAGAATATTGTTTATAAATAAAGTGTAAGATATCATATCAAAATTATTGTACTGTATAAGCAACGTTTAAAACCAGAAGCCCAACCTGAATAAAGCAATAAATTGATGATAAAGGGATTCTTCAAATAGTAAAAGTATGTGTAAATAGCAGCTCTTTGAAATAAACACTTCAATCAATCAGTCAATCAATCAATCATTTGATATGCTTTTATTTTTATGGATTTGGTATTTGCCTATTAAAATGAAAGGGTAAATTAAGGGGTGTCTCCTTGAATTAGATTAAGGTTTATTTTATTTTTGTAGTTGGATAAAGGAATAAAAATACCCAAAAGTATTAATTAACTGCTGTTTTTATTAAATACCGTATATGCAATGAACTGAGGGGTCGTTCCAACAATCCAGTCCGCAGTTTGCTTTGACTCTCCTTTCACAGATCTACAAACCACATGGACACGGCACGCCCGGCGCCTGTGACGTAGCGGAGTAAATCCACATGAGTTGACAGTCAGTGGAGCTGCTCTCATTTTCTTCTTCTACCAGACGAAGGGGCGGAAACGATACACTTCACAGTGCTAGCAGATCTTTTGACAACAAATCAGGACAAACCGCAATTTTTAATAACTGGACAATTGCAGAGCAGAGGCTATTGCGTTGTTCCGCTTCAGTCCGGGGTGCAACTTTAGATTTTTTTTTTTTAATTGTAAGTCATCGGTGAGTTTTAATTTCCATGTCTTTCCCTCCTCCCTCCAAACGTGTTGTTTCGTGATCGTTTGATTGTGCACGACCCTATCATTACCTAGGTGTTAATATGCATATTGCTCAATGAAAACCAGCGCTGCGACAAGTGTGTGATGATAAAACATCGTATACATTATGCGTGAGCTTATAATACACAGACATCCAAGAGTATTTTTTACATTAGTTGCAAAAGCAATATGGAGGAAAACCAGCTATCTGCAAACTGATGGTCCCTGCGAGGCTTTGTCGTGCACTGATTTCTTCCCTCTGCCTGCAAATGATATCAACCCAAACCCTCCATGTAGCATGCAAGATGTGTTTAACACAACGCAAAATGCACATTTTCTGAAGCCTGTCTTATTCATGATCATCCTTTAATTTCCCACAGCAATGTTAGTCTCTGCTCTGCCGCCGCCAGGTGTTGCAAACCTCCTGTGTGCACTGTTGTTGATGCTGGCTGTAACAGGCATGATGTCCGTGTATACGTCGCTGCATCATTATTAATAAGTGATGTGATAAATATACAGATTAGTGTCTTGTTTAAAGGTGATCAGCTTCAAAATCATAACACATAACCCCAAAGAGCTCTAATGAATGCACTCCAAATGCATTACTATGTTACAACATATGTGTAATAATAATGTAACAGATGGGTATCTAAACATCACTTTTCATCTACATCTTTTGATTTTCTCAGTCAACCTCATTCTCCAATGTTTTCTCCTCTCTTGTGTTGACCAGGAACCTGCTGGTCCCCAGGTCTACCTGATGAGTATGAGCCTGACTCCAGAACCAACCCCTAACGATGCCCCCGCTGTCACAGAAGGTTTATTTTCTTACATCAATATCTCTGTTTCACTTGTCCTTAGGTAAAGGTGTTTGTCAAGTCCAAGAATGAATACAGTTGATTTATATGGCACTATAAATGTTTGTAACTCATTAAAAACTGCACTCAGTTGTGAAAAGTGACACATGATGACCCTAAGAAATGTAAACATCAGAACTCTCCATGCAATCATAGCTTAAGTTGGTTGTTGTCTCCAGGAATTGACTGCTCACTACACCTTTTTTTTATTTTTTTTTAAAATCCATCAGAGGTCAAACTGACCACACCTGAGAAGAAGGAGAAGAAGCCAGATGACGTGGCAGAGGAAGAGGAGGAGGAGGAAGAATATGTGGTGGAGAAGGTCCTGAATCGGCGGGTGGTGAAGGGGAGAGTGGAGTATCTTCTCAAGTGGAAAGGCTTCTCCAAGTGAGTGTCCCGGCTCCATCTTTTCTTGACATTATCAGATCGCTACATTCCTTCAAAAGCAGTGATTGCATTAAAATGATTTCCAAAATACCAGCAAAAAACATGCAGTGTTGTTTGTACTTGTGTGCCCCGCAGTGAAGATAACACGTGGGAGCCGGAGGACAACCTGGACTGTCCGGATCTGATCGCAGAATATTTGCAGTCTCAGAAATTGGCACACGACGGAAAGAGGAAGGCGGCGGGAGACGCAGAAGGAGATGAAAGCAAATCGAAAAAGAAAAAAGACGATGTAAGCCCCAATTCTTTGGGTTTTTTTGTCCAGAAAAAGTCACCCTACCTACCTTCCCTTTTAACAAAGCATTTATAGTGTGAAGGGTCCTGATTCATTTAATAGTAGTAGCTTAGACAAAAAAAAAAAACCTGTTGACAAATCGGTTAAAAATATCAACGGGGAATAATGGAAAAACCCCAAACTTACCGCCAGAGGAAGCGTTGGTAAAAGGAAGAGTTGCAGGCAGCAGATGTTCCTTTTTATTTAAAGCAAACATGAAACCTGATCATGATGAGGAAGTCTTTTTAAGTCATGAAAACCACATCACAGGCTCTGGGTGCAGCTGCTCGTGATGAGGCAGGTGTTGATTCAGGGGACGGCTTCAAAGGTGTCTTAACCTTGATTTGATCCGTTAATAACAGGCTCTCTTTCCCATCAACACAGTCAGGGTGCCCTTCATGCATTTACACATCAAGTGGAGAGGTAACTCTCAGGAATATGCAACGATTTTAAGTTTGTTACCCACATGTGAAGCTCTGATGCTCGTCTTTGTCATGCATGAAAGCTTGCTGATTATCTTCATGTTTTTAGATGTTTTGTGGAACAAAACAAGACAGAAGAACATTTTACTGTGGCTGGTGTAAAGGCTTTTGTCTTATCCAAAAAGTTGCACTAGAACACACCGCAAAGACTGCAGCCGACGGCCGACCACCACGTACGTTTTGCACATGCATGTGGCAGTAACTCTCCATGCCAGCAGGCGGCGGTAGTCTGTAATCGTCATTCCAAGGAAACCGGAAGAGGACGAGGAAGAACACGGACAAATAAATTGTTGTTGTGATAAGAGAAGGAAATTTTCTCACCGCTCAAGTTCTTCTAATGGAGAATAACGTCTGATAAAAAGTTGAAAATGGCGCTGGCGTTGTCAGCCCTTGGTCTTTTATTAGTGGAACAAGAAAAGAAGCGCGGCCAACGGTCTCCTTGGTGTGTCAGGGCCTTAAAATCATTGTCTGTATTACGACAGTCAATTATTATGATGATTTAAAAAAAGCATCAACAGTGCAGCTTCTGCCAGTTAGATATCGCATTGTGCCACATTGCTACAGTCACTATATTTCAAATTACTGTGTTGCCCCGGGTTACCGGATAAGGAAAAATTAACGTAGCCCTAAAAAGTATGTTACGGATGAAACTAGTCCGTCTTCTTGCTCGGCAACTCTCAGTTTTTCTCCTCCTAGCTCCACCCGTCATCGTCCTCTTCTGCCTCTGAAGTCATTGTTTTAAACGGTACAGAGACGTGCTAACTGGCTTCTTTTTAGCTGAAGGCTGCTGTGTGAACTCGTGCCGTGAAGTTGTAAACACTGCTCGCGAAATAACCTGGACACGCTGCCAAAGTTACAGAGTAGAAGGCAGGGCGTCATCCTCCCTGTTGAACCTCCTGTTTGAGGTGGACAAGTTGCCTTAAGGTTTCCCTGGCAACGCTTGTTTTCAATCCGAAATGGAATTTGAAATACTGCTAGAAAATGTTGTTCTGTTCATGTTAAATTGTTTAAATGTTTTTTCTAATCCTCAGACAGAGAAGCTAAGGGGCTTTGCTCGAGGTCTGGAACCAGAACGGATTATCGGCGCCACAGATTCCACGGGAGAACTTATGTTCCTCATGAAATGGTTTGTATGCAGCGATGGCAGCTGCTCAAACTAGAACATCAATGACTTTAAAAAAAACAAAAAACTGCCTTGTTTGTTTTGAAAGCAATTATTTGTGTGTGTGTGTTGTTTGTAGGAAAAACTCAGACGAGGCAGACCTGGTGCCGGCGAAGGAGGCCAACGTGAAGTGTCCACAGGTGGTCATCTCATTCTACGAGGAGAGACTCACTTGGCACTCATACCCGACTGAAGACGAGAAGAAAGACGACAAAAACTAACAGAGGGCAGAAGGCGGGAGGAAAGAATCTGTAGTTTTGAGACTTCATTGTACTTTTGAGAGAGGGGGGAGGGAGGGGGGGGCGGAGTCAGAAGAGGGGCCGAGACAAGCAAGACACCATCTGACTCTTTGGCGTATTATCACTCATTTTGATTCCACTTTTATCTGGATGTAATACTTGTAAATATGCTTCAGGTTTGCGAGACAAATCCCAGCCCGACTTCAGTGTAAAGGCGCAGTGTTAATGGACATCAGTCAAGTTTTAATGATCAATGATACATACATGATACATCACTTTCAGAAACATCCGATACAGTGCTCTGCCATCTTATTTCAGTGAGGTGAAGTTTTCTTTTTTTAATTCCTTAGTGTGCCATTTTTTTTTAACTTGGTGCTTTTAAGGGCGTCCATCTTTTAGCTGTTTTTCTTGGGACTTGTTTGGTGTAGGGGTTTTTGAACCCTTCTCAGTGATTTATTCGGTCATTGGTAATCTTTGTAGTGTTTTTCATTATACTGTCTTGCTTGTTGGTTTTTTTGGAGAATAAACCACTTTTTGTTACCGTGCTGTTTCATGATGATGTCACTTTTAATATTCAGTAAAACATCAGATAAACGCCCACTTCCCCGTGTTCCTCTAACACTAATGTGTCTCTAGTCCGTCTACAAACCCCCCAATAATGAAAAAAGTCCATCCTCTCCATCTTTTCCCTGCTCCACTTTTCAGAAAATGTGTGCTCAAACAGGCCGTTTGGAGATTTTGCCTTCATGACATCACAAAGGGCAGTAGCCCCTCCCCCAGGTGGGTGACACTCCCACAGCTAGCTGTTTGTTCTGCCCTCTGAGTCTGCCTTCTCACCTTAAACAATAGGACATGGAGCGAGAAAGCACCAAGTACAGCCAAGCCCTTCCAGAGAGGGGGCGTGGTCAGACACAGCTCATTTACATATTTAAAGGTACAGACACAGAAACAGCCTGTGCTGAGCAGGGCTGAAATAGAGGGGTTTATAGACATGATCAAAAACAGGATCAGAGTGGATACCGTCATTCACGACAACTAGAACACAAGAGTCACAGGTGAAAATAAAAACACTTTATTAATCAATAAAAACAATTCTTGATTGCCAGCAAATATCTCAAAACAGAGGGAACTACATCCAAACTGAAAGCAGAGGGTGAGACCGTTATGGAGACATTTGACAAACTACATAAATTATGACGAACACAAACATGAAAATATTTACAGAACAAGACAGACAACAAAGAAAAGTGCACTAAGTAGTAGCAGTACTAAATAGTTGGTGTCGCACTGGGTTACACTGACGTGAATGTTAACCAGTTTCATGCCTGAATAACACGTTTAATGAGGACACGTTTCTCCTTTCAGAACAAGTTTTTGGACATCATCTTAATGTTGCGACTTCAGTTCAGCCTTTTGTAGATATTATAGCCTAACCGCTATCTCAGCTGCAACAAGTGGTCTATTTTTTTAAACTTTTTTTTTATTACAGAGGGCGATGCAACATGTACCGACAGACTTCATTCAAAAAGACGAGTAATAGCACTTCTACTTTGAGAACATTTCCCCGTCAGTTCTCAAAACATTTAAAGTGAAGATGATGAGTTTGTGAAATAAAGGCATTCAAATCAAAGTGGCCGCGACACACCCCGACATTTCACACATTCAAAGACCTCTTTATGTCGTTAAAGAACTCGGCTCACTTTGTTATCGACACAAGAAAAGAAACTCATAATGTTAAAGCCAACAGCTTGGCTTTTTTACAGCAGTTAAAAAGTTACCTCCAGTGGCTTTCTGTTGGGAACGATTAAATAAATGTCGCTTCACTTGCAGCGACAACCGAGACAATCTGTTTAAACGTTACACCAAAAAACGAGGCATCAAAAGAAAATGAAAACCAATTAATAAGAGCTGTTCTGGTACCATTATCCTTCCCGATGCTTTTCAAATACCCTAAACTTCTGAAACAACCAAGTACCTCCTCCAATCTGCCAAGATGACACCGCAGATGGCTGCCTTGGCGGTGGCGTGCAACGTTTTGTCTTTTTGTGTCATGTTTTTTATTCACACAAGTCAAATTCCTTGCATATATACCTGGCAATAAAGCTTCTGATTAAACACAAATGTAGCAGAAAAAAGTACATATGAGTATTTATCGATTTAAACCGCAGTGGGCGATTATTACAGTACAACAAAGGAACGGTGACCTAAAAAACCGTTGGTGGCAGCTCGGTTCTGAGCCTCTCCTGGTATCCTATGTCAATTTAAGAGTGTTGGAAACCCAATATATTTGTATATTTTTAAGAATTTTTTAAGTGAAGCAGAGGATTTTCTGGCACAACTTCAGCAATTTGAAATTTTTTCCCAAAATATAAAGTGCATTACAAATAAAATATATTATTATTATTATTATTATAACTACCAAGGTGCATGACGAGTGAAAGGCTTAGAAGAGGTCAAAAAGCTCCAGCAACACTTTGTAGTAAGAAGATCAACTTTATTAACAAATTAGACCGACACGTTTCGGCTTGTGGCGTTCATCAGGGTCATCCCTGCAGACGCTTTTTGACCTCTTCTGAGTCATTTCTTTGGTGCCATTTTTGCCTTCATTTGATAGGAGAGCTGAAGATAGGAAACGGGGATGACATGCAGCAAAAGGCCGAGGTCGGACTACAACCCACGTCTGCTGCAAACAGGACTACTAGGCTCTGCACATGGGGCAGTACGGCTTCACCGCTAAACCATCCTGCATCCTGAAAAAACCCATATTTTTACCATTAAACTGCCTTATATGGCCAGTTTTAATTTCATGTTTTATTCAAATAGTTTTTCTGCTGCTCTAAAACAGAAGCAACAATAATTTATGTCATGCCATGCAGACTACTTTTTCTGTAGCAGAGGAGGAAAGTCTATTGTTGGGGGCTTATTAATCAGTGTATCGTATTGTTGTATTGACGGGCTTACTCACTAATAACTTCTGTGCAATGTAAGCTGTATCTGAAGAATTCACCCTGAAGGTAATGGTGTCAGAACAACTCTTAAATAATCTTAACAACGTTGATATGTGACAGCCTCGAGCTGCGGCTCATACAGAGCTCCTGCACATCACCCCCCAACACTTCTGATTACAGGCTCTGCTGCTGATTTAAATAAACAAAGAAGGTGTGGACTGTGACATAAAGCTGATGTGGATTGATCTCTAACCTTGCTTATACTACAGATTATGAACAGTTAATAATAAGAGCCTTCCTAAACGCAGCTTCAGATATTTAAACCTGCAGCGAAGGAATAGCGACAGACACAGCAAAATGCATATAGCCAAGCCTTTTAAAGACAAATTACAGTGCTATGTATAATTTATAAGGAAGTTGATACGTTTAGCAATGCAGTGTGCCTCCTTCATAAAAACATCCATCCGCCCCTCTAGCAGGACTTCACCTCCAGGCCTCTTTAAGCAGCGGCCAGCCCGGGAACACTCAACCTCTGACTCTTTCTTGTGTCAACATCCCCACACAAACAAACCCCAATCTCTTTCGGGGTCTTCCAAACTCAGATGCAACTGACTCAAAAACAGGAATCTGCGATACAAATCTACAGAACAAGAGTGCAGTAATTGAGCATTTAGGATGTATTCAGATCAAATGATGTGCACCATACAACCTTTGGTTAGTATAGGTGTTAATAGCCTCCTAAAATGATGGACTTCCTTTAGCCTTTGGTATCTAATCTCTCACACCCATGAATGATATTCCTATCCTGAAGATGTGCAACTTAAAACGCTCAGTGACCATGAAAATCACTCAAAAGTCTTCAGGATGGGATGTGATCTGATAGTCCCTCAAAACCTTCTGTGCATAGGTATTCCAACCGTCCGTGTTGACAGTGTTCGTGTTTCTCCTCACCAGTCCCTCGTTTCACCCTACATATCTCCTCCATCCTCAGTGGTTTGGTGCAAAAGGATCGAGAGCAGCTAAATTTTTCTAATAGCTCATTTTATGTCCTTTTTATATCCCTCTTCTTCTCGCTTATTGTTTCCCCCCGACTAAATAATGAAATATCAGTACTCAAACGAAGAGCTACTTCAGCTTCAGAGTTGTTTCCAGGAAATAAACGTAGGAACAGAATGAAAAGGGAGAAACTTATGCAGGAAGAGTAGTCAACAATGCCATTTCTTCTACTCACCAGAATCTTCATAAAGGAAAAAAAGGACATCTCTCTTGCATCTGCAGAAATCGTTCTTATTGACTTAGCAAAAGTTATAGAATACACAGCAGTTTCCCTCCCTCACTTCTTTTTGTCTTTTTGTTTTTTCTCTGGCTTTCGGTTCTGCTCCGCCGTCGTCACGCAGCGAGGCATGATCAGCACGCTGCCGTCTGCGCTGTACTGGAGCGAGTACTCGCTGGGAGGATAGGGCCGGCCCTCCTCGTCCCTCAGCTGACTGAAAACCTCCTGATACAGACTCTGCACCTTCTGCTTCATCTGCCGGATGGAACGGATGAACTCCATCTTCTCCTTCAGCAGGCGGGCCTTGTCGCGCCGCAGGTCGTGGACGCCCTGCTCCAGGTTTATGATGGTGTCGAGTTTGCGTTTGCGGCAGTTCTGGGCCGCCATCTTGTTCTTCCCGCGCCTGCGGATGTCGCGGATGAGGGCGAGCTGGGGTTCGCTCAGGTGGTGCTTGGCGAGCAGCTCGTTGAACTCTTCCACGGGCAGGTTGATGATCTTCTCGTTGGAGAAGGGGATTTTCATGGCGCGGGCTCTGCGTTCGTCACGACTCGCGTGCTTGTCGAGCAGGTCCTGATGAGTCTGGAGTTTCGAGTTGTGTTTGTCGCGGACGTTCTTCTTCCCGGTTGGAATGGGGAGCTCTGGATGTTCGGCGAACGCAGAGGAAAGCGGCAGGTTGTAGGTGTGATTGTGGCTGATGCTGTCAAGGTGAGGGAGGCTGTGGAACTGAGAGGGGTCCTGATAACTCATACGGCAGAGTTTACTGTAACCCGGCTGATAACCCCCGACAGCCCCTTCCTCGGGCTCCACAGTGGTGACCTCTGAGTCGGTGCTGTACCCCACGGCTCCCTCCTCTGAGAAAGTGGCAGACGTTGACGAAGAAGATGCTGCAGAGGAGCAGGATGTCTCAGAGCTGCTCGGGGACGCCGGGCTGTGGCTCGAGTCCAGAGAAAGACCGGAATCTGAGTCGAGCTCGTCCTCCAGCTGGGAAGCTTGGGCCTGGCTGAAGCCCTCCTCCATGGCGAGGTCCAGCAAGCTGATCTCATCGAGCATGGATTCCTCCAGCAGGGTGCTGAAGGGATCTGGCAGGATGGGTGTGGATGTAATGTTGTTACTGGAACTGTTAATGTGAGGAGGGAGAAAGATCCCAGTCAGGTTAGTGGTTCCAAAAGTGGAGTTTATGTTGCTGGAGTTGCTGGAAGAAAGTCTGGGTAAGGTGGTTCTTGGGGTGATGCTGATAGAGTCCAACTGGGGATTGAAGATCTGGGGGAAGTCTTGGCTGCAGCTGGGGAGGGAGGCCTGGTGAAGGCTGACATCCTGGTTTACTGGTGTAGAGCCAGTCGAAAGTTCAAAGTTCCCGACAGTGTTTGACTCAACTGTCCCCGTCGTGCCGTTCACACTGCTGGAGTTTGTGGGAACTGAAGTGTTGTTTACTTCCATCGCCTTTAAAACAAGAGAGATTTTGATAAGAGAAATATACATATTTATCAAACGATAAAGCACATTTAGTGATAAATAAAGGATGGTGTCCACTGAGGCCATTTTTTGTGCAGACAGCATCCAACACAAAAACAATGCAGTTCAGTATTTTCATCTCTTAGCAACCTGATCGCAAAAACACCCTCAGCTGTTTTGTTGTGGCTTTGCTCACAGCACGCTCATCTGAAAAAAGTTCAAATTTTAGAACAGCGCCACACTCATCAATGTCACTTCCCCCTCACTGACCAATCAAGATGAGTGGGAGTGCAGGACAGCATGCAGAAACATACTGAAACAAAGATTATTACTGATTATTTTCGCTCTCTTGGTTTTGCTGCACCTTGATAACAAGCCTCTCCACAGGAGGAACTTGTCTGACTCTGAGCTGCTGCTTATGCCACTTTTACATTACTTCCATGTTTTCCTTACTGTTGATAATTCCTTGAATATAGGTAAGCAAATACTAAGCACATGAAGCTATTTAAAACAGACCCAACTGTCATTACAGTACAGAAGGAAGTAGAGGTTAACTTTCATAACCTAACAGCAATTAGCGCTGGGGAGAAGCGCTCTCAAACAGAGGTCGTGGGCACTCCCAGCGCAAAAAAGAAACTAAGTGGACACAAGGCCGTAAGCTTAAGACACTTTCATTTTTACAGCTTTTTAAAGGTAAGTCATTTCCCGACTGAGGCAGCAAGGCGGAATTTCTTCATATTTCCAAATATGCTTTTGCTGTAAAATTAGACATTCTTATCAGACAAGATCTCCCCTGATTTTTTACATCTTTTTTTGATTTTTAAAAACAGAAGCTTTTGCATTGAACCTACTTTTATCAGTTCCCAGACAACAAATAAATAAATGATGTCAGGACTTACAAATAAATCTTAAGAGTAACATACTTGTAGCTCCATGATGGCCATGATGTCTTGCCACTGCTGCTCCAGGTCTAACTGTGGCTCTGCTGAGGGCAGCAGTGGTGCCAGAGGAAGGCCCTGAGATGTAGAAGGAGCTTCATTGGAAACTATTTCTCTGTTGACAACTGGGGCTGGAAACTAGTTGAAATGTCATACACAAAGATAAAAAAAATATATATGTTCAGAACTTCCCTTTAGTTTCTTCCAACTGCTCTGCAGTACGTGCAATATATGTGTGAGACAAAGAGTTTGAATGTTGTTACCTCTGATTCTTCTCCAAATGGAAAAGTCGCCTCCAACAGCCTCAAACATTCTTGTAGAGACAGAGAAGTCTGTGAGCCGATGCCTGGGAGCTGCGTAACAACAACAAAAAGATACAAATACAGTTAAAAATTTATATTTCAAGTTCAGTTAATTTGGTCCAGTCAAATAAAAAACAGTAATGCCTTCTTGTTTCTGCTCTGGATTAAGTAAAATTTACTTTTCAAATGAAGAGTTGCAAACATAAAATCCTACTGAATGACGGGTTATTGTTTGTCTGACCTATTCTGCAAACTGCCTTGTGCTGCCACACCTTATACAGTATATCATGCATAGTGAGGAAAAGACAAAGAAAGACCTTCTTGCAGCCTGACATCAAAGGGAACAGAGTGGTGGCTTTCTTTTGCTCACTTTTCTATATGTTTTTTAATTTGAAAAAGGAGGACTCAGGCTCAGCACACCTGTATTTTGTGCTCATCATCAGTTCCTAATTAACCAATAACATCACTGCGCTTGCATTGTGTTTTCTTACAACCTTTGTGTAAGATTTTGCAGTGAATAAAAGCTTTAGATAGACGTTGCTTTAAACCCTAATCAGAAGGTTGCTATAACAACTAATAAAACAGTATCTACTGTCACCATCTTGTGTTGAACAAGCCATGTATGCTGCAGCTAGTCATGGTAAATGGACTTGAGCTCATATAGAGCTTTTGTAGTCTTCTGACAACTCAAAGTGCTTTTACCCCGCAGGTCACACACTGATGGTAGAGGCTGCTGTGTAAAGTGACCACCATCAGAAGTAACTAATCCCATTCATACACAGACGAAGCAGCTGGAGCAACTTGGGGTTAAGAGTCTTGCCCAAGGACACATTAGACATGCAGCTACAGGAGCTGGGGATCAAACCCCTGACCTTCTGATTGAGAAATGCCCGACTCTACCAACTGAGCCACAGCCGCTCCTAGTATGTCATGTTGTTAAGTTTGATTATTTAACATGATTATTCTGGTAATTTGCACAACTACCCAGCTTCTTTTATCAGACTCCTTAAATTCAGTTTTTCGCCAATCCTCCATAAAAAGTATTTTTCTTGATCATCATAATCTTGAATTTCATTGTGCAACACAGTGTTATGTAACAGGAAATGAATGTGTCGAGTGTGTATTTAACAAACAGGTAAGTTGTGAAGGTATCCATCACTCTGACAGCGATGCTAAATCAAACACTGTGTGTCCCTCATAAACTGCTAAGACCAAACAATGAGATGAAAGTCTTATATTCATTCACACAGAGGATTTTTAAAGATGAATAATTAGTTTTCATCCATAATGTTAAGCTGGAAATGTCTTCAAAAGAATATCAATTCATATTAGTCCGACAATATCTATTATCACCCGTGTGCAGCTCCCAAATGTCTACTCTCTTTTCATGTGCTGTGAAACGGTTAAACGCAGCTTTTCGCACCAGATGAATCGGAAGAATAAAAGTGATCTATTTAGTCTACAAACCTGCTCTGGAATACTCTCCCCCGTCTCCCCGTCCACTGGCTGAACACCCTGCAGGTTAACTCCGTTCCTCCAGCTCTCCTGTTCCTCATTCCCGTCTTTGCTCTCATGTGGGTTGGGCTTTTGCTCCTCCTCGTTCTCCTTCTGCCGGTTGCTGTAGTTGAACACTTCTCTTCCTGCACCGAGGTCGATGTCCTGTCGCCATAGGATGTCAATCAAGTCAATGTCCTGGAAAAAATGATATAGCAACCATTGAAAAATGGCCCTGTGCAGAGAAAAATTACTTTAATAACCAGGTAGACAATAAATGAATGTATAAATGAAACCCTGAGTAATGTGTTATTGAATTTCTTTAACACATATATGATAATAAACTAGTGCTTTGACTGCTTGCCCTCTAACATAAGGTTTGATTTTGGCAGGGGTTTTAGGCAGATCATGTAACAGAAATGTATTCAGGATGATGCAACCATGATATAAACACTTTGACATGGTGGTTAACATGTGATCAGAAGGAGGGCTTGGTGCATTACAGCCCAACAACGACTTTGTGTAACCCTTAACTCCTCGGCATCAATATGGCCATTATGTGCCAGTTTCTCACATAACTGGAAGGACACATTACATGAAACATCAGTAACAGCAATTAGCTATTATACAAAGAGAGTTTGTTCAGATAAACAGAAAAACATTACTGATATTTATTCTTTTTGATAAATAAAAGAAAAGAACATGACTGTTTTCAGTGGGATTCGCCCACATGAACAACTTTAAATGTGACCACAATCACAGCTGTAACAAATGTGACAACTGGTTTGACTATAAATATCCGACACTAATAAAAGACCAGGGCTGGGGAACATGAACGATCCATCTTAACTTAGTGTATACGCCTTAACTTTAGCACTACCTCGTACGCTTTATGCCGTTAGTCCCCTTTTTATGAAACGTATAAAGCAGCCATGATTGGTTTTGTTATCTCAGGTAATTGAAGTGTGTTTAAGTCAAACTTTAAATCCTTTTTTGGTAACATCTGTGGCTTGTGCTGAATTGTGCTTTGACATTTGAGTATCACAGTCAATTAAGCCATGCAAAAAAACATGAACTGTTGGGTTACTCTAATATAAACATATTATAAAATCAATTTCTTCCCTTTGTTGTGAATGTGTTGACAAGAAGCAAACGTCAAAAGTCGATGTTAAGCCCCCATTCTGTTCGCACATGACCCCCAGAAATTAGCAAAGAGAAGACAGGACAAGCTGCAGTACCTCTTTTGTGAGGTCGTCGTTGCCATCCCTGCCGCCCTGCTCCTGGTTGCCCTCTGGTGCCACAGCTCCCAGGCTGCTGTCCGCCGCGTTCAGGTTGTACGTGGATTCAGGAGCTCCACTTCCTCCCCTCATGGCCGGGGTAGCGTCAGGGTTGTTAACGTCCTCTAGGCCGGCCCCATTTTCCAGGGTGATGCTGGGGCCGGACTGGCTGCTGGGGGACACCACAGTCTCAGAGTCACGATGCACTAGCCAGGTGTTGAGCTCGGTACTGGGCACGGAGAGGCGATCCAGCTGGCGGACCTGGTTCAGCAGCCGCCGAGTGGTGAAGAAATGGTCCAGGTCCACACTCTTTGGATGGATGCCATAGCCGTCCAGCGTGTTGCGCAGGTTGTGAAACTGTGTCTGGGTGTAGGCTGAGCTAGGCCCCAGGATGATCTCTCTCAGTGGGGGCAGCTGATTGTTTAGATAGGTGTCAACGTCCACCCGCACCCCAATGAGACTCAGAAGGATGGTGAACTGAATCAGGCCCTCTGTGAAGTACTTTTTCAGGTAAAGCATTTCTTTACAAAGGAACAAAAAGTAAAAAATAAAAACAAAAACGGGGCTCACTACCGTGGAACAGAACTTCTTTCAGTTGCGCAAGGAGACGGATACAGACACATAAACATAAAAAAAAAGTGGTGTAAGATAAGTGAAGGGGGGGGGGAAAAGGGTCTTCAGCAGGATTCTGTTTGTTTAGAAGGCATGTGACATCCGGGATGGCGTTTCCAGTCCGAGAGAGTCCAGTCTGTGCTCAGATCTTTGTTCTTCATAAGGTTCTCATCTTCTCATTCCTGGCAACAAAAACAAAAAAAGTGAGAAAAACATTTTATTTCTCCACGTGTTCAGCATTATAATCACACTCCTTTAAGCCCTGTAAGACACGCACGCCTTTACCCACCTCACCTACATTATGTAGCACATGTAAATGGTAAAAAATAAAGAAATAAAGGACTTGCAAGCTTTCCTGCTACCACTCCATCCTCCCAAGACTTAGAGAAGTGATGTCTGCTCGCCTTTTCTCTCTTGTTAATTTCACACCACAGCAGAGTTGGAGGAAGCTTTTAGGTGTCACCCCACCCTTTGCACAGGACAACTACTTCTTGTTGGGTGCTGCTGAAGGTGAATGAGGGAGTCGAGGAAGCTCGCTGGACTGGCTGGTTAGCACGGCAGGCAGGGTCCCTCCCTCCTATCCTCGTCCTTATGACGTTAGCCCGTTAGCTCCCGTGTGTTTTTGACCACCCGGCCACTGCCACCACACATGTGACTACAAAAACGTATTTCACGACACGTAAAGCAGCAACAATACGACACGTCGCCGCCTCATCTACTCAGCTGTCGTCTCCGTTTCCCCCTTAAAACGAGTGACAGGTGCCCCCACTGTGGCATTTCGGAAACTACCCACTTCCGCCGTTGCTAGCATCAAACAATCTCCCTAGCAACAAGTGGTGAAAAGACGGTTGACAGATTGCGGCGCCAATCACACGCGTCAAGCGAGGTGACGTCACATGACTCCAGCAACGCCCGGCCAATGAGAACGGGGCAATGGGTGGGGTGTTTAGGAAATGGGTAACTACTATTGGAACTCAGAGCCTGCGCTGTGCTAGCTTTTGCAGGCTAACTATCTTTAATCATTCAACTTACTTTAAAAAGTAACTTACACGGTATCACCCACACGTACTACTGATTCATATATTAATCTGCCATTGTACGCTAACGCCATAAATCTGTAAATGTATCCGGTTTGCGGAGGAGTTAATTGAAATGTCTTGATTTAATACTTACGCGCTGCGATTTTGCAACTGTACCGTCGAGCCCTGAAGACCACTAGCACGTAAGAAATGCATTAAGTCCCGTTTCTTTAACAGTTCCACAGTGCAGCTCGATAAAGCATCCTTCAGCCTTTCCTCGCTGAATGGCCCACCATGACTTGCAGAATTGCTAGCTGGCCCGGCTAGCCTAGCAGCGCCGCTTGACACCAAAACACGCTTTCACAATGCGCATGCGCAGAACATTCTAGTGGCAGGCTTTCATCAGCCAAATAAAAAAAAAAAAAAATCCCCCTTTAAGGTAATAAATGTGCTCGTGTCGTTTACAGAAAGTCACATTTCTGAAGTTAATTAAAAACGGCTTGTTTATTATTTCCAAACAAATAATTTTAAAAAAAGTGCATCACAGCGTTTATGTTTGAATATTTATTAATAGTTTCCTTATTTTTAAAATGTAGTAATTACAAAGTCAAAAGCCAATAATCTCAATGTACATATTAAAAGGTATTTATTTCATTTTTTTACTTTACCAAATTATTTAATTTCGTTTTAGGTATTTTATATTTTTGTTTGTTTCATATGTAATACGTATTTAGTTTTACATGCAATAACAGTAATCTGCATGTCTTCTGTCAAAGTAGTTATATACAGCATGAATTATGTATACACAAACATTTAATTGTATGAAAATGTAGGTTACTTATGCAGTCAAAACAAGCACACAATGGACACAATCATACATGGATAATTACAACACTTTTACAGAACTTTTTTCGACTTTAACTAATAGATTTGATCACTTTAATTAATTTAATTAAAGTTTGATTTGATCACTTTAATTCATTTAATTAAAGTATACACACACCTGCAACACACTTTCCTGAAATGTACAACATTTCCTAACGAGTCTTAATCCAGATACATCGAAGAACACATCAGACCTTTAATTAAATACCAGTTTTTATTTCCTGTAGTTGGTCATGATTCAATACTTTTAACTCTGTTAGGGTCACTATATGTTTACTCCCATTAGGTTGACCGGTCTTTTGTGGTATTTCTTTGAAATGTCGGCTTCAATCTGCAAAAATAAATCACAACCAATTAGAATAATTACTAAAACACTGTTTTAAACTCAAGAGTCTCAAGAGTCTACAAGGTGTAGCATATATTCAGTAATTTACATATTCCTTCAGTGTACTCTAATTATTATCACATGACAAAGTTAGACTTTTTGAAGCTTATCTGCCTCAAGTGTTTACTTGACACAGACTTTTTTAGTGAGCTGGGAAACTACCCACTCTGTTAACTTAATTAAATAGAAAAAGTAATCCAATACCTGTTTCTGGAGTTCCCGGGTGCATACTGCCATCAGGTCAACACGAGGCTCTAGTCTGGACTGCTCCTCCAGGGCCTCCTTCCTTTTCTCAACCATTGTGGCTGCTTTCAGTACCAAAATGTCTGCCTGCTTCAGCTTCTGTCTCAGCACCTCAGACACACGCTCAACATACCTTAAAAAAAAAGAAAAGAAAATGATTACAATTCTTGCTTAAAGGAGAGGAATTACAGACTCTGAGTCCCCTGTATTGATGCTCAGTTTCTAGATTGTTGTTTTAAATTAACATCAAATTCAGCACATTAACATCATTTTTAAATAACAGAATTTATGAAGACTGATATTTTTATGCAGTTAAATATTATGGCAGCGTACCGTGGCGATGCCTGGATCATGAACAGGTGCTGCATCCTGAGAGAGGTGAGCCGGCCCAGGAGGTTCTGCACCTCAGACAGCATCTCCCTGACGTGATCACGGCTTTGGCCTTGTATGACAGATGGGGCCAGCTGGAACTGGCTCATGGCGACCACGTCTCCCTCCTCGCCCATCTCAGTGACCCGCTGAGTCAGGAACACTTCCAGCTGAACAGATAAAATGAAAGTGTCACTTATTTTAAGGAAATCTGGCGGATGATCATCAACATCGACCATTAAAAGCAATAAATCGATTACCAGAGAGGCCTCGTTCAACCAAATGAGTATCCAAAGTATTCGATTACCTTTATTCTTCTGTAACTATCCTGATGTTTCCTGCAAATCTAAACATTCACTGTGGGTTCTTTTCATTAATATTTGTGATATTTGCACAACCATAGTCTTTGTTTGTTTTGTGCTGCTGCCTGTCTCGGCCAGGACTCTCAATCTCAATAAGGTTTTCCTGTTTTAATACATTTTTAATTAATAAATAAATTCTTAAGGAACAAGTTTTGAATTTGCAATTGAAAAAAAAAATCATGCTTCTTTACTCCTGTTAAAAAAATGTGAATCAAGCATTAACTATGTTTGACCACTAGGGGGCAGTGAAAACAAGCTGTGAAAACAATAATTAAGCACCATGTGGAACAGGGCTCATCAACTACATTAGTACAAGGGCTAGTTTTTTTTTCTTGACAGACACTTTGGGGGGCCGGACTTTACAACATGCATGCACATAAGCCCGACAGAAGTCACGCCTGATGTTCAGAAGTTTGTGTCAGAGGGGAACATATGGAAATAATGGTTGGCATTAGCAGAATTTTAATTTTGGGCATACCTTGGCACCATTTTCTTCTTAAATGTGTATTTGTGTCCCGTTTGTTCTTGTTGTCCTTTTATATTAAAATGTCAATGTTACTGCTGATATGACTTTGTGGTAATACATTAATAACGTAATCATTCATCCATCTACATTTTATTTTATAAAGTGCATTTAACCATAATGAAAATGCTCACTAGTTGTACCATGTTTAAATGTTCATACATGTTTACGGGCTGTACTAACGCTGTTGATTACATAACTCTATACGCAAAGATAAATGGTAGAAGACAGAGTTTAAAAAGAGTTATATGACACTTAGTGACTGTAGTCTTTACCTCCGTTAGCTCGTCAATGAACTGGCCGCGAGACTCCGAGTTCTCCAGTATACTTAAAGCGTCCTCCCCCCTCGCCACACCCTCAGGACCTGCAGGATGACACACACACACACACACACAGTTCAACAGCTGAGTAAGAGTCAGTTTGATGATTGGCGATAGTTTAAAAAAAAGAAAAGTACTCACAGTCTGTCCCTGCATCCACAATTTCAATTTCTATGGGAGCAGGTTCACTGTCGCCCCAGTCGATGCCTCCAGCACCAGTGTCCTGTTGGAGCAGACAGAGACTGGTAAACAACAGCTGTGGTTTTATTCAGTTAAAGTACCCCAAACCCTCTCACGTATGCACAAGTACTCTTAAATTAATTCCACCTGCTGTTTTCTAAAATGTGTGTTACCTCAGAGCTCGGCTCCAGACTGATGCCCCAGTCGATTCCATCCTCAACTGTGATCCCGGAGCTCACAACCTGAGGGTCTGCTCCTTTGCCAAAGTCGCCCCAGTCAATCTGAAGAGGATTTTACAGACAACACAGAAACACAAACTCAGTGGTGAGAACAAATCAGGAACTTTCATATTGACCCATCGTTCTCAAGTTAGTCTCACGTTTCAAGAATATCTCAGATAAAACAGAGATGCTGCATGAGTCCTGAGGTTGAAGTACATTTCACAAACTAAAACCCAATTAAATTTAACGGTGAAACCTGAATTACGACCTTTATTTTGAAACAGGAACAGTCCAAGAGCAACGTTTTGTTTTGTTAAGCACTCACATTACCTCAAATATCTCCAACAGTTATCAAAGCTAGGGAAATCTATAATGCTATAGTTGTAACGGGACGTGTCTCGTGTGGTGGCCGATGTCAGACACGACGTGTTTATCGTTGCCATGGAAACACCAGATGTTACGTCAAAGACCGCTGCATAAGGAAGCGTGAGCTGCTACAGAAAGCTGCCGTGCTGTTGCTGTTTGTTCATTCGTCTTGACTACAGTCAACTCGGAGTTAGTTTCATTTGGGGGGTGGGGAGCAGCAGAGAGGATCACTCCCATGATTCCCCACCAGCTTCAACACCATCTTTGGTTATTGCTTTGATTGAGAGCCCCCTGGTGGCGGAATCTACACACTGCATTTAAAGGATTTTTCCCTCAGATGTATTGTAAGATAGAAACCGGATATTCTACAACTCAGATTAATTTATCTTAAAGAGACAGTAAACACACCATATCGTCTGTGGCTGTCTCAGCAGCTGCTTCTTCCACAAATGGCCTCTCAACAACGGTGGGTACTTCCCCGTTCTCCACTCATAAAACGTTGCGTTTCCTCTCTTCTGGGCAAACGTCAGCATGGGCAGGACCGTTCAGACCTACAGAAAACAACACGTGCACTCGTGAGAAAACCACATGCTATGGTTTAATGTGTATCCTTACTGTATGAGGTTTATGTACTGTGGTCTGACTTCTTTATAACATATAAAGATGAGTCATTTGTATCTGCATGCTGGAGACAATAATGACAGAGTCGTGTACCAAACCTTCAAAAGACTAAGAAAACTAAAGCTTCGTTTTAATCGTGTACTCACCACTCACATACAAAGTTTGTGAAAGCCGTATAAAGTTTGATTTGCTCTTCTAACTTTGCTGCATCCATCCCGACTTCGTCAAGAAACGCGGGTAAATCTTTGACCAGAGCCTGAAGCTCTCTGGGAACATTCTCTCCCTGTCGGGGAAATAAAGAAAGACACATAAAAAATGTATTTTTTGAGAGAAAGAGTTTGGACACCATAAAAAAAAAAAACTTTCTTCTAAACTTTGCACAGTGGACGTTTTAAGTTTCTGTGTGCTCTTACTGTTGTCCATGTCCTTGTACTTACTGTGATGCCGTACTGTTTGCAGGCAGCGTAGTAGCGTCCCCTCAGGTCCGCGGCCGAGCTCTGACACTCCCCCTCCCGCCTGCTCAGCTCCTGCTGTAGCTGCTGGGCTTTAGCCAGCTGCTTCCTCAGAGCCGGGCCTTCATAGCTCACATTGCGGCTCAGCAGGCTCGCCGTCTCCGCTGTGATGAGAAACAAAAAAAGAAGCTTTTTCCTATACATGCAATAATAACGTTTTAGCTGGATGCTTTCCCTCCATATTCTATTGTAACTGTGAAGAATTTACTTGAACAGCAGCAAGAAAAAGCACAGATTTCACCTTTATTTTTAAAATGATAGGCTTTGACTGTATGGCTACAAACACAGAGACAAGTGTTGGAACACCTTTACATGGATATACTGTAGATGTTCTCAAGCTTTGTAAAATACAGAGATCACTTTTTCCCCTTGTTTTTTTTTAATCACACTTACCCAGATAGATGTTATCAACCTCATAAAGAGACACAATCTCTTGCCAGTCCTGGGAAAACAAAATGAAGAAACATGATTTGATTCTTAATTCCTGGATAGTGTAGTCTTTTTTATACAGGCATGTTTCCTTTATTAGAAATGACAGCTGAAGAGAGTGCATGGGAGGAGAGAGTGGGGGGACGACAAGCAGCAAAAGGCTGAGGTTGGATTCAAAACCCACGGCCGCTGCAACGAGGACTATAGCCTTCGTTTATGGGGCACTCAACAAGTTTTAGTCACTTTAAAGCAGAGTAACATGCTCCATAGATCACCCCTAATACTCAATAGAAGAGCAGTAAGTTTGAATCCTCTCACCTTCATCCTCTGAGATGAATATCTGCCAAAGATGTTCTTGGACGACGCTTCAGTTCCCCTCAGTATCTCGACTATCCTCAGGCAGTGAAAGTAGTGAATGTCTATAACAAACAAACAGAGATTGTAAGTATTCATATATACAGTTTATACTTAAAAAGAAACACCTGCATACTTTGCATGACACTACAATACATGTAGTTAAAAAATGCAACATGGTCAAAAATACAGTCATAGCACAGGTCACAAAAACGTTCTTTTTTTTTTCCCCAGGTAAAAGACTGGCAGCTGTGGTTGCTGGAGCTTCATCGGAAAAAAATACAGTACAGATTTTTCTTCTGTAAATACCTTTCAAACAGTGTATGGTGTTGTGTCAATCTTTCAGAAAAAGGGTGCCAAACCTCTCTGATTTAAACATAAAGATACAATATAAGCGATAGTCTGGAACTGATGGACCTACAGGAGCCGGAGAGTAGCTTCTTGATCTCCTCGTTTTCAGGCATGTCCTGGATGGCAGCATTGATCTTCTCTCTGATAACTGTTACTTCACTTTGCCATTTCAGATTACAGTGACGTCGATCCACCAGCCAGTCTGTGGAAACACTACATCATTATATCCATTGATGCTGCTGCAGGTGTTACGGATTAAAGAGTGACCATGTAAACTGGTGCTTTTCAGCCAAATGTCTGTGGTTGTCATAGTAACAACAGATGCTGATAACATTAAACTGGGAGGCTCTAACCAATGGGAAACTCAAGTCACTTACTTTTTCCAACTTTTTGAAAGACTGAAAAAATATTTTCAAGTCAGTTTTAAAAGTTATAAATTTGGAGTAACTTTAAAAACATTAAAAAAACAAAAAAAAAAAACTACTTTTTTCTTGCTTCCTGCTTTCTTACAGTGCAGATGCTTTTCTTCTTGCTCTCTGCTTTGCTTACATTCTTTTGCTGATATCTTCTTTTTTCTAAACCTAATTTAATCGACAGCCGGTCCTGGACATTTCCAAATCCTCAGGACTTTATTTTTTGACAGACACAGGAGGTCTTCAGCCATATTTTTTAGCATTTTTTGACCCTTGCATCGCTACACGACTGTGGCCTGACAAGAGCACAAACCTGCGCCGCAGTACTTTGAAACGCTGTGCAGCTGTAAATGTTCTATTTGAATGTTTCTTTTGTTGTTGAAATAACAGAACAGTGCTATATAAACAAACTTGCCTTACATCTGTGAATAAAGAATATTATTACTCAAAAATGCATCCTATTTGATCTACATAAACACAACTAACTTTATCATACGGTATTTAAAAACAGGTATTACAAGCTTTGCAGCTGACCACAGTGTCCTAACTGTCCTCTTAACATGAAAGACACTAAATTGTTTTCGTTTTATTAGAAGGGATATTTCATGTCAAACTGCCAAATTATACATGCATGCAATGATTTTTTCACATCTGTCATATTGCATCACATCATGGTCCCAAACTTCTCCAACTACATTAAAACCTGTTGTTTCTTTATATAAGCAGACAATAAAAGTCATGGACCAGAAACCTATGAGATGGCATCACTGCGGCATTTTATAAAAAACACAACCTTTTCACCTTTGACAATTTTATGAATTTTAGTAATCTTAAACCGTTCTTTAAATGTGTAAATAATCATGTGTCTCCACTGTTATCTGAATTAGCCATCAGGCGTCAGAGCTCTCGTAGGGCAGTCACACGAGCCTCCATCAGCAGTGATTGTCTTGTCCCAATGTACGAGACATCTTTTGTCCGGTCTGCTTTCTCTGCAAAGGGGTCAAAACTTTGGCGCTCTCTGCCCACTGAATTAAAACTAGAGAGCAACATTAACCCTTTTAACAGAGGACTCAAACAATGGCTGAAATCAAAACAACAGTGCTCACATCTCTCATCCATCTGTATTATTGTATTATAGTATGTTCATATTCTTTAAATTATCTGTAAACTTGTATAACATGCTCACTGCATCTTAATCTGTATATTATAATCCTAAAAACACACTTATTTTGTAGCATTACTTATTTATAGCATTTATTTATATTTATTGCATCCCATTAATCCAGCCATCCAGATTTACCTAATAATTCACTTTCTACATCTGTAAATTTTGCAATTACTGCACATAGCACAGACTCTTGCACTTTCTGCTTATTTGCACTTCTGGTGAGATGCCAAACCTCATTTCGTTACTCTATACTTGTATATGTGTAATGACAATAAAGTTGAATCTCATCTCATCTCATCTCACATGAACAGCTTCTGACTGGTGTATTGTTTGATCATGCTGCCTTTGCTCTACACTTTATGTCTATTTATTTATTCTCTCCTTGTTGTTTCCTTTTCTAAAGCCTCCTGTGGTGTTGAGAACTACAGCATGCTTCACTAAAACACTTAAACAATGCATCTGGTTGGTCCAATGTGTCTGTGATGTCCAAATAAAGTCTATTATTATTATTATCACCAATTAACACGGTCACCGTTTTAACCGTAACACCAGCAACAGATGAGAAGAGAACAGTAACATATGGAAATAACTGATCCACATTAAGTTGTGTTTTTAAACTTACCCAGCAGCTTGCTCGTCTGGATGTCGATGGGGAGGTTTTGAATGTTCTGCTTTAATGAGAAAATAAACAAAACATTATAAATATCACTTTATTTACCGTTGTTGTGCCAGTTTCTTAATAAAGACAATAAAGCATTGTTTGAGGAATAAAACGTCTCTACAACAGAAAGGATTTAAATAAGAGGAAACACTTTAATATTAATTTATCTTTTTTTTTATTTGTTATTTTGAGTAAACTGGACTTTGACTGTGTGACAGCTAGCTGGCTAACGTTAGCATGCAGACTTTTAAAGCCGCGTCAGAGACTTTTCTCCGCTTACCTCCATTGTTTCTTCACCTTTCCGAAACGAAAACACTTAAAAACGATTTATGCCTTCATTTTAAATTAAATGAAAACAGTTAATATCCAGGATTTACTGTCCCCATCCGTATTTCACTGTTTATGACACGTTTCGAGACGGTGAGCCAATAGAACGAGGCGGTGTTACGGTTCCCGGACGGACTGACCAATGAGAGCTCACTTTACTGCGGAAGGAAGCTGATTGGTGGATGACTAAAATCCTGATATGATGCAGGTTTAAAGTCTGCCGGTAGAGGGCGACGTCGCTCTGTAACAGATAACAGAGCTGTAAGTGATTTAGTATGGAGGACTAAAAGTGCCAAAATGAAATATATAAATATATAATTAATTAAATCATTAAACGTGTCATTAATTATTTAATATTGGAAATAAATCAACAAATATATAAATAAATATATAATTATTTAATTAATTAAATGCATGTGTTATTAAATAATTATACCTTTATTTTAACAGCTAGAAGCTGACAGAGCTTTCATTACTTTTACTAAACATATCAACACAACCAACAAAAGTCCTGTATTTGAAAATAGATATAATTAGAATTTAGTTTAAGAGAAAATAACAATAATGGTAATCATAGTAATAATAATAACCTTTATTTATAGAGCAATTTCAAGGAGAGCAAAAAAGCAAATGTAAAAAACAGGGAGGTCATAGAACAATAAACAAGGCAAAGATTAAGAAATAACAAACATTTAAAGAAATAAAATCCATTTAAAAGAACTATAAAGGACATACAGTTCTTTTAAAGGAATTTAAAAACTAAGACAAAAAATTCAACTAAATTCAGCAAAGGCTCGCTGTGTGTGTCTTAAGAAGAGACTTGAAAGAGATGACTGAAGTACCGGAGTATTATTTGAGATGCACAGATCCACTTTTTTTCTGTGACTCACACTATAACACTTTATTTTGGTGTCTTTTTTAAATTTTTATTTAAGTTTTAATTTAAATTTAATTAGCTTTGTACAATACAGTTCATGTGTTGTTTGTTTGTAGTCAAGGGGAGAAGCTGGGGATGAAATAAAAACACCATACTGAATCATCTCAAGTTTAAATCAGTTTCAGTCCACGTCTTTTTCACAGAGAATTCTAAATAATTGTCTCATATTCAACGATTTAAAACCACATTTAGATACAAACTGATGTAAATTGAGGCAGCAGTATAGCTCAGGCTGCTGGGACGTCGGTTCAAGTCCCTGTATGGTGGTCTGGTAGCTGGAGAGGTGCCAGTTCCCTTCCTGCCTAGGTGCCATTGAGCAAAGCACAGAACCCCCAACTGCTCGGGGACTCTTTCATGTGCAGCCCCCCTCACTCTGACGTCTCTCCATTAGTGCATGTCCACAGGATCCTGTTTGTGCACGTGTGTGTATTTCAGCCTATGTGTGTGTAGCATGTCTCACAAATAGAGATGTGCCCTTGAGCAAGACCCTTAACCCCGAATTGCTCCCGCTGCTTCATCTGAAGCGTATGAATGTGTATGAATGGGATCAGTTACTTCTGATGGACTCTTTACTCAGCAGCCTCTACCATCAGTGTGTGAATGTGTAGGTGTGACCTGCAGTGTAAAAGCACTTTGAGGAGTCAGAAGCACTAAGCTCAAGTCCATTTACCATTCATGGAATTAATAAAGGACATCTTCTTAAACTCATTGAGTAACAGAAAATGGGGGGACAATAAAGTGGGGATGTGAGAAAGGGTAAAAATTCACCTTTCTATGAGATTCCAGTGTTTATATTTCTTAACTATTTGGACCAGTACCTGCAGAATCGGTCACACTTTGGTGTCTTGTGAGCTGGAAGCCATACACAAATATGGACATGAAATCCCCGCATTGAAGAGGCCTCAGCAGATCCTCAAGAGGCCCTAATGTCAGCTCATTTGAATGCCAACCAAACTTGCAAAGTAAGCTTCCATTTAGCTTCTGGGATTTGACGTGAGTCATGCAAAACATCAGGAGTGTCGCTCTCCTCTTAGAGATAAACTCTTCCTGTCTGTGTCTCTCTTGTTTCTCGTCTGCAGCTTTAAGTCAGTGAACGACAAACACAAAGATGACTTTATTCTGAGTCCAAACTCCACATTAGAACAGGTCTGGGAGGTTTAAAGAGAGAGACTGATAAAAGAGGATTTATCTGCAGTTTCAGGCTCACATTAACTCAGAGGTCAGTAATCTGGATGTAGGGACGGGGGCCTCACTAAATCACTCGGTTGCAACATTAACTCACTCCCTCACTCACTGAGCGGGGCGGGCTGAAGGTGTGTGTGTGTTTGAGGAGGGTGTGTGTTCTTTAGAACTCAGGGACAAGGTGAGGCTGAGAGAGAGAGAGAGAAAGAGAGAGAGAGAGAGAGAGAGAGAGATGCTGCACCTGTTCACGATCACCTGTGAAAGAGAAGAAGAAAACAAAAAACAGAGAGGAGAGAAAGACATTTGAAGCATGGCGGGACAGTTTCACATCTGACAGAATCTCCTTCATCCTCCTCTTCTTCATCGCGGTAAGAAAAGTCAACTTTGAGCCACTTTATGTCTTTAATTCTCTGCTTCAGACACTTTGGTTTCTCTTGTTTGTTTTTTTTATGCTTGACAACACAATGCACATTTGTCTAAACAAACATCCAGGGATGGCAACAGGTTGGGTTTATTGACAACTTATGTAATATATTCTCTGTTAGTAACCTCAGAACAGAACAGGAGGAGAAAGTCAGAGAGTTATTTCTATTGTTTCTCTTCTTTTTCTTTTGTCACTATAAGCTGCAACACTTAGACCATTACCTCAAAATGTTTAAAAAGTAACATTAAAGATCATTTTTAAGTGAAATATATTAAATATGGGAGGGTTACATGTCCTGAAATAGGAGAATTTGCTCTTATCACTCATCTTGTAAGACAGAGAATTTAATTTTTTAAAGTTGTGTCACTAAAAAAACGATTCTTGTTTAATCTAATCTCAGGCTACAGAAACATTTAATGGATTATCTTTATACTTATTTATATCAACTTTTTCAATAAGTTATATTAGTTATTGATCAATCAAAAATCTAATTTACTCGTCTCGTGAATCTTCTGAACAAACAATATTTATGATGTTAAATACTGAAGTTATTTTATTGCTTTTTCTTGGCTGTGAGCCTTAGAGAGAAAAATTTAACACATTTAAGAAAAGTCACAGATGATATAAAATAATAACATTTTAGAGTTTTAAGTGTATTTGTTGTCATTTCCAGTTAAAAGTCAAAATAAAGCTTCAAAGAAAAGTCAGATTTAAAAACAATGTAACCTTTATTTAGCCAGGTTTTGTTAAAATTAAGAACCTCTTTGTCAAGGGCGACCTGGTCGAGACAGTCAACAGAAAAGAAAACACAAAGTTTCACACAGAGACACAAAGAGAGACAAAGTGCAGTTCACTAAAACAAACATTTGCATTAAAAGAGATCTATATGAGTCAAATTCATAAAACATTTCAGCTCCTTCGGTTTTTAGTCATTCTGTGACAGATTCCAGGTTTTTGTGTGTAGAATACTCAAAAAGCACTTCAAGATTTCTGTTATTTTTTCACATATTTGTCCATGAAACAACCTCAAAAAGAGACTCACACAGGTGGAAACTGGCTTCATCATTAACTGTAGGCTTAAAACTCCTCCTAAGCTCATTGAACGTCACTGTTACGGGTCATCAGTGAAGCTGGCAGGACGGAGGAAACCTGAGACTCTCAAGAACCTTCAGCTTCTCTCTGAGGGCAGCCTGGAGCTTGATGCCCTCTGAGCCTCGTCCCCCGTTCACAGCCTCTGCAGCTGGTTAGTGATTCCCCCCCCAAAATGGTCCCTGGTCTTCCCTTCCTGCTGTGATCTCTGAGGGGGTCACCCTCACCGAACACAAATATGGTAACTTATTAAAGAGGGCCTCCTTTATGTCAACAGAAGGTTTTGACTCAAAGGTCACGTCCAAGTCAAACACGGAGAACTGAGAGAAATATGTGTGCCCTATATCGAGCCGCTGTTTCTTAACAAGGTGTGAAAGTGCTGCTCAGGCTTTCTGCAGAAACTGTGAGTCAACAATGTCATGGAAATCCTCTGTAAACACATGTGACAGAGGAACCTGCCTTTTGTTAAAGGCTTAAACATGCAAATTCTGCTGAATTCAGACAGACAAGAGAGGGAAGAGTAAGTCATGTCTGCTGTTTGGTTTGAAACACAACCTGTTGAGGTGTCTGTACAACCAGATAAAGGTTAGGCTAGCAGGCCCCAAAGTAACTCTAGGCGGAGGCTAAAGAAGCTTTAAATTGCTTCATTTTCTTCCTATAAGTTTACATTTGGAAGCCCAAAATAAAAAATCTGTTCCCTTGTTTCCTGAACCATTGCACCTCTTGTTTCATGCCAGCAGCGTGCAAACATCACACGCCTCATTCAGATAAGAGTGAATGTTCCTGCAGAGGGCAGGGAGTGTATTTGCATAGGTGCAACACGATAAAAGTGACCACACCAAAGGAGGAGATGTTTACTCTCCAGTCAGCCCTTCATAAAAAACAGAGATTGCAAAGCTTGTTTTCTCCTTCAGTGTTCGGTTTAAAGGCTTACATTTCAATTCAAATACCGTCCAGATTTCATTTTTGCGTATCAGAGCTTTAAGTTTGTTCCAGTTCTGAAAGATTTTGAGAAGAATTTGGATTTACAGATGTGAGAGTATCCCTTATAGGTTCTGAAACAACCAAAAACAATAACCTTTTTTTATCTGTTATATATTCATATTGGTGACTGAAAGGGGACGTTTTGTTACTTCTCCCTGTCAAACTGTGCATTTTTTGGGGGGATTTTTTGGCCTTCATGGACAAGTGACAGTAAGACAAAGTCAGGAAACATAGTGATGTTGCAACCATTTTGTGTATGCTGATGGTTTGTGCATTATTACTAATTTCATGGATATATCTGGTCATCGTAAAACAAGGTGTTTCGAAATCTAATAGTTGTGAAAGATTAGAAAACGATCAAAAAATCTCTCATCACTTTTTTCCATTTTAGCCCAATGTAACGTTGAGTCTGCCGTTTTGGACGCCCCTCGGTTTGTCAGATATGAGAGCAGTTATCAGGTCAACAGGTGTTGCAGCGATGGAAGCGGTCAAGAGAAGTGGTTCAGATAGAAGTGATTGTACCCGACCTAAAAAGCCTCTGCATGTTTCTAATAAGCTCCACGAGCAGAAACGTGCTCAAACTAGGATCAATATTGGAGATGCTTTTGAAAAATGGAGAGAGGTTAGAACACAGAAAGGTTTACAGACCCATGCAGAGCTGGATAAACACTGAAGCTTCAGAGTCCACCACATGGTGACCTGAGTGAGCATCCACTCTAGAGAGGGGGGGGGGGAGACAGCTCTACAATGTTTTGAATTTGGACTGCAGTACCCATTTTAAACACTAGTTGTCAGAGCTACATAGTGCTCCTTTAAAATAACGAAAAGCTGCAACTTATTATATTTCCGACATTTTCCCCCCTAAATATTTCTACCCCATATAGAACCGTCTCAACCTCAGAAATAGACTTTGTCTGTAGCTTCACAATTGTGGTTGAAAACTTTGAAACTTTAAATTGATATCCTATTTTATTAGAGATGAAGAGGAAGTATTTGAGTATGGTCAGGCGTCTTTGTGTGTGATATTTTGTATAGCTCCTCATAATGACTCAGTTGACAGAACACAAAGGTTGCCATCATCAAAGAGCCTTTGTATTCAGTTATTGAGGAAGTTATTCCTGCATTATGCTCTGTTGCTTGGAGACTGAGTCAAACAATAACTAGCTGAGGATAATAACAACGACCATAAACCTGAGTTCACTTTACTGCTGTACTAATGCAGCCTTGTTTTTGTTTTTTTTCATCAGTCTAAAGCGCTTTGGCTTCATGTCAGATCTCATGACAGGGACAGGTGATACTGCTCAGGCGTTCATGAATTAATCAGCGGAGAGCTGAGTGTCAGGTGTCCTCCTCCATCAGGTTACACATCCTGATCACGGAGACGAAACAGAAGCATCCATATCTGCACGGCTCGCTGAACACAGACGAGTCAAATACATGCAGCAGATCACTGTCTCACCTGTGTTTTAATTAAGACAACCTGCTGATCCATAATGCGCCTGTGATGTCGAATTGATAACATCACATCCAGCTTCTGCTCAAGCTAAACTAACGCTAAATTTGGAGTGACTGTTAAAAAGTTTGAGGTTAAAAAATATTATTTATTCAATTAATCTCCTAAAGCACCTGTTTAAAGTACTTAATTACCAAATACAATTTAAAGCTACTTTATGTTCATACAGTAAAAAATAATGGTATAGTCAGGGGCGTGTGCAGATGGGTGGACAGGGGTGGCATGGGCCCCCTAGAAACCTGATTGGCCACCCCAAAAACCTAAACAGTGATTGGCTATTTGCCCTGTCAGAAGCAGGACTTGTGTAAAACCAACAATATGTTTTTTGACTTTTTGCATTTCTGACTTTTTCCCACTAAACACTAACCAACATTATTCATCACGTTCTACATTTCTACCCCGTAAAGAACCGTCTCTCTCGACCTCAGAATTGGACCTACTTTGTCTGTAGATTCACAATTGTGGTTGAAAACCTCAAAACTCTTGAAGTAGAGGGCTGCTTGTATTTTTCTTTATATATCAATGTCTATTTAATAAGTCCGGTGCTTGGGAAAGTAAAGAACTTTGCCTAGTGTTGTTTTCGCCGCTCTCCATTCTCCCCTTGGCCTGCACTCACACTGCTCCAGGACTAACCGGGCCTGAGCATGGTTACCTCATTGTAAGACAACAAATGCATAGCATTACGTAATCATGAAGTGTGCTTCAGATTTCTGTTAATCGTTTGTGTTTTCTTTTTAATATTTTAATTCAGTGGCTCTCATTCCACCAGAAGGTCAAGCATGTGATCCCTAGCTCCTGCAGACACGTCAAAGTGTCCCTGAGCAAGACACTGAACCCAAAATTGCTCCTGCTGCTGCGTCAGCGGCGACTGAATGTGCATGAGTAAATAACATTTACCCTGAAAAACAAAAGTATTACTCATTATCAGTCTTTGAAACCAAGCCTAAGTAACTTATGTGTGTTGGTAGAATATAGATTACTCCTCTGGTTGCTAAAAACACAAAACCTTATGACAGACATAAAGACACCTCCCTGGATACAAACTTCCATATGATTTATCGCCCCAATATGTTTTAAATAAACAGTCAAATCAAATGTGTTGCAGGCAGAGGAGGAACCTTCTCAAACTACAGCTCTACTTGCATTGAAAGCATCTTTTACAGCATGCTATAGGTGTAAATAAAGTTGTTCTCTCTAGTCTTTAAGGGTGTTTTCTGTCTCCCTCAGGTCAGCCCTTTTCTCTTTTGGAGCCATGGCCGATCCCAGCTGGTGGAAGCTGACTTTCTCCCGTAAGAAGAAGTCCGAATCAAAGGTCCTGTATGAGATCCCGACGGAGTACGGCAGCAACACGGGAAAGAGCAAAGAGCACCCGAGCAACAACAACCCCCCCGCCGACCACATAGACAGCCAGTTTAACGCCCGACTGGAGAAGATTGTGGACAAATCCGCCACAAAGGGCCGGCACGTCAAGGTCTCTCACTCCGGACGCTTCAAGGAGAAGAAGAAGGTCCGAGCCACGCTGTCCGAGAACCCGAACCTGTTCGCAGAGAACAACCTCAGTGATGAGAACCATAAAAACAAGACTGAGAAATAACACACAGGGCCCCCCAAAAAATGCACATACTTGACCATGAAATGTTTCATATATCCATTTTTAAAATCTTAAAAACACATGCAAGCAAAAAACATGTGCAGCCTGTGCGTTGGATAAACACCTGTCACCTGTCACCACACCCAGGTAGATACTGTTACCAGTGGACTCACCCATACAAACAAACTGGTATCAGTAGAAAAAACCACTGAAAAAAAACACCAGGACTTTTTTTTCTGACATTTATAGTCCTGTCTTTTTCTGACTTTCCATCCTCAAATGGATGTAATTTACCACCAAAGAGTCTCTTTATCATGAAAACAGCTCACTGAAACTCATGCAAACATCTTTAAAAAAATAAATAGTAACACAACTGTAAATATTTTGTATTATTATAGATGCAGATTTTTGGTTTAGTCCTAATTTTTTATGTCTAAACAATCAATAAAAAAGTAAAATAGTGTCTCTATATGGTGCATTTAAACCACATTGAATTGTTAAGCATTTTTATTATGCAAAAGAGAGACTTGATTTAAATGTCTGTTTGTGAAATATTGTGAATATATAAAATAATTATCTATGCAAATGCACCAATCTGTGCAACACTCTTGCAAATATCCTTTTTAATGAACATTAATTCAAAGGTCATATTATATAAAATCCTCTTCTCCATGTTCCTCTAACTCTAATATGTCTCTAGTCTGTCTACAAACCCCCTGAATATGAAAAAAGTCCATCCTCTCCGTCTTTTCCCTGCTCCACTTTTCAGAAAATGTGTGCTCAAACAGGCTGTTTGGAGATGCTCCCTTCATGACATCACAAAGGGCAGTAGCCCCTCCCCCAGGTGGGTGACACTCCCACAGCTAGGTGTTTGTTCTGCCCTCTGAGTCTGCCTTCTCAACGTAAACAATAGGACATGGAGCGAGAAAGACCGAGTACACCCAAGCCCTTCCAGAGAGGGGGGCGTGGTCAGACACAGCTCATTTACATATTTAAAGGTACAGAAACAGCCTGTTCTGAGCAGGGCTGAAATAGAGGGGTTTATAGCATGATCAAATACAGGATCAGAGTGGATTTAGAACAAGAAACTTCACACACATGTTTTGAGGAGCTCTGAGACTCATTTACACTGATTGAAGAGGAGGAGAACATGTGACCTTTAATTTTTTTTATAATGAATGATAAAGTGGAATTAAAGCTAATTTTTTATGTCAAAACAATCAATCAGGACGAGAAGAAATGTCTTCAAACCAAACCCCAGTTCATTTTTATGCGTTTTTACGACCAGAGTAAATAAAATGTCTGTGTGAAATTATGTGCTTCCAAAATTCAAAGAAGAAGAAGAAGGATGTTTTGGTTTCATGTTTTATGTCACCTTTTCTGACTTTCTGTGCGCAAACTTCTGGTTCATTTAAATTCAGAAATGATCTTTAAAAATGAAGGAAACGTCGAAACAATCATGCAAATATCATGATGAATAAAGAGTGAGATTTGTGTAAATTATTTTTATCATCGTGGATGTTTTCTGGGAGTTTTACTTTGTTATGTTTGAACAACCCATTCGAAAATAAAGAAAATATGCTGTGCAACCAAACCCTTGTTTTTATTTGTTTGCATTTTTACGATCAAAATAAATAAAAATTTGATTTTTATGTTCTTCAGTTAGAGCTGTGCGTACACTCACATGTTGTATGATGTATGCAGACAGGCGCTCTGTCAGACTTTAAGGTATGTCACCTTTATTTGCACATGTACGTTGATGACTCAGCCTGTTAGTGTTCGTTTCAGGTAACCCAGAGCAGGTTGTGTTTTCACCTGAGCCCTTGTGTGCAGCTTTCTGTTGGCATGACGACAGAAAGCAGACACGGACACCCGATCCAGCTTTGTGCTTCTACATTTTGTAATAATGAATTACATCAGACCAGCTGGTGGTGACGAAGCAGTGAGTGATGGGGCCACATTCAGTTACTTTACTCGAGTAAAAGTACGTAAGTCGTACTGTAAAGGTATGAAAGTAACAGCAAAATTTGCACATTTTGGCTGCTGTGGTTTAAAGTTTGTGAGCCCTCAGGGGGCCCCCTACTGGGTCTGGGGCCCCAAGCAGTGCCTCTGTACCAATGCAACCCAGTATATAATGCGCATTACACATAATGCACAGGATCTGCACATCAGGAGAGATAAGACAACAAAGGTAAGAGAATATAAAAACATATAGGGACACCATGACGCTGCTGCACAATCCACAGAGCCTTAACAAACATCGTTCAGACTTTTGATTGACGTGGGAACAGGAGAGTTTTTATAGCGGTTCAGTTGACAGCGGGGGGACTCGGTATCGTCTGCCAAGAAGGTAGAAGCTCAGACTCAGACTGGAGGATGTGAGACGGGTCAGACTGTCACAGAGTGTTGTCTGTTATGCGTTATTAGAAGCAGGTTTTCAAACAGATTTTTTTCTTAATTGATTTTCTCTTTTAAAGAAAACTGGACATCCACGTGACATTAACGGAAACAACAAACAATGACACAAGACCAGCTTGTATAAAATAAGAAATGAAAACGTCATGTCAGTATTACTTTACAGGTTAAGCATTAACATGACTTTATTTAATAATTTTGTGGAGCTACATTCAGCATGGCGGGACATTGAGCTAAACTTTTAAAAAAAAGAAAGAAGATATTTCATTTTTTTAAAAAGTTTTTAGCCTTTTTGCCTTAATTTGACAGTTGAAGAGAGACAGGAAATGTTGGGAGGCGAGAGATAGATATGACCTGCAGCAGAGGGCTGGGGTCTGATTTGAACCCACAGCCACTGAGGACTAAAGCCAACATATCCACACCCCGAACTACACTTTTAATTTATTCATTTACTTTCATTAAAACAATTTGAATAAGATTTTACATTTTAATTCTGCACTGTAATGTTTAACTCTTTTTAAATTGTAACTTTATTTATTTCAATTAGTTTCATTTGAATTATTTTTATTTGAACATATTTTCAGATTTAATAATTTCAGTGATTTTTTAAATGTTCTATTTTAATGTTTCTTTTCTTTCCTCTGTCATGATGCTTTTTGATGTCTTGTGTGAAGCACTTTGAATTGCCTTGTTGTTGAAATGTGTGATATAAATAAACTTGCCTTTCCTGGAAAGAGGTGCGACAGTGGCCTAGTGGTTAGTACTAGTGGTTAGTGCTAGTTCCCCATATACAGAGGTTTAAGTCCCTCAGTGCAGGTGGTCCAGGTTCAAATCCGACCTGTGGCTCACTCTCTCTCTGTCGCTGATTTTCCAGCTCTATCCATTGTCCTATCCCTAAAATATAGCCCCAGATATAAAACCTTAAAAAACACTAATTCCAAAGTGTATCCAGAAACACAGCCGAAAAATAGCTTGAGCCAAACAGAAACTTTAACCACATGATAAATGAAGTGAAATTAAACTTCTCAGGTGTTGTGCAGAAGAAGTATCAGGAGGTATGTAAAGAAACAAAAACAAATAGAAGCTTTAACTTGTTCTGAAGGACATTACATAAGTAAACATGTTCAGTTAAATCCTCCTCAGTGCCCAAGTTGACTTTGTGAAGAGAGTAAAATAAAAGAATGTGTGCAAAGAGTCGTACTGCTGCCACCTGCTGGACAAAATACACAACGTCACCCGTTACAAATTAAGCTTTATTAATTTACTTCATGTTAAAATGTCATCTTTTCACTGATTTCATCAGTAAACAATAATCTCATTCTCAGGCAGCACAAGACGAACACGACACAAACATCATCGTTGGCACGGTTTAAATTCAGTCAGATCGACTGTCACAGGTTTAAGACTGATACTAACAACCAGGGGAATGTTTTAAGATCCATGTTTTCACGGTCATTTTTGCCTTTATTAGACAGGACAGCTGAAGAGAGACAGGAAGTGTTTGGAGGAGAGAGGAGGGGGGATGACATGCAGCAAAGGGCCGGGGTCGGGTTCAAATCCACGACTGCTGCGACATGGACTAAAGCCTCTGTACATGGAGTACCGCTACATAACCGCTAGGCTATCCGGCGCCCCATTTCCTATGACTCTATCCTTCTAACATTGAAAATGGACGACTTGAGGACAGTGGTACACGTTGTGCTTCTCAAGAAATAAGACACAGTTTCCTCGACCTTAAGGTTAGCGATGGTGTTTCTGTCAATCATTACTCGACAGTCACAGTTGGAGTTTGTCCTCCTCGTTACGTCGGTATACTTCCTGTGCGTCTTTTCATTTCTTAATGCTCACAGACGATCGGCTTGGTGATGAATCACACACACACACACACACACACACACACACACACACAGTTTTTTTTAATCAATGATGATTAGTCAGGGTACGAGTCTGTCGGGGGGGGGAAGGGGGGGTTCCTCTCATGGAGACAGTCTCTGGTAAACCCAGCCTCCCTCTGCAGCGTGCTCAAACTCCCCCGACTCCGACTCGCCGTCCTTCGGCTTTGTGAAGACGATTCGGTCGTGCAGTCTGTTGGTCTGACCCTGCCAGAACTCGATGAGGTACGGCTTCACGATGTAGCCACCCCTGTTGACAGAGACAGAGAGAATGAGGAGAAAAGTCCTGCAGCAACGAGTAACGACTACTTTAACTCGACGGAGAAGATCTGCATCAAATTTAGTTTCAGCAAAGAAAAATCTGCTCTGAATGGAATAGAAACTGATGGCACATAGATTTTTTCTTCTACTTAAAGTCTTTCTATGTGATTTTTTACACTTAAATGTAGAAATGAAGTATATCCTCTGAAAATAACTCTGTGAGTCATGACTGTCTACAATGGGTGTAACACCCGAGTCCCACTGTCTGTGATGTTTTCAGAGTTTTCAGAGTCCTATCTTCAGTTTGTTTACATCGCCCGGACGGCCGGCTGACTCCTCCCCTCGTGTATAAAAGTTGTTTAATTGAGGGACTAGAGAAAAGAAGAATAACATACTGTACTCACTGCTTAACTGTGTTTCTAGATCACGCTCATTTCAGGTAAATTTACCTGCAGTGTGAAGATACCAGCATAGCATTTACAGATAAGACTAAACTTGTTATATTTAGTGGCTTTTGGACGAGTTGGTAAATGGAGTTTATAACTCACCCACAGAGCTAAAGCAGCAGATTTCCTCTGTTACCAGTGTTGAGCTTGTAAAGCGCTTTTCTACTCTTTTGACTCCTCAGAGCACTTTTAAACTGCAGGTCACACCTACACATTCACACACTGATGGTAGAGGCTGCTGTGTGAAGAGTCCATCAGAAGTAACTCTTTCATTCATACACATTCACACGCCGCTGCAGAGGCAGCAAGAGCAACAAGGGTTAAAGTGTCTTTCCCGAGGACACATCGGACATGTGGCTGCAGGAGCTGGGGATCGAACCCCGACTTTCCTGTTGAGAGACGACCGACTCTACCACTTAGCCACAGCCGCCCGAAATAAGTCAAGATCTCAGAAAAACAAGCGGACATTGCTCTTTATCTTTGAACAATGGAGTAAATAAAATGCATGTCTGCTGAGGGCTTCCATCTGAAAGTGAACTAGCACATATCCTTCAATCTATCATCACTGCTTTAAAGGTCCCATATTCTTCTTCTTCTGGTTTTATATGCTCTTTAGTGTGTTTTCCAAGTGTCCTGTGCATGTTTAGGCACATCTATGTGCAAAAATTCATAGTTCACGGAAACGCGGCTTCTCCTACGTCCTCCTGTTAGCTGTAGCATTAGCTGCATGTAACGCTCGGTTCTAGCCCCCCTCGATAAAAATGTGTCAGTGTGACGTCTTGTCAGTGTGAGATCACTGATCTAAGCCCATTGGCTCGTTGTGGCCCAGCAGCTCATGTTGCACGCCCGTTAACTTCTATAGCACGCCCATGATATGCCGCAGCCTGCGGTAGCGAGCGCCCACTGTGAGCAGCCCCCTCACTCTGAGACCTCTCCATTAGTGCATGTCCATAGGATCCTGTTTGTGTAGCATGTTAACTAGACAGAGTGTAAAAAACTAATTTCCCCTCGAGGGAGCAATAAAGTGTAAGTTATTATTATTAAGCGAGCCGGTGCATGGAGCGGCAGTACATGAAAACAGACACTTTCTTTTACACTTTAGCTATTGTGAACGTACAAAGGGCATAATATGACTTGCAAAAAAAAAGTTTTCTGAAGTTTCCTGACATTTTAGGATATTTAAAGTTCATAAAATGTTAAAAAGATCTCACCAGTAGTCGGGCATCGGCACCTCTGTGTCCTTGTACTTCTCCAACAGCTCTGCATTTTTCTGCCTCAGATACTAAAAGAAGAACACACAGTGCAGCTAAACCCTTTGAGCGTTTCTGCATGAACTACTTTACAAAGTTGGAGTTCTGGTTCTTTACATCTCTGTCAGGCACTGGAGTGCTTTGTCGGCTCACGACGGCTCCGATCTGGCTGCTCTTCGGTCGGGAGTGGAAGTAGTCACACGAGCTCTGGAAGGGAATCCGCTCCACGTTGCCCTCAATGCGAATCTGCTAATTCAAATTAGACTCGTTAAGATATAAATTAATAAAATGATCGTCAGTAAAATAGAATTTGACGAGCACCTGTCTGTTGAGAGGCTCCCAGTAAAAGACCAGACATGCATGTGGATTGCTCTCCTGTAGACAAATCAAAATCAAGACAAGAATTAAACAATGAAAACACAGTGAAGTAGACTTTAAGGTCTGTTGAAAGATCAGAAAGAGTTATGCAATTGTTGAATTTGTTTTTGTTTTTTTCTTTTATTATCATTTAATTCTTTCATCATTTAATACATAGGTCATAAAGTCATAACCTTTTTCTGCTTTCAACATTTCCTGTTAAACTCACACACACTCGTAGTGCCGACGCTCCTGTGAGGTCAAGGTAAGTGTGACATACATTGAGGCAAGACCACATAGAGCTCGTAGGCTCCTATGTGGTTCAGAAACAAGGCTCAGAAAAAAAGGCTCAGAAACATAGCGTTTCTGAGTATCTGCTCGGTTCACGGTCTTCGAGCTGAAACCACATATGAACTTGGTATTACCTATGTCATGAACTTGGCATGACCTGTGGATGCATCATGTTTCTGCGAACGTGCATTGTTGAGGTGTTGCAGGATCTTGAAAAAAGAGAGACTTTTTGTCTATAAAAACGCTGCAGAAAATCTGATCGAGGTTCTTTTTTGTTTTGCTAAAGGAATCCACGTCACTCTGACTTTTGAAATCCCATCTTGGGACTGAGTCTCTGAGACCAAGATCTTTTAAAACCTCAAGTGTCTACACTCACAGGTTTAGACTTTGGTCTTTGAGTTTTCATTTTCTTTTCCATGTTTTTATATTTTTCTTTTACTGTTTTGTATTTGCATTTGGACTATCATTTGACATTTTTTAATACATTTTCGGAAACTTTTTGAAATCATTTTCTGACTGAAATCATTTACACCACAAAGACTGGAAGTTCCCCTTAAAGACCCCGTGAACCTCGGAAGGTAAGCTTGAGCAGTCACACCTAGGCACACTTGTCTTACTGATTTATATTACACACTTCATACACACCTAACATCCTAGTGAGGGGAGTTCACAGTTATTGGGGGGTAATCTAGAGTCCTATATCAGGGGTTATCCTTGAATCTAATTATTCTAGAAATGAATGTTAGGCAGATAATCCTGGAGCTGTGATTATAACTTGTTCATCTGTCCTCCAAAGGGTGTTAGAGGAGTCATTTTACATAGCTCCTTCCACTAGGAAAGAGGAGACGAGCAGGTTGGTAGGGAGTGAGCTCTCATTCAGTTCAATAATTAGTTAACTAATGTGTGGTGAGCTTCCGTGAGCTATAGTAAAGTTATTCACCTCTTTTTGCATGTCCAGGACATGCTACAGGTCAAATGAGGTCACATAGAGTCTTTGCTGTATCAGGAATAAAGAGAGACCTGTCACTCACCAGCTCAGATCCCTTTCTGCTCTCATAGTTGGTAAAGAAGCGGAAACCTTCGTCGCTGTAACCTTTCAGCAGGACCATACGAGCAGACGGACGTCCATCTCTGTAGAAGAACAAACATATAATAAAGGTTGACATAACTCTAAGAAACTTAAATCAGACATACCTGCTTAACCTACTTGGAGGCTGTGGCGATGCACATGGCGTTTGCCTCTCCGATTTCAGGACACTTCGTGGCTTGGTCGAACCAGTCTCCAAACTGTTTGATTGGGTCCAGAGAAACCAGCTGACTCTCCTCAAAGCACTGTGAAAACAAAGAGTATTTAGGAGTGCATTATATTTATCAGGGTCTGCTTTGCACAGGCCAAAGGTGGAGGTCAATGACTGTTACATCTGGGAAACGTGAAAAGCGAATCTTTCTCCAGCTGTTTCACGTATTTTATTTTATTTTGCATGCAGCTTTCAGAATAAAAACAATGCACATGTTTTGGGCATGTTGCTGTTTTGTAGCTGTCGGATTTTCAACCTTTACACATGTAACTCAAGGTCTCCCAGCTGCACTCACCTCTTCATCTGCTTTATATTTCTTCCTCATGTCGCTCAGGTCCATGGTTGAACTGTCGCTCGTTGATTTCCGACTGAAACTCTGCAAAAACGCGTTTTTATGAACCGCTGTCAAAGAGGCATGTGACGGAGGATTTCCACTAAATACACCAATACACCTCAATAAATCCACACGGAGTATGCGCCTCATGCTTGTGGAACTGACGCTGACGTCAGGACGCATCCTCGTAAATAAAGGCTACGTAAAATATTATGAAAGTGTTTTGTAACTTCACCAAAAACTTTAAAACGTTGATGTTTGTATTTTTTTTTAAAATTAATTTTATGAAAAACAAATACATGATGTGTTGTACAGTCATACAGTACAGTCAGTTAAAAATAAAAAAAATAAAGAGACTGAAAAGTAATGACGTCGATTCGCCATGCTGCATTCACGTTCTTGCATTTCGGTGAGAAATTCCATACACTAAACCAAGTTGTACCCATCTCTGTGAGTTTAATTTACAAAATGAATCTCTTTCCGTGTTTGAACATTAAGAAGTTTATTTTTTTATATATATATTTTAACAATTTTGATTGCCGAAAAATTGATCTTGACACAAAAGCTGGCAGACAAACAGAAAAATCTCAAATTAACACGGAAATTACGATTTAACGATTGCAGTAAAGTTTCGTATGGTTTAGTCAGTGAGTCTAAATTTGCTTAGGATTTATATAAATGTAATAAACACACTGAGGATCAACGACTCACACACAATTATATATTAATATAATATTATTATTAATATTTAAGTTAAAATGTTTTCGTACTTGCACTGTTGTTGATTTACTGCTCTGTGTGCCTTTGAATTGCCCCCCGGGGACAAATAAAGTTTTTTGAATTGAATAGAATTGAAAAAATCCGACGCGATTACATTTCTCTCTGCATGTCAGTGAATGCAGCATTTCTGCGTCACTTCCGAAATCGCCGTTTCCTGTCGAAGATGGCTGCGACCTTGTGTGTAAAATTGCTACCGAAACAGGGTAATGTATAATAAATACTGCATTTCTAGTTTCCCTTTGTGTCCGCAGTTGTTTATTTCCGCGTTGTTGATTTAAAAAAAATAAAATAAAATATATTTAGAAGTGTAAACCGTCAGTTTGGTTTCTGTCGCTCCACCAGGTGTGTAACCTGCCTTGTTTCTGTTCACCAGGTGTGTAACCTGCCTTGTTTCTGGTTTTTAGGATGGCTTCCCCTGACTCAGAGTGTTCGTCACGGCTCCAAAGCTGTGACTCGACACAAGAGGCCGATGCATTTCATCAAACAGAAGCTGATGGCTGTGACAGAGTACATCCCTCCTGCTCCAGCTGCTCCTCCAGGTGCCTATCCGCGCGAGACCAAAAGCGTCCAGGAGGTAACGCACACACACGCACACGCACACGCACACACGCACACACACACATAATAATAAAGTTTATTTATAAAGCACTTATCAAAGTCACAAAGTGCTTTACAGAAAAAAGAAAACATCCCAACAGTCAAATACACAAAAATAAAATCCTATTTAAAAAGCATGAAAAATAAAACAACAGCGCAGCAATCATCCAATGAACAGAGAGAAGGATCAATCATCCAATGAACAGAGAGAAGGATCAATCATCCAATGAACAGAGAGAAGAGAAACATCCTGGATGAAACAAGGATTATTAAAAATGTGTTTTTAAAAGAAGATAGTGATCCATCTCTGACTTATTCTCTCTCTGCTGTCCTGATAAAGTTAAATTACAATAAACCATAAAGAACCATGTTGAGGTGTTTGTAGAGTTATTATTCAATTCAATTCAATTTATTTTTGTATAGCGTCAACTCATAACAAGTGTTATCTCGAGACACTTTACAAAGAGCAGGTAAAAGACCTTACTCATTGCTATATTACAAAGACCCGGCCTATCCATCATGAGCACTTTAGCAAAGCAGCAAAAGTTACAGTGGTAAGAAAAAACTGTCTTATTAAAAGGCAGAAATCTTCAGCCGGATCCCCGGCTCATGACGAAACAGCCTTCACAGGACTAGACTGCGCCGGGGTTGGAAAGGGATAGGGGGAGAGATGGGATAAGATGCAGGAAGAGGGATAGGGAGCAACGGGGGTGGGGGGAGGCAGACCGTCCATCAACAATCCGGTTATGCGTCATTTATGCAGAAAGATGAAAATAGAAAAGTTGTTTCACAAAATGTAAAAACAGTTTGTACGGCTAAACGTCGATTTATGAAGAGAACAATATCTGTAAATAAATATCCCAATTTCCCCAACAAAAATCAAGCTGTCACCATCAGAAGTCCATGTCCATTGCACCTTTTGTACATTTTGCATTTTTTCTCTTTTACATTTTAGATTCTATTTTATATATTCTCATAGCTTCTTCTGCTGTACTATTTAAGCTTTCAGAAGAATAAAGATATCTGGCCTCTCTATAGAGAGATCAGAGACTTATGTTCCATATCACTGTGTGATAAACGCGCCTCTTCGTCCTCTGTCAGGAGACTCCCTTGATGTTGATCTTGAAGAGGAATTTGGAGAAGGTGTTCCAGGACTGTAAGATGATCGCCGTGGTCCAAGACAGCTCCAGCAGTGCTGAAGACATGATGAGTCTGAGGCACAGACTTCACAAACATGACATTAAGGTCAAATTCTTCCCCAACGAGGTAATGCTGTTATTGTTATTTTCTATCTAGCAATTCACTGTCTTTAGAAAATAATGCTACACAGCCCGTTTCTGACATTGATAGGGACCAGGACAGACCCCTTAGGATATTTCCCACTGAATGTCAGAGTGAGCTGATGTGAGAACACAGCAGGATTTAATCAGGAGAATTCACCTCTAGCGAGTGGGAGGGGATGTGACGTTTACTCCCTCTCCGATTGTTGCACAACCAAAGACTATTTACTCACGATCACTGCGATCTCCTTGCACAGGATTAAACGGCCGCATTATGTTTTCTGCTCTCCAGTAGTTTCTTCTCCTCTCTTTTGTTGTTATTGTGATTCAGTCAAACTACAAAAAGCTTTGATTCCCATCATCGCGTCGTGTAGCGGCCTCTGTTTCTTTGTCAGCCGCTTCCGCGTCATTCCTTTTACATCACATGTTGCATCAGGAGACCCTCCTGCCCCCGCTCCCGTCCGACTGGGTTAGTCTCCCGCTGTGAGGTGCCCGTGTGAACGACCAGGTCAGGAGGATTTCAGTTGTGGTCCTCCTGAAATTTTGTAGATATGTGAAAACGTCTTCATGTAATAATGAGGGCAGGTGGGATCACAGATTGTTGCCTTGAGCCCTGTGCACACCATCCTCCAATTGTCTATTGCCACTTTTCAACTATAAAATCCAGAACATTTAACTTTTCTAAGTCATAACCAGGAGCTATTTATAGACATAATATGTGCTGTTGGAATAAAAAAAACCTAACTTTGGCACATTAATACTATCTCCATAAATAAACACTTCTACAGAAAGTACATGTGAGCAGAACTCCCCTCTGGTTTCTTCTTTCAAAACAAACAACATGCTTTGATTCCTCTGTCATTTCACTCTCTTTGTTCCTTTTTCAGGTGATGCGGTCGTTCCTGAATAACAGCATTTACTGCAACATGGCTCCTCTGATCTTCGGCCCGACGGTCCTGATCGTCAGTAACGAGCCGAAGGTGAAGGAGATGCTGAAAACTCTGAGAGGCAGTCCACAGATGACGCTCCTGGGTATGTTTAATCTTTGTGTTTTTATGCAAGAAGGAGCTTTGCGCTGCAGAATGATGATTTGTTTAAGTTTGCAGCAGACAAAGATTGCATTTGATGCTTCAGGCACACAAATTTATAAAAATGTTTTCTGTGAGTCAAGAAGCGCCGTATTTCCTTCAGATTCTGATTCTGATTTTGCATCAATCATGACAGAAATATGACCCTCTTAATAGGTGTTTTCCCTCCTGATTTAGTAAGGCGACTAATATGATTGACTGCAGCTAAATGCATTGATTATCTTCTAACTGTAGCTGTATAAAAAATATGGCGGAACATCTGTATATTGACGCTTAAATCCTCAGGGAACCATTTTATTTTGCCAAACAATATTCATAAAGTCCTGAAATGCTGAATTCACTGCACACTGAAATCTTTTTCTACGTATTGAGAAGCCGCAGCATGAAATGTTTTGTAAGTTAAGTCGGTATTCCTTCAATTATAAATGTTGTTTCAAACTGTCATTGTTCTTCCAGTTGTTTGGATCTATTCGTGATGCAATAATCAAAACCTCGACTCTTCCCTCCTTCAGTGAAAAACAGATTCTGAGCGTGATATTTAACCGCAGCTCTTCTTCCTCCTCTCTCGTCTCAACAGGAGCGTGTATAGAGAACTCGTTGCTGAGTGCTGAGGGGGTGCTGAGCTACTCCAAACTCCCGTCGGTGACAGTGGTGCAGGGCGAGCTGGTGAGCGGGCTGACGATGATGACATCACGCACGGCCTCCCTGCTGCAGCGTCACCCGGCCCACCTCTCCGCCCTGCTGCAGCAGTACGTCAAACAGCAGGGCACAGACGCCACCGCAGAGGAGGCAACGTAGAGCTTCAGAGGAAGCCACTGAGACTGACTTTTGATTCCAGCTGCTTTGGGAATGACGAGAGTGGATGCAAACCGCAGAATTGAACCCAAAGTTTAACGATGAGAAGAATTCTGCATAGAAATACCCAACGCTGAATCCTTTTGTTTGCATCCATCAACAGGAGTGTTGTTGCTCCTGTGAATGAACTCTGCAGAAGTGTCATCATCTCCACAACAATATTTTTATCTAAGGATAAAGTCACATATAAATAATCGTTGTCTGTGTCTTTTTTTATGTGGACTCTTGTGTGTTGTGTTTTAAAATCATTTAATTTCCCCCAGTCAAAGATATGCCAGACGTAGAGTGGGCGACCTCTTGTGAGACGTACTGTGAGCGGCATCATGCAAACCACTCTGGCCAATATAAACACAAGTGGTCACAGATCCTGATTCGCTAATCTGCAGATTACTGCATGTTAATCTGGGTCAGTTAGGTCGATAATGACCTGTAGTTCTGAGGGAGACAGACATCACTCAGGAGGCTCATTACTAAGTATCTTTCAAAAAAACATCATCATGGGAATTACTTGCACTTAATCCATTTAGATGAGATGATTTCATATGTTCATATATAACATTTTGATCAGAAAAATCCACGAGGCACCTGCAAACAGTCGACTAAAGGGGAAATTCAGGCTTTAGCTAGATAGATACTTTATAGATCCTGAGGGAAATTCAAAGCATCCAGTAGCAGGTTACAGAGACGTACATGACATGAAACATTTGTTACAAATTAAACCACAAAACCGACGTCCCCCCTCCCATACATATATATTAACCCGAAGAAAACCCCTAGATGAATAAAACTTCAATTGTGCACTTAAAAATAGACTTATATAAGAAATGTACATAACCCGTGCAGGGACAAAAATATATGTAAAATTTAAACAAGAACCTAAAAACAGCTGAGGAAAAAATCTGTAATTAGACCTGAATATAAAAACTAAAATAAAAAAGTGTTGACCTTCTGAAGTTGTATTGTTTATATATGTACAGCAATGTTTAAAAAGCAGCAAAATGATCAAAAAACAGACATTAAATAGAATTATGAGGATGAGAATTATTGAGGTGCAGTGAAAGAAGAGTCTATACCTTTACATTTTTATGCATTTGAAATATAAAAACACTTTATTCCATAACCTAAACTTTAAATATCACTGGTTAGAGCTTCTATCACGTACTGTGTTTTAATTGGTCTATTTACTTCACGTTTAACAAAAAGGTAATCTAGGTGTGTACAGTGAGAGGAGAAGTCCACTACATCCCTGCTAGACACACTTCAGTGTAATTCCAGCTAATGCGGATAATGTGCCCAGGACACTTCTGCGCAGGGAGGGAGGCAGGCAGGGTGAGATTATGTGATCAGTATGAGTGCTTATCAGCGGAGGGAACATGTAGTTTAACATTTTTTTTTTGTTCCTTTTTTTTTTAGTGGACAGGTGATATCTTTGTCGAAATGGTGAGTTCAAGGACTTTGTAAAAAAAAAAAAAAACGCGGAATGAGACACTTGTTGGATTGATTTAACTCAGGGGGACGGCAGCAGATGATGAGAGTTGGAGGTGGATTTCAGGTAAGTCATATCAGCTTGGCCTTTTGAAATCATCTCCCTGACGAGAAACCATCAAAACACTAAATATAATTTAGGTGTCAGCTGCGTTTCTGTCTTGTGTCCTATATGCTGTTGCAAAGAAATACATGAAAGCGTCATAACTAGCTGGGACAAACAGAGGCTTCTTAATGGGCTTTAGATAAGAGCTTGTACAGCCACGAATAGTTCAAATGGGCCCTGAACGTCTCATAGACATCAGATAAGAAAACCCAGCTTCTCAACCCACTTCCCCTTCATAATATCACGTTAAGATAAGTTTTCTTTTGAGCCTTTGCCAGGTAATTGTCAAAGCAGAGCAGAGTATAAAAACAATACCTGTCAGATGGATAACTGGAGTTTTCTCACCTCTGATTTTTAATGAAAAACGCTCCTATTATTTGACATTTTAAAGCATTACTCTGCAGAATTCTGATTAAACGTCACACTCATTGATTAATATTCAATCCTGAGTTGATCCACCTTTTAGTAGCTGCTGTTTTTATTCCCAAAAATGAGATTTTAAAGCTGTAATAGTCTTTGCATTTCCATTCCCTTCTCTTTTAGTGGTTTCCCAAAATTAATCCAAACCAGTTTGTCTTGTTAATGCGTTTTAATTTCCAAATAAGTATGCAAATCAAATATACTTCCTTCTGCATGAAGCTGACTGTGGTAGAAGTATTTGCTCATCCTGTTTGTTTTTAGTCCATCTCTGCACTCAGAAGAGAGTTCAGTTAATGTTTACCAAAGTGTGTGTCATGGATTTTTTTTTTTAAACTTTGCACGAGTTTAAAAATCTAAAATGTAAAGCTTACATTTTGAGTTAAAGTCTTCTGGGAATTAAAAAAAAGAATAACTTTAAACATCACCAGAAGAGATCAGACTTTTTTTTTTCTTTCTTTTTTTACTCGTAGTGTTTTCTTTGTGTCCCTCCCTGAGTAAGCGAGCTCAGAAACCTGCAAATCCTTTCATCCTGTTTCCACCGCATGCTGTCATCACTGAGGTCAGTTACTCCTGTCCTGTCCCGCCCTTATGTAACACTGAGCCCGACTGCTCCCGCGCAGATTTAGAGGAGATGAATGTTTGGAAGTAACGCAACCATTCACTGTTTATCCACTGATTGGTTGATTGATTCTCTGCTTTATAATCTCAGGGAGTCAACATCACACTTAGGCTGTCAGTGTATTTTACAAATGATTTAAGAAGAGCGCCGTTACTTCCGTGACTAAACATAGCTGACATAGCGGCAATTTACCGTTAACTCAATGTCAATTAATCTGTGATTATTTTTAGTTTAGCCCAATAGATTCATTATTTGGCAGGAAAAGGTGAGATGCTTTCATCAGCGACGACCCTCTAGACTGATTTGTTTCCCCTGAGAGATATTCACTTAAATTTTATTTAGAAGTTCCTCAGTTTGATTATCAGTGTGAGAAGTTGTTAAATATTCTTCAGTCAGTTGAAGCTGCCGCTCTGAAAAGTTTTTTTTTTTCAAAAGAAGCTCTCACAGGAAGTAGTTTCAAATGCATGAAGTTTTCATCATGTAAACACGGCCTTGTTGTCACGGCCGTAAACACACTTTCTACTCCATGTTTTAGTAGAAGTTTCACTTTTTAATCTGAAACCGTTTTACATCAAACACATGCAGAATAAATGTGTGCTTAATTTAGATTTAACAGTGTTTATTGTCCTCTTGTTTGTTGTTTTCTGAGTGTTCCTGCTGCAAATCAAATTCCCCCTAAGAAACTGAAACGACACATTTCAATTTCTCTAAAGAAGTTCTTTACAGTCAGAAAAGCATAATGATGCAACGTGTTTCCTGTGTGGTCGTGGTCAGCATCTTTTGTGTTGTTTCACCCCTCTCTGTCTTTGGATCGAGTGTCTCCATGTCCAAAGTGACACGTAGCTTAAAACGTCTCCTGAAAAACCAATTAAGCCGAGGTTGGTAATCCTCAGCCTGCAGGCCGTGTTGGTGTCACTCACTGTAACTGTCGTACCAGCGTGTGCAGACCACATTACCCACTAAATGAAAATGTGATTCAGTTCATTGGTTAAGAAAAAGAACAGAAATCTTTTTTTTAAGGTTTGGACACTGACAGAGACGCTGCAGAGACGCCTTTTTTTGATAACCTTTGGGGTCTGTGCTGGTTTTTCCATTTCAGAATCAGGGTTCAAATCAAGAGGAGGATTCTTTGTGGTGGTTTTTAAAAAAATAACAAAAGCGTTGAATCATTTTGTCGGTTGAAACTCCGGCTGGAATCCCAAAAATATTTAAACCGCTACGATGTGAAGAACTTCTGGTTTGTTCAAATTTTGGCGCCCCCTGTGGACAAAGCAGTACCTCTTACGTCCTAGCTCAGTCGTCGGTTCTCAACTGGTCTAGCCACCAACTCCTGATTGATAAATCGCGATCCAAATTTATACTATTTTTCAACCAATTAAAACTAAATGGAGGTTTGGACCACGACGGTGCAAAACATCAGTAAACAAAAAAAACAAAAACATAATGAAACAAATAAAGATGTTTCAAAAGCTCTCCATTAACTAGTTTTTCTGGGCACACATTCACGACCCACCGAAATGGCTCTGCGACCCAATTTTGGGTCCCGCCCCACCAGTTGACTACCAGTGTCCTATATAGCTTAACATGCAAAATGTATTAATTAATTTCCAAATAAATCTCATCCTGCATTCTTTAAACAGACAAATGTTGAACTCGTTGAGTTTCTTTGTCTTGGAAAATTCAAAAAATATCAAGATTCTTATCTTGTGAGATTTGAAATAGAGCCATAACTTCCATAAATCTATTGATCAGTCACTCCCTGCTACGTGCTAATGCTAGCTCTTTAACTCGTTAGTATACCAAACAGAAAAAATATTCAGCCGGTCTCACAGATGACTGGAGTAGATCCTGAAATACTAATTCAAAAATAGACTTTGAATCATGAATCCAGAATCGTTTTGAATGAAAAAATAGATTCTGAATCGAATCATGACCCCAAGAATCGAATCGAATCGTGAGACACCCAAAGAGTCCCAGGCCTAATGAAAAGATTCAAGCCGTCTCATTGGGTCTCATTTAGAGGAATTCAGATATTCAGTCTGTTTCATAACCAGTTAAAATGTCCTCACTGGAGCTTTAACTTATCAATAAAATGACCGTAAGTCTCAAATATTCCTAAACTCAATCAGTCTTCTTAAAGTTATGGGAACTTAAAAAAAAACAGAAACATGATCTCAGTAGAGATTAGAGTGCAATAAGCTCCTCGAGGACACGGCGTCTTCTCAAACAGTGAAATTCAGACAGTTTGCTGCATCAGTCTGTATTAAAGGATTTTTCATGAGAGCAATAATGTTCAAAAGATCTGATATAAACAGATTATTCTGAGACACAGGACACATTAGAATGACTTGATCTCTTATATCTACACAGACTGTTCCTGTTTTTTCCTCGAGCTCGTCATAAAGGAGAAGTGTCTCCGTGCATTACAAATAAAAATGCTTGTGCACGAGGAGCTGTAACCAAAGCACCGTGTAGCCTCGTGTATTAATAAAGTTCCCAACGTCCTGAATCTGGCATGAACGCCGAGTGTTTTTCTGTCCGCTGAAGCTTCTCAGTGTGGCTGACTTTGAGATCCAGAGTGATCTAGTTGAGGATTGGGGACGTACGCAGTGAACCACGGAGGCGTTTTTGGCGTCACATGAAGCGACAGCTCACCTCTGCTGGATAATGAGATTACACTGAGCACCAGCCTCGTCTCCTGCTCTGCCGCTGAGCCTATTTAACACCTCGCTTTACTCATGCAGCGTCCTCATGCTCATTAGTCCTCTTTAGTAAAAAAAAAACAAAACACAACGTCTAACTTTACGTGTGAAAGACTCTGAAAGACTCGTTTGCTGGACATTATTACAATTGAATCATTAAACGTTTATTTCTGTCTATAAGGCCACAGCTATAAGAGAAAGTAATCAATTAATTTGCCAATTAGAGGGCGGAAAAGTTAAAGTAGGGATGCAGAAGATCTAATTTCCTCTCTCTTCTCTTCAGAGACGAGCACATCAACACGTTCACTTTATACATTTTGAATATTGCATCATCATGTAAATCATGCAGATAAAGATTTATAGAAATATTTCGACATGCCGACAGAGAAGTGAGTGCTGGTTTGCATCACTGCTTTAAGTTTAAGTAGACAAAAATCATTGGTATATCTTTATTTATAAGGCTTCTGTACCTGCTTCCATCACACATGTGTGATTGTTTTCATGTGAAAAGTGCTGGAAGCTTGGGGCGCTGGTGGCTCAGTGGTTAGAGCGCGCCCCATGTATGGAGGCTGTAGTCCTCAAAGCGGGCGGCCCAGGCTTGAATCCAACCTGTGGTTCATTTCCCGCATGTCATTCCCCACTCTCTCTCTTCCTGATTTCCAACTCTATCCACTGTTCTATCTCTACATTAAAGGCACAAAAAGCCCAAAAATAAACATTTTGTTGTTATCTGAGTGCGTCTTGAAATGGGGGAAAAGGAGTTTCAGGTTTGCTGCTCTGGCGGCCTGGAATAACCTGCAAAAGGATCTGTGTCTGGGAGGAGCTGCTTTCTTTAACTCTTTCTAAAAGTAGATTGAAGGTGTTTGAGGACGATGCTTCAGGTTGAAAATGCTTTCACTGAGGGCTTTCTGCTCTGTGACTCAGGAGATGTTGATCTGTGTTTTTATGTCCAAATGGTTTGGTTTCTTTTGACCTTCCTTCATACATCTTTACATTTCTCAAAATTCTTGAAATGCACCATTAAAACATCTTAGAAAAACATTCTAGTTTTATCCTGTAAAATATTTGAACTCTTCGTCTTGCACATTCCTACAAACACCTCCTCCATTGCAACTTTTGTTCATGTGTCTTGTTCTTATCCTATTTAAGTTTCTTCAGAACTGACACTGTTTAATAACTTTGGACTTTTCGGTTCTCTGTGTTCATTGTTTTTGCACCAAAATACCTTCTATTGTGTAACCCCACTTGTGAATAAACCCCGTTCTGATTCTGTTCTCATCGTCTCGTCCTAACTCAGGGGGCTTTGGGCGGATTGCAGAGCATCTCTCTTAAGAACCGGTCGATCACAACGGGAGGAGAAGTGTGACCTGCGAGCTCTGACATGGATTCACATGGGTGTTCTTCACTAAACCGCAGTCAGTCTCTGGCGAGCGGTCTGGAGAAGACTTCGCCGACGTGGAATAAACCGTCTCACTCTCGGAGCAGTAGCACCCTGTCGTCTCGTCACTCCAGACAGGTGAGGGCAGCTTGTCATGCAATCTTGTTTTTTTTTTTTTTGACATCATGACATCACAAAGGGCAGTAACCCCTCCCCCAGGTGGGTGACACTCCCACAGCTAGGTGTTTGTTCTGCCCTCTGAGTCTGCCTTCTCACCGTAAACAATAGGACATGGAGCGAGAAAGCACCGAGTACACCCGAGCCCTTTCAGAGAGGGGGCGTGGTCAGACACAGCTCATTTACATATTTAAAGGTACAGACACAGAAACAGCCTGTTCTGAGCAGGGCTGAAATAGAGGGGTTTATAGACATGATCAAATACAGGATCAGAGTGGATTTAGAACAAGAAACTTCACACACATGTTTTGAGGAGCTCTGAGACTTATTTAAACTGGTTGAAGAGGAGGAGGATATGTGATCTTTAAGTCATCTTAAACCACACGTTTTTTTACCGCTCATGCCGCCCACAGATCATCAAAGATTGGGAAGTGATCGACGACCCTCATGTAGAAATGCACACAGGAAGTGACAACCCCCAAGATGTCACCACGCCAGGTATCTGTGAGGGTTACCTGCACAAGAGGAGGAAGTGGCCACTGAAAGGTTGGCACAAGGTGAGCGATCTCCCAAACCATGTTGTCATGTTCTTGCAGAGACTTTGACATTAGGAAGTTGTGTTTTTTAAAAGTGCAATGTTTTCTCTTTCTTTTCAGAGATTCTTTGTCTTAGAAGCAGGGATTTTGCGTTACTGCAAAAAATCAACATGATGTAAGTCACCTTAACATTTTCAAACAGGATGTTTTATCGCTTGATTAAGAAACACATGATAAAACAATTAAATTAAAACAATTTAATTCCAAAGGTCATCAGAGGGAGAGTCCAGGGCTCCTTAGATCTCAGCCTGGCTGTGATGTCGATAAACAAGAAATCCCATCAGATCGACTTGGATGCTGGACACATCCTCTATCACATGAAGGTAACCCAAGTCATTAAAGGAGATCTATATTTAAACACATGCACATAATGTTACAAGGTTAGATGTCCATACTTAACCTCGGCAAGGTTATCGAACTTGGCGAGACTTGGCCAGAACCTGACGCAATGTTCTGCCGTCGGATGAGAGCAAAGCATGGAGCCAAATTGTAGGACACGCCCATCCCGCCTGCTCCTTTAAGGACACGCCCACCCGGAAGCTCCCTCAAATTTTCCTGTGACTGCAAACAAAGCTCGCCAATCAGAGGGAAGTGAGCGGCGGGCCTTAAAGAGACAGCAGCTGAAATGAACCGTTTCAGGCAGAGGCTGAAATTAGGATTTTAATGGTGTCAGTATCAGATAAATAAAGAGGTTTTTGAGCTACACATCTCACAGCAGGTGTCCCAAACTAAGAATAAGTTAATTAATGGTGAATGAATATATAAAAGTGTGCCAGCAGATTAAATGATACGATGCTACATGACATGTTCTGGATTTTTTTTCAAAGGCAAAGAGCCATGAACTCTTCTACATCTGGGTTACAAAGCTTCAAGCCCACCGCCAGTACAAGAAGAACGAGGCGGCGCATGTTCAGAGCGGATTCCTCCACACTTTGTCTCACGGGGCTGCAGTCGGACAATCTCAGAGAAACGGAGACTTGGTGAATATCTAACAGGCTTTAAATTTAACATGGGAATATGCATTTCCTTACTCACTTTACAAACAGGACAAAATCTAACACAACAATCTTTAGAGGTGGTTTAACGAGTGTCTTACATTTATTTTTGTTTGTTTGAATTTTACTGAAACTTTCAACCGAAGTCTTCAGATTTGTTTGTCTTAAATTTTGAAATTTCAAGACCTTTTGTTGTAAGTTTTTGGAAAAATTAGATATTTGAGATTTTGGGAACTTTATGTGTCCCTAGTCTGTCTACAAGACCCCTAATTATTTGAAAAGACCATCCTCTCCGTATTTCACCTGCTCCACTTTTCAGAAAATGTGTGCTCAAACAGGCCGTTTGGAGTTTTTCCCTTTATGACATCACAAAGGGCAGTAGCCCCTCCCCCATGTGGGTAACACTCCCACAGCTAGGTGTTTGTTCTGCCCTCTGAGTCTGCCTTCTCACCATAAACAATAGGCATGGAGAGAGAAAGCTCGAGTACACCCAAGCCCTTCCAGAGAGGGGGCGTGTCAGACACAGCTCATTTACATATTTAAAGGTACAGACACAGAAACAGCCTGTTCTGAGCAGGGCTGAAATAGAGGGGTTTATAGACATGATCAAATACAGGATCAGAGTGGATTTAGAAGAAACTTCACGCACATGTTTTGAGGTGCTCTGAGACTTATTTACACTAAAGAAGAGGAGGAGAATATGTGACCTTTAACCAAAAATATTTGAAACCTTTTTTCCAGAGCTCTGCAGGCAGGGCAGATTCAACTGCAGCTTCTGGAGAGCTTCCTTCTGCTCACACCGCTGTGAACACCAAAGTGTCTGCCTGGCTGCAGCAAAGTCACGACCCAGACACTTGTGTGCAAGGTAACTGTCATGCATTTATTATAACACAGACACAACACTCAGAGACCAGTGAAAAAGTCTCATGAAAGAGGCACAATCCAAATAAAATCTTGATAATCTTACCCTATGACCTGTGACTTTAGAGAGAGCAGCGAAAAAATCTAAGACATTTTCTGAAATGATGCCATTGGAGTAAGAATTAAGTTATGCTACATGCAAAGCTTAGTGAGTGGAGAATGACATGCAGGAAGAGAGCCACAGGCCGGACTTGAGCCGAGGCCTCCCGCTTGGAGGACCACAGCCTCAATACATTAGTCACAACCTTTCCTCTCTTTTCTTCTTCACATCGACATCAACACATTTCTTCTTCTTTCTCACTTCCTATGTTTTCTTCCTCGCAGAGCTGAATCGATGCCATGTTGACCTTACCGAGCTAAACCGCCTAATCCAGAGGCTGCAGACGTTGGAGGCGGGCCAGTCTTTCACTAACGGAGACCTTAAACGCATCATCAGCACACACGTACTGTTTTGGTTTAAAGAGCTAAATTTGAGCATTATAAACCAAATCGCTGCTCCCTTTTTTTTTGTCTTTCTTTTTCTCAGCATTGCTCAAAGTTTTAACGACTTATGGTTTTATTCTGTAAACACAGAATTTGTCCCTTGAGAAGCCGAAGAAGCACAGGTCGGGGAAGATCTGGGGTCACTCTCGCACGCTGTCCCGAGTGGAGGCGCTGGGGATGGTAAGAATGATCATGTGTTTGTAATTTGACAAACACATGATCGATATTGTTTTGCACGTTCATTTATTGGACTCTAATATTAGATGCTGTTGAAGTTTTATTGAATTAAAACTTGTCTCTTATTAGAAATCATGAATGAAGTCTTGTTCTTAGTGATATATTTAAAGTATTCACCATCCCAACCCTTCATTAACGTTTTGGGCCTTTCTCTAATCCAAAGCCTATTCGTGGGATTACTAAATCGGTGAGTTGGCCAATAAGCAGAACTTAAATCTGATGTGCTCCATTTAAACACCGAGGCAGACTGCCGTTGCTGTAAATAAATTGTCTCAGTATAAATAAGCACGTTAAAGATATTCTTTAAGGTTAATTAATTGATGTGTTTTTGTTGAATTGCATCCACAGTAGATGTCCTGTTTCTGTAGCTCTCGATTCGACATCCAAAACTCTCTCACATACCCGAGAATTTAGTTTTTCCCACTGAATAGAGCAAAGCAACAAAATGATTTTTAGTCTATAGAAAAAAAATGTGGTGGTAGAGTTAGAGTTTATTTCTATAGCATGCAGAGGAAGCTGCATTTAGTACAGAGTCCTGCACTGGGCTGGGGACCTTCAATTCTACCATTCACTGAGCAGATGCTTTTATCTAAAGCGACGTACATCAGAGAGTAAGTACAACACAAGGATCTAGAAAAAAGGGACCAATGTCAGTAAGAGCAAACGATCAGCTTTGAGTCTGATTGGACACACAGGTGCTGACAGGAAGTGACCAGAGGCAAAGCACAACATTGACAGCAGTTGTTGAGAGCTCTAAACAGTATAGAAACCATCTTATAAGTCGTTGTTATCAAACAAAACCATCGTCATCATCATCATTAAGCTCGAGATGGGTCTTTAGCTTTTTCTTAAAGGTGCAGAGGGACTCTGTAGATCCAATGGAGTTTGGAAGTTCGTTCCACCACCGGTGAAGGTGGTTGGATCAGACACCTTTCATTGGCAGAGCGTAGAGGGCGGGAGGGAGTGTAGACCTGGAGGAGAGTTCAGGTTACCTGATCTGTAACAGGTTAAAAATACGATGATTTAAAATCACAGGTATGAAGGAACAAAATGCGGGTGAGTCGCAGGTGAGAAGAAAAAAAAGAAGAAAAAATCAGAAATTGAAATGCAGTATTTTAACATCTGTAACAGTAGCATGCATTCATTAAGTGTGTGAGAGATAGAGAGAAAGTGTTGCTTCTTGTAGAGACAGATTGATTTTGCAGGAACGAAAAGATAAAACAAAGCAATTTACACAGGTTTGTAGAATTGGACCCGTGCAGGACTCTGATTTAGTATCAACAGTTTTTTAGTAATGTTCTTCAGAAACCAGAGAAGTAGTTGTTGTCTTTCTTGTCAGCAGGCTGCGTCTAAAAGGTTTCCTTTTCAACAAACTAACACCATGCACAAATATGAAACCCCAACAAAACACATTGGTGGGAAGGCTGGCGGTTCAATCCCCAGCTCCGGCATTTAGTTTGGGCAAGAAATCGAACCCAAAACAGCTCCTGAAGGCATTAACAATGGTGTGTGAATGTGTAAGAATGGGATTAATGAATACTGATGGACACTCGGGCATTCGTTGCCATCAGTGTGTGAATGTGGTGAGAATGGGTGAATGTTACATGTAATGTAGAAGCACTCTTAGTGGTCAGGAGACGAGAAAAGCGCTGTCTGTACGAGTACAGTCCTTTAACCATTAAGCAGGCAGGACAATAATCCTGCAGAGACATGGTGCTGGAGTCCAGGGTTTTCCATAATTTTCCATAATGTTCAACATGAAAATGAAAAGCGAGGAGATGCCGTGTCCACAGATTTTCCCTTTTTGCCATTTTGGCAGGATAGCTTTAACTGGTGCTGTAAAATGCATGATTTAAAGATTGAACCTGATGCATCGACTGCCTAGTTTGGTTGCTCCAGAGCTTCTCTTACACTACCACATACTGTGCAGCAGATCATGTTCGGGATGTTAGTAAACAATTCTAAAGGAACGGAAAGCTACCAGCGCTCCCTGTTTTTCTAGCAGAGTTAGGGAACTTGTGTCAGGATGAATCTTGAAAGGATGTGCAGCCACACACATTGGTTTAGTTAAAATGAGAAAATATCTGAGGCCAACTCTTGCACTTCTTAACTGTAGTCCCTCCTTGGTGACATCTAGGTGTGACGTTCTTTTCTATATGCCACGTTGAGGCTGAAGCTCTGCTGTTTTTATCACGGCCAAGTCAGACTTTTTGTGATTGTCTTTTGTTTTGTTTGGTCCTTGTGTTGTTGTTTTTTTTTAATGTGGAGTATTAGCGTCTGGTAGTTTTGTAGTTTTGTAGTCCATCCCTGCACGTTCCTCAACACATGCAATGTCTAATGTGGATCCAGGAACCTGTTCTTAGTGAAAACAGTGTAAAAAGTGTAGTGTGAATTTTGCACTTTGGGCCTTTTAGCCTGCTGACATTAGCATTTAGCTCAAAGGACCACCGAGCCTCGGTACAGCTTCATGGAGCTGGTAGCATGGCTAAAGATTGAAAGTCTTAATGCAGTCTTAAAGCAAGCTAAGCTAATAAGCTGCTGGCTTTATCCTTGGACATGAAAGTGGTACATGTCCGAGTGGCTCTCAGCAAGAAGATAACCTTCAACATCCCTCTATGATCCAGAATGTTATAGTTGCTAAACAACACAGCACAACTGTGACATGCTGAATACAGATTGGTAGATAACAGATGATTTAGCCGTCTTTCATCCTCCTCTGTTCACCTCACAGCTCTCCTCCAGTCACCTGAGCAACTCGTCTCACCTCGGCGCATCAGTCCCCTCCATCCCCGACTATGTCTACTCCCAGCTGTCCCCCTCTACTGTCACCCTGACGCCCGAGGGCAAGAAAATCCACCAGGACATCTGCGCCACATCACTACGAGGTCAGAAAAAAATGGTACATGAATATACTAAGAAAGCAAAAATCTCTAATTACATTTTCCTGAAACGTCTGCCTCTCTCTGCCTCCTCAGTGTTTAACTCCCTGAAGGCAGTTCATGAAACTCTGTCCCTGGAGAGGCAGAAGCTGCAGGAAGTCTGGGACACCAACAACATCCATCGGCCCAACACATTAGCAGAGGTAACACTCCTGCTGCTCCTGCTGCTCTGATCCTCTGGAACATATTCCACCTTGTTTTTTTTTTTTAAGGCTCACCCCCCTTTCTCTTCCTCTTCTCCGTTGTCCTTAGACTGCAGACGCGAGGCATTCCTCCCACGGGACTCCATCAGTGACAGATTCGGCGGCGGAATATTTTGACGCCAGCGATGACGTCCTTTGTGCTTGTTCCTCTGAGGGGTCTGATGAGTCAGGACTCAGTGATGGGAGCACCACCAACTCTGAGCCAGAGGAGGGACATGGTGAGTTACAGTTATCAGTTACTCTGAGCACGTTGATTGGTCTTGAATATTGTTCATATTGTTGCGATCAGTGTGTGAATGTGTAGGTGTGACCTGCGGTGTAAAAGCGCTTTGAGTAGTCAGAAGACTAAAACAAGCTCAAGTCCATTTATCATAATCTTCACTGACTTTACAGCTTCAGCCACCAGGAAGTACCGTGCAAGCATCTCAAAGTCTCCTAACAGCGTTCTTCCCAAGAGCACCGGACGGAGAACCACACTTCCTGCTGAATGTCCCGACAACAGCCACGTGGGCCTCATGGCGATCCTCTACAATAACATAGGTAAGAAGCACAACACGCTGAAAATGAGTCAAATGGTGACAAACTGCGTTTCATTTAGAGATTTAATGTCTGTGTTTTTTCTCCTCAGGTAAAGACTTGGCTCGGGTGTCCATGCCTGCTGCTCTCAATGAGCCTGTTAACCTGCTGCAGAGACTCTGTGAGGAGCTGGAGTACAGCGAGCTGCTGGATACGGCAAACAACACTCAGGACCCCTACCAGAGGATGGTAAGAATAACTTAAAGAGGACATATTATCCCCCTTCTCCACCTTTTCAAACAGTCCCCTGTGGTCTAAATGAAACATCTGTGCTGTGCTTTGGTCAAAATATAACATGAATCAAGCACCAGAGGAGGTTTGTGACCCTGTATAAACCAGCTCTCTCAGAACGCTCTGTTTTGGTGTGTGTGTCTCTTTAAATGCAATGAGCCCCGCCCCCTGAGTTTACCTGGTAGACATCACTCCTCTGTAGCAAGAATAAAAATAGCCGACCTGAGCAAAAGTTTTGCTCTAGACTGGGGTTGGAGTTCACCCCTTTTTTTTTTTTTTTTTACCAGAATCCCACTGTGACATCACAAAGAAAGCACTTTTGAAACAAAGCTTTTTTCTCTGTGTTGTAAGACTTATGCAGACCAAAAAAAACAAAAACTGGATGGGTTTATTTCACATTTTGTGGGTCTGTAGAAACTCAGGTTACCCAAATATATGTTCAAAAACACTGTACAAGAGGATTTTTCATAATATGTCCCCTTTAAAGTTACTGTTTTAGTGTAAGGCACACAAGTGATAATACCAGGACGGTGTGTGCATCTGCTTTGACGTTTAACTTTCCCTAAAAATTCAAGTCCAACTTCAGTGAGCTTTTGTGTTTTATTCCTCGCAGGTTTACATCGCTGCCTTTGCCATCTCCGGTTACTCCACGGCCACGTTCAGAAACCGTTACAAGCCCTTTAACCCGGTGCTCGGGGAGACCTACGAGTGTGTCAGAGAGGACCGGGGCTTCAGACTCATCAGTGAGCAGGTATCACAGGAAGAAACTGTTTATTTCACATCGATGAAAGTCTTGAAAGTCACTGAAAGAACAAGCTTAGATTAAAGTGACCGGTTCATATATATAAAGTGTGTTTTTAAAAAACAGAGGAGAGACGATGTGTAATTACTTTTTGAGCGGCCATGATGATCCCCTCTCGGTAAATTATGATGAATCACTCACTCGTGTAACTGAGCAGCTCAGCCTCAGTGATTTATCTCTTCAATAAAGTCTCACAAAGTAATCACGTCATTCAAAAATGTATTTTCAGAGGACGGCAATTAGCCAAAAGTAATTAACGTCAGTCAACGCAGAAATGTATTTTTTAAGGAGCAGCACATTATTCCATAGTCAAGATCTTATTCAGACTAATTTGAGATCTCACACTCGTCTAATTCATCTTTAAACTCAGAAGAATGAGACAATTTAAAGAACTTGGACTTGTCTCACATTTTCCGAGCTGACGTCTAGAAATGAGAAATCAGTAAGACGAGTAAAAGAACTGAAACATCTTTTTAAGACACATTTGAAGGCTTGCTGTAGTTTTCTAAGATGAATGAGACCAACAGTAAAGCTCTGGCTACAGGATAATGGAGCTGACTCCCCGGGGGGCGTGTCCACAGGGGTGGCATGGCCCCCCCTTGAAAATCTTAATGGCCACCCCAAAATCATTGACTATTATTGGCTATTGGGACAGAAGTGGACTTATGTTGAAATCCACTTTTCAGACAGCTCATCTTTTTTAGTGTGCAGATGTTTGTTTACCACTTTTAAAGAAGACTCTGGACGTGCATATTGTTTTGAGTCCTTGAAGAATTAAGCTTATAAGATCTAACGCTGCCATTGTCTTGTGTTTTTTTTAAAAGTCGATGTGATCAGTGCAGACAGGAGGGGGTTAATAAATGCTGTTTATTCATGAGTGTGCACACAAACTTCAGGCCACCCCTGCACAAGTCAGCGCCTGAGTTGGGCCACCCCAATCCAAAAACTGTAGCCACGCCCCTGTGAACAGTTGATATGGGTCAGTCTGTTTAGTCCTGACTTAAGGGCGAGGTCACACTGGCCATCTGTACCGTGCCTAAGCACGCTTCAACACTAAAGTCCAGTTCGTTTGGCCAGTGTGACCGCTCCGTATCGTGCTCAGACACGGTACACTTCCTTGGCTTTGGCACACTTCGGAGGGCGCGGTCACACTGGCCATAGACGCCGACGGCTCAGATCGACTCAGATGGCTGTAGACTCGGATCGTGTGGACCGTGCTGACATTAATGTTTACGCCGAATAGACGACATTAAACCCTAAACTCGTCTGCTGCTCTTAAATTTCTGTCATCGTTATTCCATTATTGAATCTGAAAAGAAACTAGACACACGATTATTAGTTACTGCAAACACAGCAGTAGTGGTGTTACAGTAACATGTTCCTTTGTTGTAGGTATCCAATGAATGAAGCCGTAGCTTGACACTCCCAAAACTCCTCTCTTGCATAATTTTCATCCAAAAAATCCACAGGACCAAATGATCAAAGTCTAAATGTTTACTTAAAAAAGAAACAGATGCAGGTTAGTCCAAAACTATACAAAGAGAGAGAGGTCAAAAGACTGTGTGGCTCCACTCTCTACTAGTCTGAACTAAGCCCAATTAAGTCCACAAGCCCCTCCCCCTCCCAGATCCAATGAACAAAAATGATTACATGCATCCATTGATGAGCAATAAGGCTCCTATATTTGTAATGCGTTACTCCCAGCACTGCTGACAATATGATGAGAAATGCAGATAGTTATGTTAGCACGCACACAGTATTTCATCCAGCTGAAGGTTTTGTTGGATTGATTTAGTTTGAATGCTTTTAACTTGAATTATGACTCCATCATCTGCTGCTAGCATGTTACCTTCAATAAGACGTCTTAGCTTGTGTTTGCAATAAGATAAGTTGTGTACACACTATGTTTGGTGGAGGTTAAGTAATCGATGTGGGACATTGATTTGCTCTGTGTGTCTTCTCAGGTGTGCCACCATCCTCCATCTCCGCATGCCACGCAGAATCTGACAACTTTAGCTTTTGGCAAGGTGAGTCCAATCTTTAAGGTTTCATGTTTCACCTTTGATGAGCGGCTGTGTGAGCATCATGTTAACTTTACTCTGTGTTCCCGTACAGACCAGAGATGGAAAAACAAATTCTGGGGGAAGTCTCTGGAGATCCTGCCAACAGGGATGGTGAATGTCACTCTGTCAAGGTAAACGGTCCAACACACGGCCAGATCTCTTTTCATTAGAGGCCTTTTTTTTTGTGGCAAATTCAGAGTTTGTTTGAAATGATACTTAAATCTAAGGAACCACAGACTGCAGGTAAACTATTCAACCTCAAATCATCCATGAAAAATGTACCTGAGGAAGCTACAGGCGAAACACATTGTTATTTTCAGTGTGCCACAGAGTTCTGATTTATTCTTCATGGTATGTTCCTGCAACCGTGCGCACCTGAGAACATGTTTAAGCTGTTAGCCGTCAAATCATCCATGTTCTACTAGAATCCCTTCATAAGACTGTGCACACTTAATCATGTGTCGTATGGACTCATTCACCATAAATATGTTTACAGATGTTTATTGCACTGGACAGAGGTAAACTCCAGATTTAATTGGTTAATTAGATTTTTTGAGGCGTGTTTTCCAATGTTTGGTGTAGAAGAAAAAGATGGATTATGACATGAAACTAATGCCCAAAATACTGTCATCAAACAAGCAACAATATGACTTAACCATTAGGTTACCAGGCGCCAAACAGGTCTTAACATTTAAAGTCTTTCTATGTGATTTTTCACACTTAAATGTAGAAATCAAGTATATCCTCTGAAAATAACTGTGAGTCATGACTGTCTACAATGGGTGTAACACCCGAGTCCCACTGTCTGTGATGTTTTCAGAGTTTTCAGAGTCCTATCTTCACTTTGTTTACATCGCCAGGACGGCCGGCTGACTCCTCCCCTCGTGTATAAAAGTTGTTTAATTGAGGGACTAGAGAAAAGAAGAATAACATACTGTACTCACTGCTTAACTGTGTTTCTAGATCACGCTCATTTCAGGTACATTTACATGCAGTGTGAAGATACCAGCATAATAAAGATCACTAGCATTAGCATGCTAACACAACAATGCAGCGCGAGTTGTTTTGGTTTCATGCTGGTGCTCAAGGGCGACATCTGCTGGATCAAAAAATTGCATATAAAGACTTTAAAGACAATGTGTCTGTTCATTTCTTCAAAGTGTGTAGAAAAATCGATGTTTCCAAAAAGGGTTCAAGACATCATAAAAAGAGCATAAAAAAAGTAGAGCATAATTATCTAACACCTTGGCAAAATTTTCCTAAAGATTTTTCTGCCCTATACTCACATAAGTTCAACAACAAACCATGCAGCACACCTAAAAAAAAAAAGCTCAAGTTTTTCTTTCTAAAATGCTGCTTTGTGTTTGTTTTTGTCAAGGTTTGGGGACCACTATGAGTGGAACAAAGTAGTGACCTGTATCCATAACGTCCTCAGCCAGCAGCGATACCTGGAGCATTACGGAGAGGTCACCATCCGAAACCTGAAGAGCAACGTGTGCACCTGCAAGATTACGTTTGTCAAAGTAACGATCTGTCTTATCTCAGCAACCTTTTCTTCTTTGATAGTTTGTTTTGGCTGCAACGACTCGACTGACAAGCGTTTGTATTTGTTTTTGTAGTCTCGTTATTGGGGTTCGGAAACGAACAAGAACGAGGTGCAGGGTACGGTGCTGGACCAGAGCGGGAGCGTCATTCACCGGTTTGGAGGTCTGTGGCATGAAGGCATCTTCTGTGACACTCTGCCCACTCCGAAGTGCGTCTGGAAACCAAGTGAGTCCACCATCTTTCCTGCTGCTCGAGGTTTTCATGTGCCGCTGATATCTTTAGTGTCAGACTTCTTCTTTAGAGGTTTACATGTAAGTGAAATGATCCAGAACTGTCTGGTGCCAGAACTGCTAATCAGCATAAATCCCAGAGTCACGTTTCACCCGAGTCTCCGTCATCCCACAGATGCCATGCCAAAGGATTACCTGCTGTACTACGGCTTCTCCACCTTCGCCATGGAGCTCAATGAACTCCCCCCGGACCTGAAGCCTCTGCTGCCCCCTACTGACAGCCGCCTGCGCCCAGACCAGAGGTAAGCCCAGCTGGAGAGGCCATGCATACCCTGGAAACACTTCTAAACACACAAACACAACCTCAGCAAACAAATACTGAACAGAATGTAGTTTTTGTCAAATACAAATAATTTAGTTTAAAATGAAGATCACTGCAATGATTTGTGTAATAAAGGGACTAGAGAAGTAACTGCAGGTGAAACTCTTAACGGTAGAGGTACTCGTTGCAGCATGTAAACACAACATACAAATCGGGCCCCTCCTCCTGGACTCAGCAGTTGTGAGGAACACACCCACCCAGCCCAGCAACCGCCTAGCAACCACCTGCAGCATCACGCTTCTACGCACGACCTGAAACATGAAGTCATTTGCATCTGTTGATAGCAGGACCCGTCTTGTACACTCTGCAAGCTACCTGAAAAAAAATGGAAAAGCAGATAATTTAGCTGGTTGCGCAAGCTAACTGCAGGCGTTTGGCACCTTCCTGTCCAACAGGAAGCAGGCCAACTCTGCGTCGCTCTGCCTTCACTTCCCAATAATATTGGGTCAAAGCCAACCCAAAGGTTCACTCTCACTTTGGAACAAGCTGAATCTTCTTGGCTTTTTCGCCTCACTATGATTATATTTTCTCTTCTTTGATGCTGTGCCTGCGTCTGAATGGCGTCTAGTCGCTGCATTTTACCCTCTTCTAATCTCAGCTGTGCGCACTCATTGGCTGAGGGAAACATCCACTCCGCTACCTTAAACATCCAGAGTCAACCAAAACATGAAAACCCAGTCAGAGGACAGAGTCTGTGCAGAATCGATCACATGTATTGGGGCCATTGAAGTGCATAAATTTGCATAAATCTATTTTTTATGTTTTAGTAAAAAAAGATACTGACTAGATTAAGTGTTACCTGTAAATTCTCCGGTCTTCTCATAGGATGCTGGAGGACGGATTTGTGGAGGAATCGGACAAAAAGAAAGATTATCTGGAGGAGTTTCAGAGGGAGCGGAGGAAAGAGCTCGCCAAAAAGGGGGAAGAACACACCCCAAACTTCTTCAAGTGAGTTATTTTCTTTTATTGTCAGAAAGATGACGAGACAAAATGTTGTTCATCATTTAACACTTTTCTGTTACAGCAGAAGAGCAGAATTGATTTAAATAATCAACTTTTGACATCAACTTTTAACAAACGTCTTTTATATTTAAATTCTTTGGTCAATATTTATCTCTTTACTTTAGCTGTTTATTTATTAGCCTCTTCATAGATTGAAGAATTATTTCATGCATCCAATAGTGCATAGTAGAGATTACTGTCAGGCTGATATTCATGCATTACTTTCATTATTAGTCACAAAAACATATTGAAAAATTCCAGTTTTAAATTCCTTCAGCGAGATGACTCAATTATATGAAATGAAAAGTCGTGTTTCTTACAACCAACTGCTTAAAAGTCAGCAAATTTGAATTTACAATAATTCAAGACCAAGAAAATCAGCAAATTCAGACAAGTGAGAACCTGGAAGCATCAAAGTTTGGGCCAATTTTCTCAGACATTAGTGAAATTACCCCACAAGTATAGATCACTTTGCTTGTATTTTAGTACAGATATATGTTGGATTAATCAAGAAAAACCTGGAAAAATTCATGTACTTACAGTGGAGAAACTCATTATTTGATCCCCTGCTGATTTTGTAAGTTTGACCTGTTTCAAAGAAGTAAGCGGTCTATAATTGTTATGGTACTTTTATTTTAACAAACAGAGACAGAATATCATTACATAAAGTTATAAATTAATTTAGCAAATAATATAATCTTTGCTCCTGATTGTTGATATTTTGAAGATAGCAGAGTTTTCACCAAACAGCAGCTTACTGCGTCCTCCTGAATCTTTGTCAAATATATGATTTTTCTGTTTTTCTGTTTTCAGGAAATCCAAAGACTCGTGTGGACGGGATGTGTGGATAACAAACGACTCGTACTGGAAGCTCCGAGAGAATCCAGGTTTTGCTAAAACTGCTAATTTAACTCTGTGGTGATGAGCGAGAGAGAGAGATGAATAAATTACCTAGGGTGGATATTTGGACAGCATATATGAACCGCTCTGAGTGGAGACAGTGCTGCCGATCTCGCCTCGTTCCTTCTGCTCACCCGTGACTGGCTCATGGGACGCAGACAGGAACAGGTGAAATCACCCCGGAAACACAGAGACAGAAGGACCTTTTCTAATGCGTTTATTTATTTATTTATTTTCTTTTTAGATTACTCAAATAGACAAATATATGTCGATATATTTTGGAGCGTTTTGGATGAAAATACCGCAGGTGTGATGCATGCGGTGCAAACGAGTGACTGGAAATGAAACTCTTCCTCATTCGGGGGTTAGAAACAGACCGACTGTGATAGTGTATAAAATGTTGACGTGTAATCAAATCATGTACTCCCACTCAGTTAGTCTACTGCGCTGAGGTCAGTGCTTCAGTCAGGGCAGGATTACACAAGAGGACCAGTTAAATCGTGGTCATTTGACTTAAGGTTTGTTTGGAAACATGCGTCAGTAAAGCCCGATGACGACGAGAAGTTTGCCTTTCATACTTGTCAGTAATTATTATATTCTTCATTTAATGTTGTTGTAAATGACATTGGTATTTTACTTTTGGCACGTCCTGTGTGCGTGTTACACTGCAGGCTGAATATGCCTAAATGATCAAAGTGCAAAGTGTCCCCTTCCAGACCTTTACAGTCGTAGCTGCAGTATTTATAAAGCATAAAAATACCCAAATGTTTCTCCAGTACTCATCAAAGGTCACATATTCTGCAAAATACACTTTAAAATGTTGTTCTAACACTAATATGTGTCCATAGTCTGTCTATAAACCCCCCAATGACGAGAAAAAGTCCATCATCTCCATCTTTAACCTGCTCCACTTTTCAGAAAATGTGTGCTCAAACAGGCTGTTTGGAGATTTTCCCTTCATGACATCACAAAGGGCAGTAGCCCTTCCCCCAGGTGGGTGACACTCCCACAGCTAGGTGTTTGTTCTGCCCTCTGAGTCTGCCTTCTCACCGTAAACAATAGGACATGGAGCGAGACACCCGAGCTCTTCCAGAGAGGGGGCGTGGTCAGACACAGCTCATTTACATATTTAAAGGTCCAGACATAGAAACAGCCTGTTCTGAGCAGGGCTGAAATAGAGGGGTTTATAGACATGATCAAATACAGGATCAGAGTGGATTTAGAACAAGAAACTTCACATACATGTTTTGGGAGCTCTGAGACTTATTTACACTTTAAAAAAATAAGGAGAATATGTGACCTTTAATCATATGAAGTACTCTTAACTTTGTAAATGTGACTTTCATCTTATTGAATCTGAGGATGATAATCGAAATCAAACCCAAATGCTTTGGTAATCACTCACATGGATCATGATAATGAAAATATTTTACTGTTTTTTATTTGTTTTTCTGGAATATATTATTAATTAATGACAAAATAACAACATTTAAACGAGGAGAGAAGACATTATAAAGTATTTTCATGTGATTAGTAGTGAATGAATATCCAGCTGGTTGGAAACATGTACATACTGTATTAAGACATTAATGTGTCCTCATCACTGTGTCTAGTTTACAAATGGAAAAGTCTTTGTTTGGATTGACTTTCTTAAAATAAAAATAAAAAACTTCCTGGATATTAAAATCTCATTTAATTCTGCTTTGTTCTGTTTTTAGGCCTTCACTTAAAAAAAAAACAAGCGACACGTTTGTTTTTTTTCTGTTTATGTGTAAGCTTTAATTTCATGAATAAAAAAAAATAACAGTACAATACACAATTATGCCACCTTTTAATAAATAACAATTTTACCCTTCAGAAAATCTCTTATTTGTACGCATCACATTTCATCGGCTCTCAAAAGAAAGATTCATCTGAGGTTATTTTCTCCCTCGACACAAACAGTGCACATGGACCACACACACACACAAAAAGAAACACACTTCCTGCTCGACCTCGTCTCGCCCTCTTTGCTCCTTTTTTACAGAGTCTCACTCACAAAGTCTTTTCTCGCCATGAGGTGGACAGGGAGGGAGCACAGACTCATGGGAAACAGAGGTATTGAAAGGGTTAAACTTGAGTTTAAATTGACTGTGAGTGCTGAGATGATCCAGCAGGGGGCGTTCCTGAGGTGTCTGGAGACTCTGCACACATGAACGATGCAGAATCGGAGTGACTCAAACTACAGCACATTAAATAAATATCTGACCATGTCCATTAACCAGTGAGTGAATAAAACTCCTCCACATTGTTTTTGTAAGACCGCTGCTCTTTTTTAAACTCATTTAATTTTGTTAATTGCACTTAAAACAAATCGTCCATTTGACATCCTCCTTAAGGGTCATGAAGCATCTTCATCTTTTTCTAAATAGCACATCTTTAGCAGAAGTTAAACACCATGTTTCCTGCATTAAATCACCACATTAACCTTTCCCTTCAGTTCAATTTTTTAAGCATTTGAACATTTTTGTACATGCAGCATCGTGTTTTTGATTGTCTCTTATTTTCAGAAGCTTCAGTGAAAGCCCCCAACGTTTTATAAAATTAGCTCAGCTTACATTTTTGCGTCTGTAGGCCTAAATGAAATGTTTCCAAGGAAAAAAGGTCAATGTTTTTTTGTTTTTTTTAAACCTATGTTCACCTTCACGCTCAAACATGAACACAGAACTGTTTGCTTCTTTTATTTTATAAAAGCTCAAGTCCAAAAATGACACGCTGCACTCTAATGAAGGTTTCCTGCAAGACGAACTCTGTAATGCTAAGCTAGTTAGCCGTTTCCTTTTGCTTTAAGTTTTTATGCTAAGCTAAACTCCTCGCTTTAGCTTCATTTTTAACGTACAGAAATAATGTATCTAGTTTGTGTTCACCAATGTTAACCAGTAAATCAATATATGTAAAAAAAACCTGACTGCTGGTTATTTAAAGTGTTTAAATCCCCTGATCGAGGACTGAAGTAACCCCGCCTGCTCCACACCAGAGGAAGTGTTTGACTGTCGCCCCCAGTGTTGTCTGACGCCATTAGCACACCTGGCGAGGACTGAGGAGCAGATCTTTGATTGGCGCCGACTGCGGCCTCACTCTTCATCTCTGTCACCGGGGCGGAGAGCGGGTCCTCTGTCACCCTGCTGTCACAACATGATCCGCCCCGAGGACCAGAGGGGGGGAAATCCTGTGTCTCCTGTCCGGTCACTTTGTGCTTCCTGTTCCTACCGTGACTACTGCCTCGTCTGTTTACCTGCAGCAGGTGTGTGGAGCCGTTCTGATTGACCCACTTTTCACACGTCTGCTGCAGCTACTGTATGGGGGAGGGGGAGGGGGGGGGACCTGCAGCTGCAGAATCTCACACAATGTTATCACTAATTCAAACATTATAAGTTGTTGTTGATATGATTTTCCTCTCATGCACAGGAACCCTCTCTCTCTCTCTCTCTCTCTCTCTCTGTGTGTGTGTGTTTGTTTGTTTGTATATTTAAATCGGTCACGCTTCCCTCTGCCAATACTGTTTTCCGGTCACGTCGATATCGATGCAGCTATTGATCCGGTGGCTTTGTCTGTGTGTGGTGACAGGAGCGTTTTCACATCGACTGGTTGAAGCAAAGGCCTGCGCAGGCTTTGTTATAATGAGGCCTCTTTACTCTGTCCAGCTGGTCTGGTTAACTTCTATCCAGTCGAGCTGTGCCCTCAAGTTTGAGCTTTTTAGGAACTTTAGTGTCAAATTGGTGGATGTCTGTGCCGTATTTTATCATCAGGAGTTCACATCATTTGTCCAGATTTGACCTTTACTCAAAGAGACAGAGAGACTAGTTTTACAGCTGGATCTTGAACTGTACCTTTAAATGTATTCTTGGATGATATCTAGCAGTTTCCAGACCCAGAATTAGACAAGTGAGATACTAAGAATTGCTAGTTTTGCAAAATAACAGTGAGAGGCCGCTCAAAACTGCATTTGAAGCTGCCGGTGTTCTTTACCAGAACTGTGTGTCGTAAGGTTGAAAAGCTGGAAAACTCCTCTACTCCACCTAAGATCTGGGAGGCTCTGAGTCAACAACAATCTGACATGCACGCCCGGTTGTGACCAGCAGATGAATCACTATAAAAGCACCTTTTATCTTTACAAAAAACAATAAAGTCTTCCCTCTTTCTTCAACCTGTCTATCAGTTTGGATTTTCACAACAACTACACACTGAAAATCTCTAAACATGACAGATACCCTTTGTAGCGATCATAACGTGACCTCTTCTCTTTTATTCCACATTAATAATGGTTCTTCTTATCTGAACAGGTTGGTGGATGTTGGATTTTTTAATAGACTGTAGAGACATCTTTAGATAAATATTGTGATTTTTCTGCAAACACAACATGACTTCTTTACTGTCAAAATTGTTCTGTTTTTTTTTTTGCCAAATGTTGAGTAACCCTGAAGATTATAATCCAAATCAAGCTGCAGGACAGTTTTATTCTACAACACGTCCCCATTTACTCCTTTGTGTGTGAACTTTGCTTTATTTTTAACGCGTTTAGATCGTCAGCGGATTCAAAAAAAAATGTATTCAGTCGTCTGAAAGAATATTTTCGTTTTTGAGCATAAAGTGGACAGTAGGCTATGATGTCAAATTTCATTTCAGGGACAAGCTCTGTGTTTTTTGCTGCAGAGTAAATCCTTCATTCTATCGATTTCCTGTTGGATGGTAAAGTGTGAGGAGTTGCTATTTCTGAACACACACACACACACACACACACACAAAGAAAAGCTCGCCCTAGCTGGATTGAGAAAGATTAGCAAGTAGCACTTCAGAACATGTGCAGACTAAAACCTTCTTAACCTCCTGACATTAGTTAACTCAGACAACTCTCGGCCTCCGCACTGTCAGCATGCTATGCTCCTAAGTGGCCACTGGAGGGCGCTGCACTGCACACACATAGGGCCTGATTGATTGATGAGAAAGAGAGCGAGTTAAATATAATGTCTGCGAAAGGGGTCGGGGGGGGGGAATGAACGTGAGCATATTTGTTGGAGTGTGTGTGAGTGGCTGAAGGTGAGAAGTAAGAGACGGAGACAAGACAGAGCAGAAGAGACACACAGAGAGTGTTTGATGCAGGAAGAACAGACAAGCCCTTCAGGCGTCTGTCAGCACGCAGATATGCAGATCATTTTTTCCACCCCCAAATCTCCAGATGCTTCTGAGGCTAAAGTCACAGGTCTGCTCGTCCGCATGGTGTTTATGTGACTGTAGGGCAGCGTCCCCAGTCACTTCCACTTCTGTTCAACGAGAAGTTTGACAGTAACCTTGAAAGTTCCTCCTGACACTTCGAGTAGGGAGACTTTTGGAGACTGTGCGGTCTTGTTCTTGGATTTTTTTTTCCAGTAGGAAGTTGGGAGGGTTTCTGGGAGAGACTGGTGATGCACGAGGTCGTTTATGAGTGAGGGTCATCAGTGGGTGTAGTAGCCGTAGTAGTCCGCGTCGCTGTTGCTGTCTTTCTCGCAGACTTCTCCAATGCGTGGGGGCGGGGAGTTTTCGGTGCTGGACGTGTACGGCGACACCCTCCTCTTCTTGTTGTCCCCGACGACGCCCTCGAACAGGCCCGAGTCGGCCGAGGCCGAGGCCACTGATTTCACAGAGGGGGGCTCGAGCCAGGGGTCCTCGGCCGCCCTCTCCGCAGAGTCTTTGGGTTTGTCCTGCAGCAGGGGCGTCTGCAGCGGCTCCAGGAGCGAGGGGGGGTGCAGCCTGGGGTTGCCGGGCGACGTGGAAGACGAGGAGGAGGAAGACGAGGACGATATGGGTCTGAACCAGCCCAGGGGGCCGTGCTTGCTCGAGTGGCTGAGGTACTGAGGGGTGGGCCGGCTGGTGGTCCAGCCCGCCGACGTGGCTCCTGACACGCTCGTGGAAGCAAAAGGATGCTCGGGGTAGTAGCCGAGGGTGTGGTGAGCGGACGTCTGCAGGGGGAACGGCTTGTAGAAACTGTTTCCCGAGAAGTCGCCGTCGTACGAGGAGGCGAAGTCCAGCCGGTTGGGGGTCACGCCCTGCTGAGGAGGCAGGTACCAGTGGCTGTGAGGACCCGGACTCAGGGAGGGGTCTTTGCGCTGTTGGCCCATGCTGAAGCGGCCTTGAGGCAGGGGGCTCATGTACTGCTCGGAGAAGAAGCCCTGGGGGTAGCAGCTCCCCGTCAGCAGCTGCTGGCTCTCGGTGGGGGAGGGGGTGAGGCGGTCAGAGTCGGGAGGAGCGTAGAGCCTAGGCAGAAGGAGAAGAAGAAGGGGTGTGGAGGAAAGACGAGGGGGAGAGCGTAGAGTGTGAGAAGAGAGAAGAAAAAAAAGGTGTTATTTCCTGAGCAAACCTCAAAACTATCTATCAAACATCTCACAGCCCCTCACACCCTCGGCTGCAGCATGCTCGCACCGTGCACTAATGTCATCCATTCCAATATTCAAATAAGACATTTAAGCTTGTGCAATGATCCTCTGTCACTATTCATGTTGAACAAATACCACATTGTGTGTTCATTCCCCTCTCTTAACAGGACACCATTCACAGGTTGTTGTTTTTTTTTTTTCTTGCTCCAAACACTTTTAAAAAAATTTTTTAACCGATTACTTACGTGTCATAGCTGTCGCGGAAACCTTTAGCGAAGGGGTTGTGGTCTATTTTCAGCTGAGTGATCTGCAACCGGGAATAAGAGGAGGGCAATGAGAGGAAGAAAAAAAAAGAGAAGAAGGAGTGAGCAACCAGAGAGAGAGAGCAGACAGAGAGGAGGTCGCTGACTAATAATTCATGAGGATAACTGGCAATTTATTTTCTTACTGCTGATAAAAAGACTTCATCAGGTTGGCGCACACACACACACACACACACACACACACACACACACACGCACACGCACACGCACACGCACACGCACACGCACACGCACACGCACACGCACACGCACACGCACACGCACGCACACGCACACGTACACGCACACAGATATATTTATAAACACAGTGATGGAATAAACATGATGTGAGTGTATATTACATTAGAAAAATGTTCCACAATGAACAGCTGTCAGAGATAAACAGCACGCCGCGCTCATACTGGGGACGACTGAGCTGCTGGCCTCGGGTCAGCTGAGGTGATGTGACTCTTGGTTGAACTTTGTTACTGTCACAAACCCCGTGCTTACACTTACAGGAGGCTGTAAGGAATGTAAATGACGCTGTGAATTTTTCATACATGATGCATAAATGAAGGCCTCTATCGGAAACTCGGCTCCCACATGAATCATTGACGTCCAGATCCCATTAAGACGGCGTTATAAGAGGTGTTGTTTTGATTTGAAGGCTTCGTTTAGCCGGCTAGTCATTTGTAAAAAACATAAAATAAAGTATTTGTGACAAATATTACAGAGTTTGGAAGATGAATCGATTCTTCTCTGCGATCAAGTTAACTTTTGATAAGAACACCGAGCTGAGGTTGATGTCGTTCTTACGTCTGCGTTCTGGTAAGCGGTGACGGCGATGAATTGGGTCTCAGGGAAGATGAAGGTCTGAGCTTTGGATGACAGGAAGGGGTCCTCAGATCCGTCCTCCTTAACCTCCACGATGTGCAGACGAGGCTGGTACTTATGGAGCGACTGGAGCACGATCATCTGGAGGGGAGAGGCACATGTCGGAGGAAAAAACGGGTATGATTATGTTGTATGTTTTATTTAAGGTCTGATGGAAATAATCGTAAGTATCAGATAGAAAATGTGATGAGAGAAGAAGAAAAGGCAGGGGGCAACCTAACTGGTTGCAGAGGGAATTTGTGAAAAAAATAGCTTTTTCTCATTCGATTTACTAACTCAGTAAAAATGTTTCTAACAAGTTTATGATCCAAATCTTTAGTTTGAAGTCTTCAAAACAGCTGGACAATTTTAAATTTTAAGGATGGTCCTTTTTCGAAGTACACAGAATAAGAGATGTTGCTTTACGGTGTGGCTACCTCATCACTGACATGTCACTACCAAGCTAATACATGTTTGGTTTTACAATGAAGACACTCTGAGGAGTTGACTTTTTATTTTGGGGATTAGAAAATTTAATTTAAAGCCTTTACTCGCACGTTCCTAATCAAGCCACCACTAGTGGGAGCTCCTTTCTCCGACACATGAAGGTCTGTGTTTGATTTTAATGATGACAGATGATAACACGTCAGGCAGAGGAGGGTGTTCAGTACCTGTGCCACATTATTGGTGCTGCCCTTGTTGTTGGTGAGTTTGAGTTTGCTGAAGGAAACTTCTTGTCTCATCCAGTGAGCCCCGGTGTTCGGAGAGTCGGGGTGCATGTACATCCTGTTCCCTGCAGGAGGAAACGTTCACAACATTTAGGAGGTATTTCACATCTTTGATCAAACATAGATAACACAAACTAAAAGCAGAATTATTTAAACGTTAGTCACTTTAAGAAGCATCTTTATAACATCAGTCATATCTGCAAACCTGCAGGTTTACTTAAGTGTTATGAATGTTGCATACAGGAAGTGAATACAAACTGAAGTAAAGAAAACTGTCTTTATTGATATCAGAATCAGAATCAGATTTATTGGCCAGGTGTGCTCACACACACATGAGGAACTTGACTTTGGTGACCTTTGCTCTCTATGAACAAAAAGTACAACATGAAATAAACACGAGATAAACAAAGACTAACATGTACAAGACTAAATGAGACAATAGTTCAACGTTCTGGTGGCGCAAACATGCTGAGATCTCTGTAAACATTTTTGCAATATGCAACATGACATCAACAGATATTTGTCAAAACCTGAAAAGATCCAAGAAAAGAGAGTGGCGCTGCTCTAAGAGGAACACCTTCCATCATATTTTAACATAAATAGTTTCTGCTCACAGCGACGATGCAGCTTTCAAACAGTGATTTACCACGCTGACCTGCTAACCTTCTATCAGCACACCACACAATAAACTATTCAATCTAATGGAGTAAACGCGTTTCACCACAGTTCACCACCATCATCACACATCAGCTGTCACCTTTCCACAACTCCTGGCACACGTGTGACAGCACCTTGCAGTTTCTCTTCTTCACATTATTACTGCGGCTTCACATTCATCAGTTGCTTCGGTTTTGGTTTTGTTTAAAAAGCGTGAACAGGCAGGGAGGAATATTTGAAGTTTGTGACGCTGACGGAACCAAATGTTTAAAAGTGAAGAACCACAACTTAACTTAATTTACGGGAAGAAGAATGAAGGGGTCTCTAATGGATGAAGAGATGTGTTGAATGCCCTAAAAAAGGTTGTTTTGTTTTATTCCCACAAATTAAATGTCGTCTTTTCAAGTTTAGATTGAAGGACCTTTTAGGGGGGCACATTTATAAACCCACACGGTGCTCCGATTAGGGATGTGTATTTCCTACAACCCTGCGATACGATACATATCATGATATATACAGTATTGATTTTGGAAAATAACCATGTCCTCCACAGAATTCACTTAAACAGCTGTTGTTTGTTGTTGAGAGTAACAGCAGAGGCGTAAGTCAGAGGCATCAATTCAGGTTCCTCAGAGATCCTAGAAATGCATTAAAATATTTGAGTCCATGAGCTGTGTCGAAGGTGGGAGCTGCACCAGAGGTCAATTTGTTTGTCAAAACTGTCATCACAGCTTTGCAGCCGATACCCTCGTTGTAAATGAGGGTCACCCTCAGTGATCTCTCTGAGAACTTAAATAAAGGTCGATGATGATTCTGTAACATCTGCATCGATACATGTATGCAAGGAGCACATGACGCTATATTTCCATATCGATTTTTGGAGCACACCTCGGACACTGTCCATCCATACCATTGAGGGAAGCAACAAATTAAAACATTATGCTAAAATGTATTACTGCAAAAAGACTGAAATGCAAATGTTCATTTAAAACGTTTATAAAACACATCAGTGGAGAACGTTTTAAGTGCAGTTTGATAAAGATTATAGAGCTTGGGATAGAGTTACAGAAGAACTTCATCCTTACTGTAGCTGTGAAGGAAATATTCACTTCCTTATATTGTTCTTCAGACTCTCTAATCAGGAACTGTGAGGCTGCAGACTTCAAGAAAAACAAAAGCAATATCGAGATGTCCACAGAAACCTCTCACACTACATCTGCATCATGATGCACATCTTGGTTACCCCACTGTATGCGTGTAGGTTTGAAACATCGCTGCTGAATTAAACCACTTCCTCACCGTCTCGCTTGCTACACTGAGCTGAACTGAAGGTACCTGCATGTCTCCGGCTCCTCGATTAGAGCACATTTACACGGTATTTTCTCAGATACTGGAATTCCCGTCAAAATAAATGCTGACATGTCGGTTTTTTTTGTCTGTCATTGTGGGTAAGTGTCTGATTTTATAAGATCGTGTATCTGTGAAGGAATGAGAAGCTTGGCACGCAGCTCCACCGCATGCATGCTGCTTCATATGGAAGGAACAGTGGGGTGAAAGATAAATAAAATATATTCTTAATGATCGATGTTTCTGTAGTGATCTACATAGCTCATCATCATTTCAATGAAAGAAACTCTCAAGAACAGAAGGAGGGGAAAATACCTGCTGTTGGTAAGTAAATATAGTTAAATACAGTTTAAGAGGCAGAAAGTGAAAGCACTGATTATGCATCATTCTGAAATTGCATTTTGAAAAAGCGCAACAGATTCTAATATTTTTCATGTGTCTTTATAGTTCTGTGTATTTTCAGCTATGAAAAAACATCCTGTATGTGTTTACTCATATTTGATTTGAAAATCAACTAAAGCTTTAAAATAACAAAAAGATTTCTCTGAATATTGGTAGCTTATAAGTAAGGAGTTGCATAATCTGGATGCACTAAAATAAGTACAAGGACCTCAGAAATTACCCTCGGTGTACCGTCAATGATTTAGATATCTCCTGTCTCAAATATCTTTTAAAGGTCGCATATTCTGAAGAATACACTTCATGTTTCTCTAACTCTAACATGTGTCTCTAGTCTGTCTACAAACCCCCCAATGATGAGAAAAGTCCATCCTCTCCGTCTTTCGCCTGCTCCACTTTTCAGAAAATGTGTGCTCAAACAGGCCGTTTGGAGATTTTCCCTTCGTGACATCACAAAGGGCAGTAGCCCCTCCCCCAGGTGGGTGACACTCCCACAGCTAGGTGTTTGTTCTGCCCTCTGAGTCTGCCTTCTCACCGTAAACAATAGGACATGGAGCGAGGAAGCCCCGAGTACACCCGAGCCCTTCCAGAGAGGGGGCGTGGTCAGACACAGCTCATTTACATATTTAAAGGTACAGACACAGAAACAGCCTGTTCTGAGCAGGGCTGAAATAGAGGGGTTTATAGACATGATCAAATACAGGATCCAAGTGGATTTAGAACAAGAAACTTCACACACATGTTTTGGGGAGATCTGAGACTTATTTAAACTGGTTGAGAATATGTGAATCCTTGATTATTAAATGTGAAGTGTTTAAAAGTATTAAATATAATGCAGAAAAGGACCGTCTTTTATTTTGTGCTCTGACGTGAACGTACCTGGCATGTTGCCCTCTGCTTTCCCACACTGGACCCACTTGCCACCCTGGTACCTCCAGTGGTGCTGATCAGCCAGAACCACGTCCACGTAGACGTTATAGTGAGCGGTCGGATCCAGAAGACTGATGTTAAAGCTCAGGAAGGGGAACATCCTCCTGCAGAGACACAAAGGGGAACAACATGGTTAGTTACTGTTAGTCAGCATTTCAACCACATACTGAACGTTGAACATGAACATAGCCAAATGTTTTATATTCTAAGAATCGTACTAAGCAAAGCTTAAAGGTTAAAGGTTAAAGGTTAAGTAGGACATTAAAACAAATTCACTGATGAAAAACCTGAAACAGTTATTGTACTGAACACACACAACCTGAGAACAAAGATTTGACATAAATACATTTTTAAAAAGTGCAAAGGCATTAATTATCAAAGGTGGGACGTGGCTGTGGCTCGGTGGTACGTTGGTCGTCTCTCAACAGGAAGGTCAGGGGTTTGATCCCCAGCTACTGCAGCTAAAGTCGTCTTCGGCAAGAACCCTAAATTGCTTCGGCTGCTGCATCAGCGGTGTGTGAATGTGTATGAATGGATTAACAAATACTGATGAACAATCGCCATAGCAACCGCTGCCATCAGTGTGTAAAAGTGCTGTTAAATGTGGTGTAAAAAGAGTAGTCAAAGCCCAAGTCAATTTACCAAAAGTAAAACTGTCTCTCGAGCAATTGTTGTATTTTGATTTAAATTTAAACAAGGGATGGTCATTCTAATTATTGTAACTCTAGAATAAGTACAACTGGTGACATTAAAAAAAGGAGATTAATAATCTGAAACAACAAGAGGAAGAACATCAGGAGGTTATTTCTCTTTTAAATTCGACCCTGTGCCAGCAGAGACGCTCAAAGTCTGTGTTCATGTCTTGATATTAAGAACATGTAGGAGAACCATCAGGGGGCTCTGACCCACTGAGGGTGTGCAGTGTTTGTATTATTAAAGTATCATTAAGGAACACAGGGTTTCCCTTGAAAGACCGAGGGGGAGGGGGGGGTGAAAGAAATCCAGAGAGAGATTCATGGTGATAATAAAAGAGACCTGAAAAGAAATGTGCAAATGTCATTCATTATATTTCACATGCTTGTAAAGGACATGAACGTGTGGAGGTAAGGTGAGGCTGTGTCTCCGGTTTGGACCTTGAAAGACGCTCACGCTGCGTTTGCTCCGCCCGCTGAAGAATGGAGAGTAATGGACGAGAAGTGGGGGGGATGTCAGACAGGTCGGGGGGTGGGGGGGGGGCGAGCGTAAGTGAATTTTTAATGCCGTGTGTTAATAAAAGATGGCTCTGAAGCTGCCTCTGATTGCTGGAGCTTTACATGTTGAACTTATTTTTGATGTCAGAGGGCTTCAGTGAGACGGGGTAACGGGGAGGTCAGGGCGTCCCCGAGGGTCGGTTAAACCAAGAGGAAAAGACACACAAATATAGAACATGGACACCAAACACACAAACCCACAAACACACCACAAACACACATGTTTTAGAGATACGTGTGACAGTCTGTGTGGAGGCATGTTCATCATGCACACAGTAGAGACTCAGAGTGCTTGTAGACTTATTGAAGAAGCACTTAAAGCCTGCAGAGGAGTTTACATTTTACAGAGCAGAGCAACAACAAACACAACACAACAGAAAAAAACAAATACAAACATGAACGTTACATGTATCTTTCTGGTCCTTCTGTTACATCATTTTCACCTTGTTTTTATATATACATAATCTTTTAGAAACCACTGTGTCAACATTTGCAGCATTTCAACACTGCGTCTGTAAGATGTGAAGCTATGGCTAGAAGCTGCTCACCTTTGCAAACACACTGTGTTTATCTATGAGCTTGTACGGCTTATTACCACAGGGGGCGCCAAAATCAACTCAAACTGAAAGTTGCTCCTAAGAGATTCAAGGAAGCCCCAATCCTCTTGGAAACATTAAGTTTCAAAACAATACATTAAATACTTGATGTTAACATACAACCTAAAAGTCTCTGCAGGCTGGTTGTGCCAGAGGTCGTAAGGTCATAAAAGTCAGGAAGATTTAACCACTGGGGACAATGACTAAGTGTTTAAATGTGACTCAGAGGCTTTATGGAGGGGGATACGAGGTTAGCTGTTTCCCCCTGTCTCCAGTCGTTATGCTTCAGAAAGCAGAAATGCAAACTCCCCTAAATGACCATTTCTGCTATAAAATAAACTCCATAAAAAGTCCCATATGAACCGATGCATGAGCGCTGATCGATTCTCCTCTCTCAAGCGTTGTGCTTGTGAATCTGCACTCTGGGTCAATAGGAGGTCATGAGTGCGTGGTCGGTGTTAATAAAATCAGGGCAACATGTTTGACATTTGGCCCAGATGTTTTACACTTGCCAACAGCTCCCGAGGCAACCAGCACCACCGTCCACCCCCCTTTGTCAATGACAGAAAACACACCCTGCATGTCCCACAATATGTGATTTTAGATTCAAGTTGAGTTGAGGTTTAATCCGGATACGATCTGGATTTAGTAATCCACTTTTTTTTTTCAGCCATGGATCAGGATCAGCAAATAAAGCTCACTTTTCTCCTGATGGTTCAAAGAAAAACTGGATAACAAAACCCTGATTCTATCCAGTTTTTTTTAGGCTTTTGAGGACTACCACATCCAGATTTCCAGCATTTAAAGAGGACTACACAATACATACTTTGTCCACAAGGGGCAGCAAAACCCACACAAACAGAAAGATCCTCACAGCTGCTTCAGATGTTGATTTGTTTTAGCACTTTAAATGTTCTCTGTAATCCAGCGTGAATCCAGACCTCTCATGGGATCTTTATTGTTTTGGTTTGAAGTAATCACAAAAACTGGAGGTATTATCCAGATTTAAACCAGGATTGATTCCCTGAACCTATCTGATTTCACAACCCATTTTTGTCTTTTGAACATCCCGATTTAAAGATTGAATCCACTCCCATAGCTTGAATCCTGTCAGATCATTTTTTAAACAACAGGCCCCAGATGTTCAAAGCTGTTTGGAGGTGATACCTGTTTTTCTATTCAGTGAATACTGCAGATAAATTTTGTCAGTGTAACAGTGCAAAGACAATACAGAAAAAAACACTTCCTTTCAGAAACGCCCTCTGCTCTCTTTTCTGAAACACTCTTTGGTGTGGGGGCTGTAAAAAAACAAAACAAAAAAAACCCAGTTGAGGCGCCTGTAGCCTAGTGGTTAGGCTAGTGGTCGAATCCCACTCTCTATCTCTCTCTTGTGTCTAAACGTGTCTAGAATCTGTTGTGTTCAGGTAAACTACAAAACATGGAATCTCATTTAAATTCAGAGCATCCTCCCTGAAGCGCTTTGGTCATTTAGAGGTGTAAAAACAAGTGAGGTGTGTAAAGAGATGACGTGTTCGAGGCGACTTTTAGCAGGCTGATGGGAGACCTGCAGGGCCCGTCATTGTGTGTGAGGTGAGTGGGTGGGCTGCCTCGATCCTTTTTACAATCCCTAACATGTTGGTTTTTTATAAAGTCAGCCGATACAATTTGATACAAATCAGGGGTCAAATGCTGTTTATGCTCATCTGCAGCCGCCGCCACGTTGGAAATCAGTCAACCTAACGACAGGCTGAGAGCTGGAGCTGAGGCGGGGTTTAAGCCTCTTGATAAACCGTTACATCGCGCCCAAAACAGCCCTCCGTTCAGTGTGTGTCCATGATGACAATAACTAATCAGACCTATTCAGTTTTTGGTACCAGGCTGTAAACGTGTTTATTTATGGTGTAGAAACGGCTTCTTTGGCTGTGGTGTGTTTGTGACTTTGCACTTCCTCGTTGGCTTCTTTTTTTTTAAGACCAGAAGGCCGCTTGGTCAAATGTCTTCTTAATGGTGTCTCTGACTGATAGACCTTAATGCTTGTATACTGAGCACACACACACACACACACACACACACACACACTCCTCTTACCCTTCAGCGGTAAGACAAAACCCCTGCCCACAGTCGGGTCTTTCTGGCTACATGGCGAGTCCGGTTTTAACAATCAATCATAGTTCTCGGTGAAACTAAATCGTGGCAGAGAACAGGTGAAAGGGCTCTCGTTCCATCGCAGAGTTTAATACAAGTGAAAACAGAAACTTGGCTGTTCAGCAGCATATGAATGGATCGACCCTCCTACAGTGTGAGAGTGATCTTAAGGAGGAATTTTCGTTTTTGATTCTGTGATATCAAGATTAGCAAAGAGAGCACATTTTATTCTCCAGTAGAGGTACAACTACGTCTGATCAAATTTAAGACTGTTTGTTTCCTCTTGTAGTTTCCTCCTCTCGAGAGCCCTACTTGTGTTCTTACTCTCTGATGTACATTGCTTTGTAGAAAAAAAACTCTGCAGGAAATCGAAGAACTATTTCAACTTTTTCGCTGCAGTAAAAGTGAAAAAGTCTCTGATATGAACTTTTACTGTAAAGTCAAAAATGAACCCTCTGAAGACAAAACTGTCTAACATGACATTCACAAGTCAACTCTTTTTCACACTCTCCCTCCTCTCTGTTTTGTCTTCACATCTTTATTAAAGACATTTCCATGAGTGTTGGCTGTGTAGCATGAGATGTGCACTGATGGAAACATATTTTCTAGATTTAAATTCCCCTTTAATGCATGAAAGCTAAAGTAACAGATGTGTTGTAAAACTTCAGAAGTGTTAAGTTGATTTTTGTTAGAGGAAAAAAATGCCTGAAAGCAAAAACTCATAAACAAAGGTACCTGAAAGTCGTACCTTAAGTACAGTATTTGTACTTCCACCTCTGTCTGATATTGTCAATTTACTGATACTAGAACCATTTATAGGAAATCACAATCTTACAAAGGGGGAAACCGTAGAAAACACATCACAGAGGGGTATTTGCATGTGTGGGCTATTACCCAAGTTGGCTCCATGTACGAAGTTCAGAGAGAAAAGCTGAAAACAAAAAGTGAATGAAAATGAAAACAAGCATGTAGGCGTACAGGTGGAGTCAGTGTGGTTACATCCTGGGTTTTTAAATCATGCAGTAGCTTGTACTGCGTCCTGATTTAAACAGGATTATATTACTGATTAATGTAATATAATCCATGTGATGAATTTCAAAAAATGTGTTTACA